GCACCGCCCCCCCCCCCGCCCCCCGCCGGCCCCCCCCCCCCCACCCCCCCCCCCCGCCCCCCCCCCGGCCCCCCCCGCCCCCCCCCCCCCCCCCCCCATAATCTTTCAAATGCCACAGTTCGAACCCCACATCCTTTTTTTTTTTACCTCTTATTTTGACATTTAATTTCAAAGGGAATGGCCTATTATGGTTCCGCAGGCGCCGGTGTCGCGTGCGCATGGCCGCGAGGCGTGCGACGCTAGCGCCGTTCGGCACATAATACAGGTAAAGCTTGGGGGAGGGAGGCCATGGCTGCATGGCTAGGTAGGTAGCTAGGTAGTAAACTCGGGCTAATGTGGCCCCCCGGGGGGTACGCTAGGCTGCACCTTCCCATTCCAGGATTAGTGGCACTCATTTTATTAATTTCCTAATGGGTCACTGTAGGGTGGTTACGTAAGCTATAGCTATTATGTACTGGGCAAGGCCCACTACTAGGTAGAAAACGTTTACAATACAACATCAATTTACCACACTTTCAGTATTGTACCTAAGGTAAGTAGCCGCGTCAACCCCGCTCACGTTGGCTAGACAGCAAAGTGCATGCATCCCACCACATTCCGTTATACCATTATCACCAACGTTACCATACCTTCCGCAAACGCCGTCACAGCAACAAGCATCATTAGCACCATCAGCACCATCAACTAGTTATCCCCGAGCGCCACATGGATGGACTTCGACGGCGAAGGCAACGTAGTCGGTATTTCGAGCCGCTACAACCACTTCCTCCAAAACGTCGCCATAGGCAGAAGCGGCAGCGCTAGATATCAAGGGGAGACGGCGCCCATGAAGGGTAGCCCATTATTCGACGAATGGGCTAGACATGAGAACTTTAGGTCCGGAGACGAGGTCTTTGTGAGCTTCACCAAGGTTTCTCGCCGACGTGTTAAAAGACAGAGGCGCCGCGTCGCCCAGAGATATGGATCCGGCGCACTCCCCGCTCTCCAACGGCTGCCTTACCGCTTCTGCCCCCCAACAACAATCACAGCAACAACAGCAGCGACGGTAGCAGTATCTACACACAGCCACCGCCCCAGCCTCTCGCTCAGCCCCTCACCCTCTAACAGCATCTGCTACAACAGCAGCAACAACAATAAACTTGGGATCTATTCAAGCAGTTTCTCCAGTTCCACCAATGGCTGGCGGGCGTCCGGGATGAGCAGTTCTTAATCATTCCCTAAATAATGACATATAAGTTTAACGATCTTCAGGGTTTATAAGAATATAATGTATACTTTCTACATCAACACATGTAGTTATTTGTCACGCTTATTAAGTCATCTTGATGTTTCCAATATTTTAATAATATGACTTCTGAAGAACAGTTTATTCGGCGTATCAGATACTTGAACAGCTTACAACTAGTCGATAGCGACCTTGCTGATTCTGCAAGAGAAAGAACATACGATGAAATTGACTGTTGCGAAGGTGGAGAAGGCTTCATTCCTTCGAGCTTCTGTCCTTACAGAGGTGTGAGCCAAGAGCTAGCTCTCAACATGGAAAAGTTGGTTCACGACATTATAGACCAAGGAATCTGCCTATCCAGGATCTGGGGAACTAATCAAAATCCTGGGCTGCTTACTCGATGGTGTAAACGAAAGAAGAGCCGTTTACGACGAGAAATCGTGGAACTGGCAAGAGACGAGCTAAAAAGGATGGCTGTTGAGTATTACAAAAAAATATCGTTGGTATTATGTGCTGTAAATCTCATGTTACTTTTGGTGCTTTGGCGAGGGATGATGTGCGAGGGATGATGTTGTGTTGGACTTTTGGATGTGCCCGGCATTGTAATGCATGTAAGTGGTGTCCGGCAAGGGTGCCCTCAAGTTACTGTAATGTGGGTGTCAGTGGCTCCAGTGCAAGGTACGTGCTACGGTCTACCTTAGGTACCTGTAGGGTTAGACGTTTCCACTGTGGAGTCCGCTACCTCTAATCATCATAGGTCCTGCAGACCTATGCACGAGTCGAGCAACCTGTCTCACAGGCATAATAAAGTTTAGGTTTCCCCTCGCAGAGATCAATTGTCCCTTGTTTAATACTTGATTTCAATATGATTATGATTGGCTAAACCTCTTGCATCCTTCCAAAAGCGGTATGTTTTAAAGCTTCTCGGCCATCCGATTCGCTGGTGACTAGAGTGTGTACTCCAACATGAGGATTTTTTCCGAGAATTAGCAGATTTTACTCAGAACTGGTTCGGCAATGCGTTCTTTACTTGCTTTCGTACATGAACTACCTAGGTAGGCAGCTATTGAATTTAGATTGTGTACGAAGTAGAAAGATATTAGTCTGTGCTAAGGGTGAGAGGTTCAAAGGGGGCCTTAGTACGAAGTAGATCTGACGCTAATGTAGGCGAAGATTGACTCTGTTGAGCCACAAGACACCACAGGTAAAGGTCCCTATGCTGCAACGTCAAAATCTATTGCGTTACTTGTACGGTTGGCTTATTGCTGCTAATTATGTGCGTCTGTCTCTCCTAAATTTGTCACTCAGTAATATTTCGCCGTACTCATACTAATACATTAAGATATTTATATCTTCAAATTCCGTTAATTACAGCGATGAATTTAATATCTATATCGTCTATTAAAAACGTCGTTATCGCTAGGTAATTCAATATAAAATGTATTGTTGTATGTAGATTACTTGCTACTATTCGTAGATTAGTACCTCTTATTTGTAGATTAGTCAATATTTACTATATCAAGATACGGTTGCATCAACTTGAATTTAGTATCAATTAATTCGGAAAGATCTAGGTATTCCAAATATAGTAAAATACAAGTTATTTCCGATGGTTGTGGTAGTAAATAATTAAATGTTTTCGATGCAGTATTGTAGATTTAAAGGGTTATTACTTGAAAATTGACGAGTGTTGACATAGGGTAATCTACATATAAGGCCTGTCAAGGTAATCTACGCGTAGCATCACTCATTAAAAACTACATTTTGAAATCTAAAACATTAGCAACACTGTCTGTCACTCTATAAAATATCACCTAAACGCGCTACCCATATAATAAAACTTATTCCATTTGTTGGGATATTACGAATGGGTATTTTCTGACAGGCTGCTATAGTCCCTTACATAGCCCAACACACGTAAATAAACACCAGCAGTTTCTTTCTCTATACGTACAAAATAGACAATAAGCAATACAGGTAAGTTTTACATCTTCCTCTCTCCATCTTCTTATCCTCTAAAGAATCTGATCAGCGGCGTACGTCGTTGTACGCCGCTGCTGCTACATCCAGGTCCTTTGCGCAAATACCTTCGTAAGCCTTGTTGATGTAGCTCTCGAAGACGTACTGCCAGGTCTTTGCCATGGTAGCAGTTGCAAGTGATGTAGCGATAGCTGACAGGCCTAGTAAAAGGGTCCGCTGTTGATGTATATGACTGTCTGGATACAGCAGGCTGATGGTGAGGGGTGTTGTCACGATAGGGGGGGTATCGGACCGAATCTTTCTCGTAGAGATCACGGCTGTTGGCTCATTGACGATGTCAGGGGTATGAGGGCACTAGTGCAGATTTGGCCATAAGGCCCACTAGGATAGTGTATAAGGAGCACGCTGCTCCCTCGAAGGAGACTCGAGGGGCAAGCGTTAATAGATCACTACTATACACTGCATACTTGACATTCTACGTGCTATTGCTTCTAGTATTCACTCTATGTACGACATACATCACGGGATCTCTCTGACAGACGAGCCTCGAATACCTTCAAGGTAGCACGGTAGCGCCCTGACAGATGCAGAAAGAATCGTCTCTTCTTATCAAGCTTGATTTCTTAAGCAGATTTGAACGTTTCTAGTAACTGCAAATAGTCCCTTCGCGTCTTAGGTTGTTTTGAGCTAACAGGTCCTTCTTTACGAAGTATCTAGCTATCTGTATCTAACTTCTCAATTAGACACTGAGCAGTGTCGGATAGACAAGGTTTATATAATACGATGATGCATCATACAGAGATTCTTACGGCTGTACGGGAGGAGCAAAACACAAAACACAAAACGACGATACTCTAAATCCTTAATTCATAATGTTCGAAAAGGGATACGGCGTATATGGCCCTTGGACATCCTTACAATACAGCTCATATCTGATGAATGCGAGAGATTTCTTTCAGCTGCAGGCGGCATGTTGACGCCTTCGCGCAGCGCTGTAGATGCGGCTACGATATCTATGTGTCAGGTATTGCGTTCTTGGATATAGGCAGGGATAATAAAAGAGCCTGACCTTTATTTTATTCAATTGCCGACGAGCAAAACGACAGGGAGGCTAGTAAATCAGATGAGGACGAATTCAATAGAAAATCAGCTATTCGTCCTCTCACTAAACCTATTTGCTGAAGGGATATTATTTAATAGTTACCGGTAGGTAAATCCAATTTTGTGAGCCCATTGTATCTGGTCATTCTCATCCCATGCTGAAGGATGATAGCTATCAGTTCCATAGTCCCGTTGGTATGCTTGTCGAAGGTCTCTCAGAAATGAGCATGGTGGGCCTTACGCAACTCTGTTTTTGGTAGGGGGGAGGGATTTTTGTTACATATGGTATAGATAATGCGTCGAAGCGCCTTTTTTTGAAAATGCGGTTGATAATCGAAGGGTTGATATGTATACCATTTCCACTTGTTTCCGCTGGTAGCTCTATATCTTCTGTTTCATCTATACTAGCTGTCAGTTCATTTCTATTTGAACGAGAGAGAACTCTTTTGAATAATGTTGGTCATTCTTGATATAACTGTTGCATATCAGATCTAAGTTCAGGGCCCTGTCTCTTAAAGGCGTTCCGCAATATGAAGGGAATCCTAATTCGAGCCCCTAATTGAATTTAAGAAGGGTTTATTTGACATTGTGACTGTTGGTTTCCCTCGCGCGACGTTTGAAATATCTAAATACGTATTAATTCCCCATATTTATAACGTTGATATGAAATTTTATGTCTAATTTGTGTATTAAATGAGTGTTTGCTAATCCCTCTGCTCAACAGGGGATTATATAAAAAATCATTTCCATCTCAGTAACATGCTTATTCCGTTCCGATAGAGACCCATACTATTCTTTTTTTTTTTTCTCATTTTATGTTTTAAGAGCCTTCATTTCCTTATTCAGACATCTGAGTCAAAGTCAGAGTCAAGGGAATCATAGCTAGGGTCAATGTTGCGTCGTGGCCAAGTTGTACGTTGTCTGCTTATTTTCTCAATCCTCTTCTGACCACAGGCTACCCTCTGTTCGTTCAGATCGCTTAAACCATCCCTGAAGTCAGCTGGTTCACAGAACGTGGTCCTGGCTCACGCCTTGATAACATTTTTGTCCTTTTTGTCGATTCCAAAATAATACATTCTCGGGTAAGTATCCGGATACGTCTGGCGAGCACAGGAGTAGTTCAAAATCTTTATGTCTGTCTTCTGGCGCCCTTTCAATCTCCCCTTCTTTTGTGGGTTCATCGACAGCATGCGACCCCTTCTACTGTCCATGAAGCGCGCGGTTGCTTCAGGATACTCGCTTTTTAACACTAGACAGTGTCTTTCCTCGTCTTTGTTCTTGGAATTGAGACTCTCAAGGCAAACATCAAGATACCCGGCAACGGCCGCCGTGGTTCTTCCCTCGGCTTTCTTCTGATATGTGTCAGGATCGATGTCAAGCGTAATTTGATCCCAGGCCTTTTCATCTGCGTCCAAGTCCCTCAGTATCCGGTCTCGGTACGCTTGTGGGTTCCTAGCCCACGGTCGCCTCTCTATCAACAATTGTGGTGGTGAGTAATACCTATCATAGGCGCGTTTAAGCTGAGGATCTTTTTCACCTAGGTCTCTCACCAATTTCTGCTGAGAACGAGGGCAATCGTTGATAAAACGGATGGCAAGGCTGGTCAGCTTATTGGGTTCGTAGTCAGGGTCTTGTCTTAGAAGGAATTCGAGGTAAAACATAACATCGGAAAAGTCGCAATTTTGTTCCACACAGGCTTGTAACAGTTTGTCTGCAAGTTCATCACTACACGTCTCTTCGACTTTTCGCCACGCGAAGGGTTGAGGGGTTAGACTAAAGGTGCTAGTCTCCCTGTATCCTCGGTCCGGAATCTGACTGAAGACGCTAGTTTCCCTAGATTCTAGGGGAGTTTGATCGATGGTGGTGGCGTTGGTCTTCCTCCAGGTTCGAAATTCAGCCTCCTTCCGCTTCCTCTCTTCCTCGTCTTTTCTTGCCTTCTCCTCTTCAGCTTCCTTCCGCTTCTTTTTATCTTGATCTGTGTTTTTACCTTCACTTTTCAGATCTGGTATGTTCGGATAATCTCGTTGGAGCTCTTTATAGGACTTTTCGAATTTTTTTCGGGTATTCCAGTCAACGTGCTCCGGATTAAATTTCTCTGACGCATCTTCGTAGAAATCTGGATTTCCTATCCCCTGAATAATCGTTTTTGCACTCTCTTCTACATTTCGAAGGGACTTGTGATTTGGGAACTCTTTTATGAAGCGCCGCATCTGGCGGGCTAATCGGGTGCCGTTGTCATCCCCCATCCTTGTTGTCAAATCGATTGGGCAAACTAGATGAGCTTGGGATGTCACAACTTTGATGTGAGAAGATCAAGAAATTTCATGTATTATATATGTTGGATCTCGACATCTTTATGGACCTTGGAAATACTCTCGTAGTTCAGGTATTCCTGAAGAACGGCGTTGAAGACCGGTCTTTCGGGACACCCGGGACCTGGAACCGGGAATCTAGAGCTGATCTTTCGGAATGGGTAACTAGCATGGAGTCGGGAATCCGGAAGCTAGACTCTGGATTGAAATATTTTCAAATAAAGGCGAAAGTAAAAGGTGCTTTCTGATTCCTCATTGACGACAAAATCAGTTCACACGAATTGCTCGATACAGGATGGACTTCATCACGATATACACCATAATAGTTTTTATCGTTTTCCTATTTTTCTACCCGGTCGTGAAATTTCTACGGTACACAACGTGGCGATTTACGCAACATTACCCTAGTTTACACCATGCTTTCCACTACTTTTTTAATTCTCTTTTACCTTTCGCCTGCAACCTGTTACCAATGTTATTGCTCTCGATAATCCCCGGATCTGTCCTGTTTGCTCGCAATGTTCAATATCCCCTTCTCTTGCCAAGGAGATATTGGATGAGCATTACTCGATTAGAATCCATAATCCTCGTTTTGTATTTTGGGTGCAATTGTACAATGCTTATCCTGGGAAGAGCAAACATCAGATACGTGGCGGCGATGCTGGCCATCACCAACGCTACGCCATTGTTCCTCGGAGACCGCACTAACCCTCTTGTGGATCTCATTGGTATCCCACTGTCGACATACTACGTTTTCCACCATTTCATTGGCAGAGTCGTGATTATAGAGGCTATGATACACGCCGCCCTTGTCTTCAGGCGGTCGCGACTTGATCAGACTACTACGTCAGGCTATATTGTAAGTCGACTACCCTCTTTTTACGGCGAAAGCTGACGGAGATAGGCTTTCGGGGCACTTCTTCTCCTTCTATGTACCTCGTTCTACTGTGTGCGTCGATACTTCTTTCGGAGTTTCGCGAAAATACACCTTGTTCTTGCTCTCGTCGCACTCAGTGCAACTACCTGGCACGTCCTCAGACAGACGACCAGGCAGGCTAAGATAATTGTCTTAGTTTCTGGTGGGATTTGGGTGGTAACAACTACCTATATATGCATTAGACTCGCGTTCTCTGCCACTGGGGCTACCATAACCGACGAAACTGGCGATTCGGAGGTCTCACGGATCTCTATATCCTGTAACCGCCAGTTTCACCACTTCCCGGGAAGCTATTTCTATATCTTTCCGCCGGGGTCATTCTTCCATTAGAACTTGCTTACCAGTTATCCGATGACCGTACTATAGTATAAGCCCGACGTCGCGGAAAATGGCACAAAAACTAATCTTTTTAGTTTTGCACAGCCGCCCGCTCAGATCCTTGCGGTTTATAAAGGGCGAAAGACTGCTTATAGATGGCCCATACGGACAGGACCTGAATCTAAAATATTTTAAAAGTGTGATGCTCGCGGCTCATGGAGCCGGTATCTTAGGTATCCTTTCTATCGCCCGGAGCATCTGGGAGCATCGACGATCAGATGATGTACTCTGCAGAGTGAACATCTTCTGGAGTCTGGAGCGAAACTCTCAAGGGGAATGGGCAGCTGCTTACCTGAAGCGTTTGCAAGAACTTGACGCCGGTAATGTTCGCATTCCAGTTCCTCTCTCTGTGATCGATGTGCTAATACTCCAAGGAACTTTTCGTTGTATGGTGCGTTTACCCATCTGAGAAGAAGGAGACGCCGGTATTCGAAGAAACTAGCCATTGGTTGTATTTTCACCAAGTTGACCGTGATGTTTTATTGAAACATATGATGGATGCTACTTCGGAGAGGAGTATAGTTGTAGGCAAGTCAGAATCCCTCTCTTGGGCGCTGGGCCAAGCTAACGATCGGTCTAGCCTGCGGTGACCCCGACTTCTCCGCCAACGTCCGTAAAGCTGTCATTGATCGTAGGGGAACTCGACCCATTGAATTCGCTGAAGTACAGTACCGACCCAGCACTAAACAGCCTCGCACTGCTGACGGCGCGGATTCAGAAAAGGGGGCAGGGAAGTCTAACACTACCGATGACGCGGACTTGGAGAAGGGAGAAAAACCGCGTAGGATGCACTCAGAAGAGGAAGATGAGGAGTGGGACGAAATAACGCTCTACTCTCCTACTGGTGCGCTTGTAGATGACGCACCGCAAGAGGCGCGGCAAAAGAAAACCGATTAACATGGACATGATGCCACGGTTGGTGGCCGGTCCTTCTTCAGTCAATTTCTAGAGAAGTGTGCTAAATTAAAGTACAATACAATGCAGTACTTCGATTCCGAATTCCCCCGACTGTAGCTTAATGCATACTGTGTTAACTGTCTGTGATTTTCATTTTGAAAAGTAAGATGTTGATGACGTTACAAAGTGAGTCCGGGATTCTGGATTCGGTAGAACACTCTAGGCTGAGCACGGCGGCTACTACTCTATGTTTCCGTTACTTCGGTCGCAAGGGGGGCTTAACAGGCAGACATGTCCATACATCTAGGTAAGCTCTGCAACCCGAGCCCGGGAACCGGTCGCACGCTAAGTTCCCGGAACCAGGGCACCGTCTTAAGCCAATCCAAAGTTAATTCATCACTGCCAGCCCACATGTTTTTCTTGTCTTGACTGAAGCTTTCACCGAACCTACCTAGGTAACTAATGATGGCAGAAGAAAATATCGTCGGAATTATCCAAGTCCCATTGAATGCTTATACTTACCAACCCGGTAAAGGAAGAGACGAAGACCCGGCAATCGTCAAGCACCTTTCCGATATCTTCAAAAGGGAGGGATGCAAGCCGGACCTTTGGGAACATCATATTAAGGGCGAAATTGATGCTACAACTTATAATAGACTACTAATCGCTCTAGGCCTTCCCGAAGAGAAGCTGCGGGCCACCGTGCAAACGGGCCAATACCCACGAGTGCGCCTCCGGAAACGTATTGTTTGTCTCGATGGACGGCAAAGAATTGCGGCTGCTCGGGGCGAGTTTGGGAGGCGCTTCTGGTGGCCTGTAAAACTCTACCGTCATGCTCGTATAGCGAGGTTTTCTTACCAGACTAAATATCCAGACGGAGAAATTTGCTGGCACCTCTTCCGTCTTGCGCTTGGTAAGCCGGATTTAGGCGGGGATTGGAGATCGGAGCTGTCAAAAAGCAAGAAGAAAATCCTCAACCTTCTGCTCCGAAGAGAAAAAGGAATATTCAAGCACAAATATATTGTGACAGCTCTCTGCGCTGTCCTCGAATTTCCTGGCGCGAGAAGAGGATTTAAGCTTGGTACCATACATAAGTATACCCCATTACGGTGCCCCGAAAAACCCGTACGATACCTCCGCCGCATGTCACAAATCTACTGGGAGGTGGTAGGTGGTGATTCTTCCGTGGTGCCACACATGGACTCTAAAACTATCGACTGTCTACAGCGCCGTAATCCTTCGAACACGACTGATAGAGATCACATCCGACTCATGATAGATACAGGCCAAATATTCCGTGGGATGAAAAGCGCATCTGTTCGGCGAAAGATCAAACAAAACCTGCTATCTCTCAACGTTATCTTTCCGAGCTTCGAGACATTCCACCAGAACATGATATACTTCTCTGTTGGGGCTAGGATCTTGAGAAACCATATCATCGATGACCCCGAAAAGTATCAGGACCCAGACCCTAACCTAATCCAGAGAGATGGGGACGAAAGTCTTTTCCAATCCTTACACATGTGCTGGACCCCGCCTGAAAGGCCGCTTATAGAGGTTTCTGAAGGGACGGTTCAACCACTGCTGTCGCTGGACGTCGGATTGGCTGGTGTGCTGCTCTTCCTTGACGGATTGAGAGACTGTCTTCATCTTTCGAACGAACCGATTCTTCAAGATAAGCGTGGTGAGCCTGCCCCGGTGGCTGCCGTGGATCCCTGGTACGTCTTTCGGCTCCGGGCTCGAGCGAGACAATATGGCTTTCGTACGGTAAAGATTGACCAGGGACTGGGTTTAAAACCTCCGCCGCCGCGTCCATTGGACTTGAATCTTGATTGGGACACACGAGCAAAGGATTGGCGAGGCGAGAAGCCGACTATTCGGAATTTCCTTCAACTACAGCGCGATGCCTTCCTGCCTACGCTCGAACGAGCTGATAGTCAAAAGATAATGACGGCGGCCTTCGTACAAAAAGACTTTCTAGAGGCCTTCTTCGGTCCGTGGTCGTTCGTAACGGATGGATCAGAAATGCCGAAGGATTTGCCTTCTTTCCCTGGGGAAGAAAAGATGCAGGTCGCCAGCGAGGACCTAGGATCTCCACCCCAGGACGTAATGCAGGTCGACGAGACCCCACCTCCTCCTCCACAGCCATATGGTCAGTCCTCTCAGCGAACATCAATGCACGAACCTCTCTCTCCAGCATCAGAGATTATTGGTCAGACAAATCCACCTGAAACGCAAGCGCCGGTACTTGGTCCGACACTGCTGGCCGACGCACGAGAGCTAGAGCTCACCGAAACATTTGAAACCCCAACTGGCGGAGGTAATCGTAGCGACCGTTACAAGCCACCCAGACGACAGCAGGGTAGCAAGCCACGTAGTATGTCCCCCATCTTCCGAAATCACCTAGCACGAGGTCGATCACGGTCTCCAATTCGACCTCCTAGTACTCCAGTCGCTGATGCCAAGCAGCCTAAAGAAATACTTTCAAGACGATCCCCTATCTATCCTCCACACAGCCCGATATAAGCCCCTACACCCGCTGTGATGCAAAACCCAAGCCTATTATATGAGCCTCTGGTTATCCAACCGCAAGAGCCCGTATTCGACCAAACCACACCGCAGCGTGTGCCAGAAATTCTGCGCCGGAATAAATATCTCGTCCAACAAAAGATTAGGAAGTCTCCCCGATTTAATCGCTTGAGCAGGCCACAACAGGGACGCCGGCGGCCGTTGAAGCGATCTCCGACTCTGCGTCCCGAATCTACCATCTTACCTAGCCGCCCCGGCGCCGAACTAGTCCAAGAGCTATCAAGTCGGTCACAAATATATCCACCAGCCCAGCTACAACTTCCCCAGGTCCCTCCGATACAAGAGAGACCAGACACTCTTGTAGAGGAGCATCCAGTCATTCAGACACAAGAGCTGACTCTCAATCAGACGGAGAATCGACGTCAAAGTTTAGATACTGACCACCGACCAATCTTCCCTCCCGACTCCACCTCTTCGAAGCCAACAGAGAATGCCAAAAGTCCAACTCGAAGGCAGCAAAAGCAGAAGCGATTGCCGATCTACCCCGCCGAATCAACTGAGGAAAAACCCCGAAGACGATCGCGAACGTCTCCACAGAGCCAGACACCGCGTCGTAGCGAGGGGGTTCTTCGCAAAGAGCCCCAAGAACTCCAAACACCCCGGTCTAACAAAAGACTTCGTCAAGAAGAGCCTCAAGAGCCTCCGACTCCCCGGCGTAGCGAAAGACTTCGTGAAAGGCCTCAAAAGTCTCAAGAGCCTCAGACATCACGCGCAAGGATCCAACTTAGCCAAAAATCCTCCAACCTACCCCAAGTTAAATTATTTAGGCCCAAAGTTGTACTAGTAAACTTATTAGCTAATTCTCGTGAATTTCTTACTCTAGACACTATCGAAGGTCAAATATACGGTAACGAAGAGCATTTGAATCCTATTAGGATAATCTAAGCTGATAATCCTTTGCCGGTCGCCCAAAATCCATTTCGCAAGTTGCTAAAAGAGTTAAATTCGCCTACCGCACAGGATAGAAAGGGTAAAGGAAAGGCAGTCTATGACGATGCGAAAACAAACATCAGCCAGCCACAACGATCGGCTGAAATTTTCGACCGTCCGAAAGTAAAAAGTGTTGCCAAAGTTGCCATAATGCCTGGTTACAAGACACCATCCAACGCGCGACTCCGGGGACTTCCTCCGGGTTCAGGGTACCTAGTGGATCTTCCGAAGAAAGCCTTGGGAGAGTGCAGTCTAAGCGATCCTCAATCCTCCCACCTTGGTCACTTTACGCGCCTGCTAGTAGTTCTGGACAAGGAAACAATGAGCAGACGCGGTCCCTCAAACTTCCCCCGGAAATTAATGTGGAGAGGTCGAAAAAGACCGAGACTTTCTCAGAATCTAGGCTGGCATACCCTCATGAGGACCTATATAATGGTGATGAGGACGAGGACGAGGAGCTTTAAGTTTTTGGTTGTAAATCGAAACTTTCGGTAGATTATAGCTACTATTAAAGATTTGCTGATTAGAAGCCGTCCTCTAAGACGGGCGTATTTTCATTTTAATAATTTATTTCCCTTCTAATTCACATACACTATGGCTAGCAATAGCTTAGATGTCGGATAGACAAGGTCTACAGGATACGATGCATCGTATAGAGAAAAGGATTTGAACCAAAACAACGATTTCGTGGTACTGACTTGATTGATTAATTGACTACTAGAAGAGCGTACGTACGAAGAGGCTATATAGCCTCTCCGTACGTACGTGTGGGTGGATACCAGGGCTTGAAAGTCCTGGTGGAGAGCCACGATCCTGGGGCCTGTGGATGGCCTCGTACGAGGCCATCGCCAGTCAGGATATTCGTAATATAATTATCCCCACATTAGATGATTGAGGGATTGCTGAGTGCAAAGTATAAGGCGCTGTCTTCATTAAATGTAATATCCTACTGTTGAGAGTACTTGTTCAAAATATTCTCAGCCACGCGAATATTTTCCCCCCAAAACTGTTGCTTCTCGTTTTCAGACAAATTCTTTGGCATCCATTCCGGTTTCATAAAAAGACCGAATTTGAACCATTCTAAGAATACCTGTGTTGCTTCACTCCGATTCCATTGTCCCCAGTCCGGAATAGCGCCCCAAAAAGCTTCACGAAGTTCATGTGCACGATCGTACTCAAGGCCAAACCCATTAAGCGCACGCTTACGAAAAAGCGTCTCAATGATCCGATAGAGCGAGGCATATGGTGCACTAGACAAGAATTCCCAATCAATTACTCCTTGTATCTCAGTATAGTTCTGGCTGGATACGATGATATTATGAAGACCCATGTCCGCATGCATAGTAACAATAGGAATATCCTCGACAATAGCGGGAATGTGCATATGATTGTCGACGAAAGTTTTGATGCGTTTTAAAAACCGCTCTTTGTATGCCTCAATGCCTTGCTGCTTTTCAAGGGCGAGAAGACAAGACCGAATATAAGCCCGAAGGTAGTCGCGTACGGAATGGAATGGACCGCCGAGACCGTGATATCGATCGGGTTTAATCTTGAGAATAACTCGATCGTCCGTTGTTGCAGGCTCAGCAATAAGCTCGCCGATAAGATGGGTCTCTGGGAGTTGAATTTGCTAACAAGCTTGGAATGCGAGTGCTATTTTTCGCACAAAGATAAGTCTTTCCTCATGTGATAATTGAGGATAAACTGATGATGCCATAACACCAGGTATAAACCGAGTTATCTGCTTACCCATTCCCGTAGCTTTTTGTCGTTTTCTTTCCCCTGGTATTGGATAAGTCGGAGGTATAGGCAAGACACGAGAATCAACCGTTTTTGAGACTAAAGTCATAAATAAGTCCATAGACTCTACAGAGCCGTGATGGCGTAATTGAACCACGTATGAATCTGAGCACTCTCGAACTGTAATCTTATAAGAGATACTGAAGGCCCCATCAATATACCTTATCGACGAAGCTAGATGATGGCCTGTCGCCGCAAGAATTACCTCTAAGAACTCTGTTTCGGAGAGTACGATAGGCTTAGGAAGGTAAATTTCTCTCAATTGCCTATCGACCTTGATCAAATATCGGTTAATAGGTCCAGAAGGTCCGTCAATTTCATCGTCCTCTAAAGCCGCCAACTAAGAAAACGTAGTAGGCGTTGCTTCAATCAGCGCATAACTTATTCCTTTTCCTTAAGAAGAGCCGATTGCGCCAGAAAATACATACTTCAACAATGCTGAAACAGCTTCATCTTGCGTTAAAAGTTCACTAGGCATTAGCTAAAGAAGATACGAGCAATAATAGAAGCGTTCTCAGATGAAAGGAGGCAATCTGTCGATACATTCAAGGCTGAATTAAATGTAGTTAGGTAAGTTCAACTCGCATGCTGAGCTGATCATCTACATACCTAGGTAGGTTCTTAAGGTTTTATGTCGCAGTGGAAGGATGGTCTTCTCTGATTGAGAGACTGTGGCTAGCGCTAATGCAAGCCGAGCCACAATGCCATCCGGTACGTATCTTCCCTTGTGCGTAACTAAAACTTAAGGTTAGTGGGGTGACCTCACGTTGTATTGTACATACTAAGTTAGGTAATACCTATAGTTGACCACATAATCAAATGGCGCAGGAAAACAACTTCGTTGTTCCGCAAGGAACTCTAACTAAGGTAGCTTTAAAGTCAAAGCTATATACAAACATTTCCTTTGATCTTAGAAAGCCTTGAACAACCTCTTTGTTCCCAAAGAGTCTCAAGCGAGACTCCTGACAGGCTCTCTTTGTCCCTTTATTCAGGCTACAGATGATGTGTCTGCTAATACATTGGCTGGATGCCGGAGAAGGGTGCGGCATCTTAGCAGAGAGACTGCGCATCAAGTGAGACGCCCTCGAGATCTAGGAAGCAATTGAGCGCACACATGCACACAATATCTGAACATAGAAATGGGAAAGCTGGAACGACACATGTGTTCTGCTTGGGTACACGGCGGGTGAGCGACAGCACGGGAGGGAGACGGCTTCCCCGGTTGCGGATACGAACAAAGAGGGCAGGTGGTTGCCAGCAAGTGAGACGGGAGAATCGAAATCAGGGGCAATAATCGGCACCGCGCAATATAAAAAAAGCTACATTATGCTGTCTATCGGCGCTTCCGCTAATTAAAAAGGGGGTTTTCGGCCATATTTAGCCTCCGGCAAGGCTATAAAAATCGCCTGCTAAACGGCCGTCAAATTTGAGCCGCTCGAGCTGCTCGCGGTCCGCCTCCGTGATAAAGTAAAGAGATAAAGAAGAGACCTACCTGTGGGGGCATCATACAATATCCAGAACAAGTTCGGGCACAACCGCGTTACAATATATATTCGACCCCGGCTACCAAGTCCCCCCAACCCATCCTGATGGTGAGGAGCAGATTAAGCGTACCATATACATTTGCCACCCTTTTTATAATGGTAAGTATAGCGCGCTGTTGCAGTTCGGCCATTACGGTGAAGGCGTTGATTATAAGCCGGTTATCTACGCCTGCTGCATTGTGATGGGTAACGCCTGGCCTCTTAAGATGATGGGCCATACGAGGATCGATTCGCGACTAGACGGTGGACTCCTTACCTACGCATATTTATCGCTCTCCAACACGTCCGATACCAAATAAACTATAAGGTTCCGCAAGCATGGCGGCATTTTGAAAGAGCTAATATACATTTTCCACAACCTTAAAAGCAATGGTAAAATAGTTTATTTCTTTTTTCGTTCGTGGTTTAATTAGTAAAATAATATATTATTACTTATTTACCCTAAGTTTCGACCATTTAGTATTTCCTTACGATAATATCCTTTTTTCGTGGTAATGCGTATAAATTGCTAATTGTTTTAAAGTGGAAATTAAATATAAAATCATTAAAATAAAAGTTATAATAAACGTTTAAAAAAGCACGCTTTATTATAAATATATTTACTACTTACTTATTTATGTAATATTTATTTTTTTAATAAATTTATGTTAATGTATTTTTTTAAGTTAAAATTTATAATATTTATTTAATAAAAATATAATTTGTATTATTATTTTAAATAATAGTAAAAATATATAAATAAATTTATATTAAACGTTATAAAAATAAAAAATAAATAAAAAATAAGTAAATAATGTTTATTTACTATTTGTATGTACTTAATAATTAATATATTTTATTAATATAAAAATATATTTTTATAAAATTTAAAACTGAAATTAATATTAATACCGCTTTAAAAGTAACTTTAATTACTTTTACCCTTTTAATATTATAAAAATAAATGTAATTTTAGTTATAATTAATAAGTTTTTTCAAGAAATATTAATGATTTTATATAAAATGTAAAATTAACAATTTATTTATAACGAAACTATTCGAATTTTCATTTTAAACTTTAAATATAAAACATTTATTAACACGTTTCCTAATAAATCTATAATACGGAATTAAAAAAAACGAAAATTCGAATAAAAAAATATTAACCGTATAAAAACCATAACTTTTTTTAAAAAAACTATTATTTATAATAAAATAAACCCTTTAATAAAAAGGGAAAAAAGTTAAAACGTTAATTAATAATATAAAAGAATTTCACCGTTTAATTAATTCGATATAATTGGAAAATAATTTAATTTAAAAAAAAATTTAAAAAAACGTTAATATTATATAATTTTAAAACTTTAAATTTATATTTATATTTATTTAAAATTTAAAAATTATTAAAAAAACATATCATAAACTTATAAGCTAAGGGCTAAATATTAATTAACAATAACGATTTAATTAATATTAAGTTCCAGGTTTAGCTTAAAACAAAAACTGTCGGTCCGTCGAGATATTTAACAGCTGGTTTGCCAGACCCACTAAGATGTTGTTTCTTATATGGTCCGTGCGTAATTTAGAATACCTAGACGAGCAACCCTTAAATTCTTTTTGAAAATCTCTTCTCAACTCACCATTTTAGATTTACCATTATTATCTGTATTGCACAATGTTATTAACGTTGCTCAGCTATACACAAAGGAATCAACATAAACATAAAACAAATGAGAAATAGAATTAGTTATATTGCGCTTAGGTTTGTATATTTTCATTTTTTGTTTGAATTTCCATGACGCAGCGGACCTTACTCCAGCCACTCGAACCCCATCCTACGAGTCTTTCATTCCCGAATGTTCTTAATTCCGTGGTGCGTCTTGCATCGTGGTCCTAAGAGGGCTTGGAGATATAAGGACGGATCAATGCTTCGCGCATCGTTCCGTATAAGTTCATTTGCTGCAAGAGTGAAATACATAACGGGCCATCATAGTCCACGCTCATCTCTTTCTTTTCTCACGTGAGCGAGGCTCCAGGAGCTCCGACATCTCTTCGGCTTTCGGGTTACCTCTCCCCTTAGTTCTAACTAAGTAGGTTAGGCCCAACAACGGTGATGGTCTTATTCGTCATACCCTTCGTTGGGACGACGTCACTTATATAACATATTTACTCTCATCATTCCACCCAAATTCTGCACACGGGCAGCTTGCATGTGCGACTGAGCTCTTTACCTGCCATTCTCGAATATATACCGAAGTCTTCTCGTTTATCAAACTTGTTCATATCCGTGGTGTAACGAATCCTATTGTGTCCGGCCTTTTATTACTGCTCTTGTTTTGTTCTTAAAAGTGACTTGTCATCCCAATAATTTCTCTTTTTTATGTATCTTACTCGACCATCCTTGCCATCGTTGGAGTAGCCTGTTCTACCACGTTCAAGATGTCGGAGACTACCAAACCCAAGTTCTCCCATCTCCCTCTCCGCACGAGCGGTCCGATAGAATGCGCCGTGTCCGGAACAGTCTTGTTGAACACGCCGTACTTCAACCGCGGTTCGGCGCACACGGCCGAGGAGAGGCGCGTGTTCAACCTTACCGGCTTGTTGCCTGCTAGCATCCAAACCCTCGAGCAGCAAGTTACGCGCGCATACCAGCAGTACATCACTAGACCAGACGCCTTGGCTAAAAACACCTTCCTGACGTCGTTGAAAGAGCAGAACTTGGTCCTATATTTTAGGGTAATATATATAATGTCACCGTCCTGCCCACACCTACCGCTAGTCCTCGTCAGTTTTTTATGTACACATGAAAATGATATGAGCTAAACCGCCCGGGTCCCATCCATGATCACAGAAACCACCGTGCTAATGGTTTTGTCATAGCTTATACAAGACCACTTGAAGGAGATGTTCAGTATTATATATACACCAACCGAGGGCGACGCAATTCAAAACTACTCCCGGTTGTTCCGACGGCCCGACGGGTGCTATCTAAATATCGACGACATTCAAAGGGTCTCACATGACTTGGCTCAATGGGGAAATCCTGAGGATATCGACTACATCGTCGTTACAGGTATGTATTTGCCATTAGTTGGAAGATGCATCTGGCGTGCTATGCAGATGTATAATAATAGGTACTGATACTCGTGGATGTTAGACAGCGAAGAGATCCTCGGTATAGGAGACCAAGGCGTAGGCGGGATTCTGATCTCAATTGCGAAGCTTGCGCTCACTACCCTCTGCGCCGGTATCCATCCTAACCGGACGTTGCCAGTCGTACTAGACTGCGGGACGGACAACGAGCACCTCCTTAACGACCATTTGTATCTCGGTCTGCTCAAAAAGCGGGTACGAGGGGAGAAATACGACATATTCGTGGACGAATTTGTCAGGTCGGCTCGTAAACTGTACCCTCGTGCTTATATCCACTTTGAAGATTTTGGCTTGGCAAATGGTAAGTAACCTACCTAACCTAGTATCATAGCAAACAAAGAATGGAACCGCAAGTTTAACAGCGTGTTTTAGCTCGTCGTATTCTGGATCGGTATAGACCTGAGATCCCCTGCTTTAACGACGACGTTCAGGGTACTGGGTGCGTGACCCTAGCTGCTATCATGGCTGGGTTACACGTGAGCAAGCAGAAACTCCGGGATATTAAGATGGTCGTCTTTGGCGCTGGAAGTGCTGGTGTGGGTATTGCCGACCAAGTCCGCGATGCTATTGCCACCGAGAAGAGAATCAGCAAGGAAGAGGCGGCGAAGCAGATCTGGTAAGTCAAACTCTGTCACAGCGATCCATAGTCCATTTAATCCCGTTCATCTACTTGTGTGATACAATTCTAACCCTTGCAACAGGCTAATCGACAAGCCCGGCCTCCTAACCACCAAATGCGAACTGAGCAAGGACCAACGCATCTACGCCAAGGACGCCTCCGAGTGGGACAACAAAGACCGCTCCCTCCTCTCCGTCATCAAAACCGTCCGGCCCAACGTCCTCGTCGGCACATCCACCGTACCCAAAGCCTTCACCAAAGAAGTCGTCCAAGCCATGGCCGAAGCCACCCCGCGCCCCGTCATCATGCCCCTCTCCAACCCTACCCGGCTCCACGAGGCCTTCCCCGAGGACATCCTCAACTGGACCGACGGCAGGGCCCTCGTGGCGACCGGATCGCCGTTCCCGCCCGTCCGGGGGCCCTGGGGTAAGAACGGCGAGGAGGTCGAGATCAGGGTCGCCGAGTGCAACAACTCGGTGGTGTTCCCGGGGATCGGGCTCGGGGCCGTGCTCTCGCGCGCGTCGCGCCTGACGGACAAGATGCTCGTGGGCGCGGTGCGGGGCGTGGCGGCCATGTCCCCGACGCTGGGGGACGACACGGCGCCGCTGCTGCCGGGGGTCGAGGACGTGCGCGCCGTGAGCGCGCGGGTCGCGCGGGAAGTCATCCTGGCGGCGGTGGAGGACGGGGTCGCGACGGAGCGGTGGATCCCCGCCGTCGGGGACAAGGATCGCGGGCAGGGCGGCGTCGAGCAGCCGGACGAGCTGGACGAGTGGATCGCCGAGCAGATGTGGGATCCGGTGTACCGGCCGCTCAAGCGCGTCGAGCCCGAGGGCGCGAGCCGCACCGCTAAGGCGCAGTTGAAGGTTGTTGGGAGCTTGGAGAAGGATGGGGAGAGGGAGAAGGCTGCGAGGGAGTGAGCGAGTGGGTATGTACCTAACTTTAGGTACTTACTTACCTACCTACCTACCTAAGTTACCAACCTACCTTTCTTTTGGAGCTTTTGGATATTGTTCCTTAAAAGGAGGTATCTGGGTAGGTACCTAGGTAAGGGGTCTTGGGGTGGTGTATGGAATGGGGAGAAGATGGTTGTGTAAAAAAGGGGGTTGGTTACGTGTTGCTATTAAGTTAGGTTAGGTTAGGTATGTCCGTAGATATTTAAAACTTACGTAGCTGTTTACCTATAAAAGAAGAGAGCCTTGAAGAAAACGCGGCAGATGTACGTGTCTGAAGAGTTAGTTCAACTTACCCGAACGTCGGGGTCGCGAGCCGCGAGACCGGGATAGGGGGTGTATATGCACCTACCTACCTAAGATATATTTGCATAATTGAGAGAACATTGTTATAATTATATATACCTGTTACCTAAACTACCTTACCTTAGACGTAATAGAGAATGTCTTAGAAAAGACATGTGTGTACCTAGATGTAGTACCAAAAAAAAAAAAAAAAAAAAAAAAAAGAGCCATTTGAACTTACATAGAGCTTGCTAATTACCAACTGATAGAATATTCACATCGGCTCGTTATATCAAATACCCCAAAATTGATATCACATTATCACACCCCTTCATATACCTATATACCTAATCACTGCCCAAGTATCTGGCTACCTACCTAACCTACCTAAGGTAGGTAGCTAGTTAGCACAAATCCAAAATACGGCGAGAGAAATCAAGCACTAGATTTGACCGTGATAACTCCATAGGAAGCAACAAACACCAGCCAGGAAAAAGAAAGCTAGAAGAGGCCGCAGAACGACGCGCAACGCAGCTTATCACCTTAGGTACCTTAGGTAGGTACACATCTCTCTCGTTTTCTTTTGCTGTCTTAATCCACCCCATTCCTTTCTCGTGAGCTCTGATCCCCCGAATCCCATTCCACCTTTAAATAACCCCAGCTCTGGCAGCCTCGCCCCCGCCTTCCTGGATGACCGCCTCGATCTTCTGCTTCCCCTTTCCCAGACCGCCTTCGCCAACACCCATCCGGCGAGCCACGTACCGCTGGGCCACGACGCCGATACTCAAGCTCAGCGCTTCCTCGACCCATTCGGCGACCCATTCGCGCGGGTCTACACCGCCGTTCTCGACGATCTCGCGGATCTCGTCCGGCACGTTCGCGCCCTCTAGCCCGGGCTGGTCGCTCTCGCCGCTGGCGGGCGTCAAGGGAGCCGGCGCATCTAGCCAGTGGATCCACTTGGCCGGGATATGCTGGCTCACGGTGCTGTACATGATGTCGTGAATCGGATCGAGGACATAAACGGCAAAGCAGACATGAGGGTCCGCGTCGCTGTCATCAGCAACGGCGCTGGGTTCCTTCTCTGTTTCGCTTGCCGTACTACCGGCGAAGAGGGCCGAGTCTGCGTCCACAATGATCGGCTGGACGGCGAGGAAAATGTCGCTAGTTCGCACGGGATTCTCTTCGCTCATCGGTTCCAGGGCGCGTTTCTGCGCTTCCCCAACACCACCGCTAGCCGCGAAGTAGTCGTGGGCGTAGCTCTCTGCGCTAACGCGGCAAAGCTTCGTTCCCTCAACTAAACCTTTGACTGCTCCCAAATCCCGGGGTGAGTCGACCTGCCTCCACCAAGGACCGTCGCGCCAGCCCGCGGAGTTGGAAGATCCCTTGTAGAAGGCATCTGAAGATCGCCGAGCAGTGTTTTCGTGGCCCCGTTGAATGACGAGTAGGTCACCCCCTTCAACTTGCGACATGACCCGGCTGAAGACATCATGAATAAGAGGGTCGAGCGACGGGTAGCCTACAATATCGTGAGTGATATGGATGAGTAGACGCTCGTGCGAGGAAATGGGCGGGGCCAGCGTGTGCAAAATGTTGGCGAAGGTTGGTAGAGCGTGGTGGCGGATACCGTCGCCTGTAAGCGCGAATGTCAATTCCATATACCTTTGCAAGCATCGCGTTTAAAATACATACCTAGCCCTTTCAGTGCTCCAACATTGCCTCGGACTTGTTCAGCCCATTTTTTGGCTTCTTCGTTCCGCTGGATCTCCTTGTAGGCGGCCTCAGCTTGCTTCATGGCTGCATTTGCCGTAGCGCTGGCCGTAGCAAACAGTCCACCCCACCAACCGCCGCCAGACGCTGACGCTGTCGGCTCGGCCGTGGTCTTCTTCTCAGCATCATGGGGTTCAGAGCTGGTGGCACTAGGAGTGAAGCTCGTGTGGAGGGAGCGAGTGCTATCGACGGACTTGCGGGCGGCGTTGGCTGACTTATCTTCGGAGTGTCGAGAGGCGCCGGGCGGGGGTGTTGCCGTGCTAGTTCGTTTGAGGGGTGCCTTGGTAGATGTATCTCTAACGCGAGGTGTATGGGGTCGTACGGGTTCTTCGCCAAGCTCGTCTTCCAGCTCGGCAAGTCCAGGAATGTCTTTCTTGAGCTTATCTCCTCGAGCTTTAGAAGGAGCTGGCTTAGATTTACCAGCGGGCTTCTTAACTACGCTCTCGTCAATCCCTTCGAAAAGCTCATTTAATCCATCGTCGGCAGACGCCTTTGACCGCCTCGCTGCCATTGTGGGTAGTTATCGTGGTGGTAGTGGTGCGGGGAGTTGGTTTTATTGGAGGGGGCCAAAAAGCTATGGATTGCGGATTGAGGATTGAGGATTGCGATTAAGAAATAACAAATGGAAGATACCTGAGGGCGTCTGCGCTAAGAAATAGGTTACGGAAAGCTATTGAGAGTTCAACTAGAGGTACCTATACAAAGGTTGACTATGATTCGCTATGGCCTTGTACATATGTTGTATGTATGCAGGGCCGCGAGGGGAACCAATAGTCGGAGCAGATTCGACTGCAACTTGTTTATGGCGGATACTCGTTGGCAGACAGACGGGCAGATGGGACAAACACTATTTTAACAACTGGGGAAGAGATACTAATGACAATTATTTTTTTTCTCTTTTTTTTTCTTTTTTTTAGAAGAGACTGAATAAGACGGCTTACGTCAATAATGAGAAGACAGAAAAATGGGAAATGGGAAATGGACAAGTTCAATATGGCATGTGATATATGTTAATGGTATGTGATAATATGGTGGATGGTATCAGTATCACCAGTCTAAGAGAGGTTTCGGTTTCGGGAAAGAAGACGGGACGCGGGAAAGCTTTGGCCAGGTCCCCAATTAAGGAACTGTCGTCACTCACTAAACGGGGGCAGGGGGCGGGGCCTGGGAAGGAGGTCAGTGGACCAGTAGCAACGACACACGACCTACTTACCTATGGTAAAGCCATTATTGGCGTGTACGTACCCGACAGATGTACATCATGCACATATGTACTTACCTACCTACCAGCCTACCTAGGTACCTTAAGTTAGGTACATATTGTAGGCAAGTGCCATTACGCGATCTCCCGCAGCTCGTGGTTTAGGAAGGAACTCTTAGTGGTTCGTGTTATCCTATTGGCTAGAATTACCTAGCTAGAGTTGGGAAGACAGGTACTAGGTATTGTACATGTAGTTTAAGTGAGATAAGTGTTGTGGCTAGTACCTAATACCCAAATACCCAAATCGGGATCTCATCTGTGGCTTGGTCTAACAACCGAACCTCGAGAAATTAGCAGTGCACCACCTAGCCTAGTAATAAGGTTGGCAGTCACCACAGCAGGAGACGGACAAGCACTCCATGGGAAGGTGCAACTGCTTGATATAAAATCGCCTATAATACTTTGCACCTTCCAATCTTCAGAGTTTATTGTCTAGGTCTAATTGTCGTAAGCCAGCAGCTATTAAGTTTTTTTTTTCTTTTCGCAGGTCCGTATTGACCGCCTTACATTTACTTATTTCCCATTTCCAACCTGACTGTCAACATCAAATTCCGTCCTCCTTTCTTTCCAAGTCAGCTCCTTTCATCAACTTTTTTTTTTCTCACCACGTTTCTCTTACACACTGCCAGACTGCGCATCTGCAAATCGTACCAGCCGCATTTACTGATAACCAATTCAGCAGATGATAGATTGACTCTTACAAAACTTGATCCAACACCTTTTTTTTTTCATCATTCAATCCACCAATTCATCACTCTTGAATATTATACATCTTCAGTTTTTTCCAACCGGTTTGGTGCTGCTGTTCTTGCCTCTTCTCCCGGCAGCTACCTATAATTCAGTTGACCCCCCGGCCTGATATTTGTATAATTTTCAAAAGGATTACCTCCTTACTACGAATTACATGCAACCACTCATTTTCCATCCGCTTCAGTCTGCGCCTAACAACGAACAACAAGCAATTGTCAACAACGCGCAAAGACGAAACGACAGTCTTACTAATTGGAAACTATATCTCCGCCGCGTAAACATCTTTAAAGTTTACACATCATACTCTATTTATATTTATTGTTGTCGACTTGGGAAGTCGCGCTTTAGCCATCAACATCCTGAGCCTTTCCCCACTTACATAATCTCCGACCCAAAACTTCTTTCACCTTTACTTCATACACATACATAACTTCACTTACACATACAGCCATACCTACTTACGTACCTACTTACGTACCTGAGTCAACTCTAAATTAAAGAGATTTCGCAATGGACCCTTCTAATAATCCCCGCGGAAGAGGCAGGAAAGGCTCTACTTTCCCTACTTCATTTCCTATTACTTCGTCACCTCAGAATCCACCTGACCAATCTACTGAGCAACAACCTTCCTCATCCGCGGACTACCCTCTTCATTTTACCTTCGAGACGCCAAGCCCATCCGCTTCTAGAGAAAAGCGAATGCGAGCTCGCAATCTCGACAGTACCGGCACTATGCCCGAAGATTCCGCCAGCAAAGGAGGGCGCTCCTTGAGAAAACGCCCTCGTGTAGATTACACCTTTGACCAGCTTGAGGACCTTGAGAGCTACGGTGCAAAATCTACCCCTAGCGCTATTCGCACATTAAAGAGACGGAAAACCGACTCTACTTCTAACGAGAATGAGGCAAATGAGGATCTTGACGTTCGCACTAGCAGACGAGCTTCTGAGCAACCTCAGCCATCATCATCTCGCAAACGTAACACTAGAAAGTCCACCGCAGAGCCCCAGGCTTATGTACCAGAACAGCATGTGGACGATGCCGAAGTGCGAGACACCATTGAAGTTGGTGGACGCCGAAGTGGAGACTCGGATGAGTCAATGCCACAAGAATCTCAACCCAAAGTTGCGACTGGGAACGAAGTTGAACCCCAAGAGCAACAGGGCGAAGCAGAAGAGGACATCTCCGACACAGATGGCGACAATTTCGAACCCGACTTATTAGACTATCTTACGCCATACATTGATGGTTCCTTCGTTTTCTACCCGGATTACCAGGATGATGAAGTTGAGCTACCGGGAACTGAGGCAGAACCGGAGGTTGACGCCGAAGTTGATCTGAACGCTGAAGCTGAAGCGAACTCTGGTGTTGAAGTCAATCATGAGGCAGATCCCGAGGCCGGCCTAGAACCAGAAGATGGCGCAGAAGTACTACCTGCTGAAGAAGACGCAGCTGTCGAAGACACTCCGGCTGAAACTGTAGCAAATTCACCTACCACCGAATTAGAGGCACCCGGCACACAATCGGTAGATATGAAGCAATTTCGCTTCAAAAAGACCAGGGACGCATCCGAGTTCACTGATCTATTTAAGGACATCAAGTCATTAACCCCCAAGGAGCTTTACCGAAGAGTCGAAGCTGCAAACAAGGCTCTCGTGGCCTGGCAGGAAGAGTACAACGAATTACGAAAGTTCACAGATGATTTTGACAATTCGGTTCGCTACCAGAAAGAAGAGGACGCGTTCAATCGTCGCTTCAAGGCCACTGTCGCCAGAGATCCTAATGCAAACCCCATCCAGAAAGATTTCGTCATCAAGGGTATTAGAGCCAAAGAGACAGTAGATCCGGAAATTGCCTATACCAGGCAACAAGATAGAATTATGGCCAACATCTACGGGTTCGAATATGATCCCAGGGCAGACAAAGTGGGCAGACAGGACCCCATTGCGCAACGAACTGGCTTAAGTCGTCACGGACGTCTTCGTGAGAGACCCAAGCAGACCGCAAAGGCGGCTGAGGCTGAAGATCCCAACATCTTGCCAGGGAAGCGAACAAGGAAGCCACCGGAGAGGTTTACTGAAGGTGAAGCCGCTAGTAGAGGCGCTACCCCAGTTCCAACTCAACGTCGAGGACGCCGTGGCGCACAAGCACAAGAGAACGGCGATGAATATCACAATCAACAGAATCAATCCCAGCCTCAACCTCTGAGCCAGACTGCCAGCGTACCAAATGTAGCTCCCGAATCAGAAGAACAAGAACAGCCTAAGAAAAGAGGAAAAGGTGGCAGACCTCGAAAACCCTTCCTTGTGGTGCCGGAATCTCAGTCTGCGCCAACTCCAGGGCCAGAACAGGACGAGGTCAATTCCGAGTTGGAGCCGACTACCAACCTACGTCCCAAGGTGCAAATGAAGACCGCGGCCAAGTCCCAACCTAAATCTGGACCTAAGGCCAAGCCTGCTACAGAGCCCACAGCACAGCTCAGTATAGAGCCTCAGCCTGAGCCGGTGCTTTCGCTCAATAGAGAGGCAGAGGAAGTGGGTGCAGAGGAAGAACAGCCCCGCAAACGCAAGCGCAAGGCTCCTGCAAATACTACGGCGGTTGCAGAAGAGGAGGAAGAGAGCAATTTGCAGAATGGTGCAGAGCCTCTAACGCCCTCAAAACCAGCGCGTCGGACGAACTCCCGAAAATCCGACATTCCATCAGGGTCCTTCAAGATTGCAACTCCTAGAACAGTCGCCTCTACGAATCATTATGCCGAAGAACCTCGCCCCCTGACTGCATCGTCAACTGCGACAGCTGAGACAGTAGCATCTACAAGTAACTACCAGCTCCGCGAGAAACGACAAAGAAAGTTCACCAACAACATCAATGAGGAGGATTCCATCGAGGAGCCTAAACCCAAGCGCACTAAACGCGCTCCAAAGAAAATACAGACCAAAGTTGAGGATCTGACACCAGCTCCAGAGCCGGAGCCGGCTCCAGCACCACAAATCGAGCTGAAGTCTCCTGCACCTAAACCACCCACCAAGATTAAATTCAAGGTAAAGAACCAGCATCCAGCCTTTCCGCCTGCTCTTAGCACACCACCGCTGGTACCTTCAAATCCCCCGCCGACTCACACCAATTACAACAATAATATCAACGGGAATTCCAACAGCGACAGCGGTAGCAATGGATTTGCTGGACCCAATACCCCAGACGGAGAGATTGGTGCAGACCCCAATAAGGATTACAATTCTATGACTAAGTCAGAAAAGATGTCGCACTCTATGAAAGGTGTGTTTAACATTTTTAACGTCTCACCTCATATGTAATTCTAACGCACACAAGTTACTAACATTGAATAGCTCGATGGGCATCCGGCTCAATGAATACGGCCGTGGCCAAGCGTCGCGCAACGCTTGCTGCGAAGAAGCAGAGCGCGAAACCGCCTACGGGAGGTAACTCTACGGCGTGCAACCAAGGAGGAACGCCGACCTCCCGATCTACTCCAGGCGGCGACGAGGATGACGATCCTGCTGCCCTAAGGCAGTAGTTTCGTTACCGTCGGCCGCCTGGAGTAAAGAAAAAGAAAAAAAAAAAAAAAAAAAAAAAAAAAAAAAGAAAAAAAAAAGGAAACAGAAAAAACACAATATCGCTGCATTGCTTCATTGCTTCATTTCACGTCGTTACATTGGTTAGATTGCATTGCGCTGCATAGAGGACACCCCCGGGGACGGGAGGGAGATGTATCTAGACACGTCTCACCTAGGTCATCTCCTTCCATACTTGAGTCCGGGATAGGCAGTTGAACGGGATGCTAGATGCTTGGGCTAGCTCCTACTTCAACTGCCTACCCGTTTTCCGTGGATGATGTAGACGGGAGTTCGGATGCTTGGGCCGACTCTTCTCCTACTCATCCACGAAGGTGATGTGTAGATAAATGAGTGGACAAACATTGGATATTTGAACCAGCTCTATGTCCACTTATTTATCTCCTATCAGTGGGAAAACGGGATGCCGGATACTTGAACCGGCTCCAAGTTATCCTATTGATAGGTAGGGGATGGATAGGCTGGCTGTCAGATACTCGGACTGGCCCCAGTCAGTGTCCATCTCCCTGCACATTGCAGCCTGGGCGGATGATCGTTTGGATACTTTGGCCAAGCTTTCCCCCGTCCGGGCTCGTCCTCGGGGGTGTTCAAAGAAAGAGCGAGGTGGAGTGGGTGGTTTGGTGGATAAGGGAGGGCTGTGGATAGAACATGGGGGAGGATACCTTTGTACATACGGGTATATATATGGCATTTGGGCCTGAGGGCAAAGCGTTGTCTTTTTTTCTTTTTTTTTGCATAGGTGGGCGGGTGGGAAGTTTGGATACATGGACCAACTCCTATCCACCTCACCCACGGAGCGAGCATCATTGTACGCATAGGGAAGGATACCATAGAAGGGAGGCCGATACACAAAATGGAAGGGAAAATAGAGATACCATTGCAATCAACTTTAAAATTTTGATTAACTATGCATATGTGTTGTGCATTAGTCCACGCTCATTAGAATTCGTTAAACCAAGAGTAAACTACCTGGGTACATAGATCTACCTTAGGTAAATATCTCGTATAAACAGCAGTAAAGAAAGTCATATACAGTACATTCCTCCTCAACCGACCCCCTTTTAATTCCTCGGACTTGAAAATGCGACTACAGTCAAATTAAGACTAGGTATGACAGCTAAGCCCAATGGGGAAAAACTAGAAATTCAAGCAGATAAAAGACATATCTACCGAGGTATTGCGATCTGTTCATAGCAAACCTACCTAGAGGTACCTAGTAAAGTAACTTTACGGGGTACTGGTACATTTAACTAGGTGTCACCGATAAACTGGTCCAATCATGGAATATCCAAATCGATGGTTGGAATGGAGGTATTGGGTCATTCATTAGGTACTTACTATTCCCGTAGAAGAAGGAATATTTACTCCAGCCGCAGACAGACAAGCCAAGAGCTGCCGAAGTCATAAAAAAATAAATAAAAGAATAAAAAATAAAAGAGAAGGGAGAGAAGAACAGTCACGCGCAAGATTTGGAGCCGAACTCGTATCAATTGTCCAGGATGCAGTTTCTTTTTTTGGTTTTGGTATGTCTCCTTTACGCCCCGAAGCCGAAATGCAAAGTGACCAGTCCTACTACTACTACTGCTGCTACTACTACCACCGCGGGGAGGGAGGGGGAAGACACGACGACAACAAAAAAAAGCAGGCCTCCATCTCAAGTCCTCTCACCAAGCAGTCGTGAGAGTTGGCCAGCCCCGTGTGTTGTCCGTGTCTTTATCTTCCAATATCAATCGTGATGACTTATTATCGTCAATAAAGTAGGTTAGGTAGGAAAGTAGGTGGTGTGTGTGTGTGTGCGGGTGTGAAAATCATTCATACCCTTCCCCTCTCTCGACCCAAATGCTCCGCCCGAAAACGAAACGCTCGCCTGCCTCAACCAACCTTTACATCACAACACCGGAGTTGCTGGCAATACGCTAGGGATCATAGTTAGAATTCGGCTCAAAGGGGATTTGTGTAATTGGGAAAAACCTACGGGCCATAATTCGGCAGCCTCCTTACCGACGGGGCCGGTGATGGCGGAGCCCTTCATCTCACCCTTGGGGTTGACGATCTGTGAGAGAAGTAACACGTTAGCCGAGGTTCTAAAGACACAATGATTTCCACGTCCGCGCTCTATCACGTGAGATTTCGACACGGCGACGATTTGCGTATTTGGCGTGTTTATAAAGGGGGTGTAAAGGGTTCGACTTACGACACCAGCGTTGTCCTCGAAGTAGAGGAAGACGCCGTCGGTTCGCTTCCAGGGCTTGGACTGTCGGACGATGACGGCGGGGTGGACCTTCTTTCGGAGCTCGGGCTTTCCCTTCTTGACGGTGGCCATGACCATGTCACCGACACCACCGGCGGGCAGTCGGTTTAGACGAGCGCCGATACCCTTGACGGAGATGATGTACAGGTTTCGAGCACCGGAGTTGTCGGCGCAGTTCATGATAGCACCGCTGTTTCGCTCGTTAGTCCCAGATGTCTTGGAAGAACTTGGGGGGAGGAGTTGAGTTGATGTACTTACACAGGCAGACCGAGGGTCATCTTAAGCTTGCCACCGGGGGCACCACGCCTATTGGAACGGATGGTTAGCGATTCTGCTTCAGAATTTCTTCTTGTTGCTGTTGTTGTTAAACGTAAACGCGATATCCCATCGTCGCTGTTTATAGCTTGCTTCAAGGTAATAATCCCCGACTTATACCGGAACCCGCAGTTCGATATTTGAAACCCATTGGCGTCTTGCAATTCCACATTGGCACCGAAATTGACTTGTTGAAAAATACCCTTCTCTTTTTGGCGCAAGCAATCCCTCTCAAAATTTTTGCCTTGCTCTTTCTTATCCCTCTCCCACCAATTCGTTCATTTAATTTTTCTTTTTTTCCTACCATCCTCTTCTACCCCGCCAAGAATATCCGCTACAACAAGATCGATGGGATTCGAGTGTTCTTTTTTCCGAATTTAAGAATTTAAAAGACTTACGAGAGCTTGGCCATTGCGACTGATTTATTCGGGGGGTTCTTAAACGGTCGGGGGGGTTGTGGTCGTTGTTGACGGTGGTCGAAGTTGGTGGTCGTTTGTCACGGAAAAAAAATTAAAGGTTCGATAAGCTCCAAATTTCTTTAGGTGCGAGTTTGGTGGTACCCCTTGGAAATGTGCGGCCTTGGACCAACCCTAGGGACCCACAAAAGATTTCGGGAAGCGATTTCCGTAATAGGAAGCTTGGTCACGTGAGGCGAGTCTTATGCTGCGGAGGCACGGAGGTACCCCGGTACCATGGACCTTTGAAGCTTTGGAATCAAGTGGCCCGTGCGTCATCATTTTTTCTGTTAGTTGCCTGTAGCAGTTGAGTTGAACATGAACTCTCACCAACTCAACCATGATATGACCAGAAACGCGTAATCAAATTGATATCATCTGCTTATGCCCGATGAAAAAGACATTGTTCAATTCCCCAGTTCTAAAGATGTAGGCAAGTGATTGTTGGCATCCCACCCTTCCAACATTCAAGTTACTGCTGTCTACGGTTATAAGTCAACGAGGCCCAATGGGTAGATCTCTGGCTAAAGGTTGGTATATTGCAGGTATATCGATATACTGATTCACATAACATATTCATAGACTCGTACATTCTGCTAGGTACTGAAGAATTCCCAGTGCCGATGTGCTTTTAACCTAGTGGTCAGATCTCTCGGACCAGGGCTTCACAGCCTCCAGCAGCTTCTCGTGCACCGACGCATCTCCGCTGTGCTTCAGCGCGGCTTGGTAGACATCATCACCCATCCTCTGGAAGAAAATAAGTAGGGAAGCCCACGCGAGGTCGGCAAATCCCAGGGTCTTGCCCTCGAAGAACGGCCCGTCGCCGTTCTCCTTCAGCAAGGCCGTAGCTTTCTCCAGCGCAGGCTGAGCCGCTTTCCACGCCTCCTCGCCGCCCTCCTTCTCCGCTACCTCCTCCAGGGTCGCGCCGAAGGCCTTCTCCCGCGTCGTGCGGAAGTACTCCTTGCTGGCGTCGTTCAGCAGCACGTCGTGGACTTTCGGCGCGTAGATGCCCTTCAGGGGCGTTAGCACCTCCGCGAGAAGCTGCTTGACTTGGGACAGGTAGGGAGAGTCCAGGTGCAGAGTGGGCTCGGGGTATTCCTTCTCGAGCGTCTCGGCGATCGTCCAGGAGTCGGTCACCCAGGTCCCGTCGGGTAAGATGATGGTGGGGATGGTGTAGACATCCGCTTTCGGGAGGCTATAGGTGTGATTGTTAGTATCCGCAAGTCAACCTGAAGTGATAGCTTCATCGCCAATTTCTAGAAGGCGAAGACGCATTGGCGTGAATTATTTCCCATGTCACGCCTATCCGCCATCAAAAATCCGCCGTAGTTGAGAGCAGATATATGATATATCTGGTTAGACTTACTGATCTTGGAATTTGCCCTTGATATCCGGGTACTCAACCTATTGAAAGGTAGGGGTTAGTTTCAAGCCAGCAAGTTTCGCTGGACTTCGGTATCTCGAACTCACCCATTCTGTCTTATAAGGAAGGTTCTTGTAGTTCAAGACGAGCCGAGCTAGTTCCCGCTGTCAGAAATCTTATCTCAACCCCAAACGTATTGGCAATGCTTACTCTTCCATGGGTTATACGACCACGACTTGTTCGGCGGCCGAGAGGGCAAGTCGAAAAGCACGATCTCCTGATTGGCCATTGCAAACAAATCGATAATGAAAAAGGTAGTCTAAGCCAGTCAACAGTCAACAGTCAACAATTCCAAGAGATATAAGAAGACGACGTTTTGTCAGATTCGAAGACGGATTAAAGAAGTGAAGTTAAGTTTATAAGCAGGCCCATTTATCTTTCTCTCCTCAGATGTTATATAAGATGATAAAAGCACACAAGGTTAGAAAGTCTCCGATAATGCGTTGATGCTGCGTCGATGCCGACCAATGCATTAATGAACCCCACACTTTGTGTATGTACCTATGTAGGTAAATGTGGTGAGTAGGTACTACATAGATAATGTAAGTTACGTATAAGTGTTACTGGTCCATTAGACTATACCGATTAAGTATGAGAGATTCCATCTTAGTTGCACCTTTCTGCTCCACTATTGGCAAATCCCGCAAAGGGCGTCACATGAAAGCCAACAACACGAACGATAACTAACCGAATTCGCTACGTTAATACTAGGTACCTAGGTAGAGGTAGCAGCTAATGTCACGTTATGACGGGGAATACCACCTTTCCTAAATCGCAAATATTGGTGAATAAATTAACCGAAGACTAGTAAACCGCATGCCAGCTTACAAATTAACTATTACCTATTTGGAATTGCACTATTTATAAGAATCGTTGCATGTACGGGGTAACCAAGCAGTTTGGCAATGCGGCTGAACTCGCTAGTGGCGAGAAGTCACGCGTGATAGATACGAATACATAAATGTATGAGAGCGAGCAAGATGGGGTTGGCAGTTGTTATTCTCAAAGTGTTATGGTTCTAGCTCTACACGGGTTTATAATAATTATGACTAATATTATTATCATATTATCATAACTGCGAGTTCGTGACATGAGTCTAGACTCAGGAACGATTCATATAGTTGCAGTTATACCCATTGGGAGTCTTGCTCCGCCTCGTAGTATCAGTGGAAAGGTCTCCATCACCATTTCTTACTTCTATCCGTACCTAACACTGCTATTACTTATGTATATCAGAAACCCCTACATGTTTTAGTGCCTAAGCTATTAACAATCGTTATTGAAGCAGCACAGCTTTTAGCATCTAAGCTTGTTCCATACTGATGTTAACTTTGTTTATAACTTTGTTTATAAATAGATGTGTCAGTCAACTACCTATGTAATAGTTGGACATATATTTTATTTTTTAATATTTATTTATCATAACCTAGTACCTACAAAAAAAGCAGCATTCTTCTTTGGTGAACCAACACTTCATATATGAATCCAACTTAGCAAAGTTATTTCCAATTGTAAGTATTCGGATGCTACCTCTTATTGATGGCTTTTGAATAGGCTTCTTCCTAGCCAAGATAAATAAGTGGCAACCTTCCATGTTAATATAAAGATAATAGATGAAGCATCTAGAACAGATGATTCTAGAATGTACATCCCCTGGCTTTAACTGTGAAGTTACAGCTCGTCCCGGAAGAGCAAAGTTACAATAGTTGATACCCAGGTACCTAGGTACCTAACCTAGGTAGATGATCGTGCACACTAATAGATGAACATATTCATTTATTTCTACATTTTCATCACTTGATGATATTAGTCCGGATACCTAATAAAGCTGCATATTAAATAGTTCACAATAGCTAGGAGTTTATCCTTATCAATGGCTAATACTGATACCTAATGAAGGTACGGTGTACACTGTAAATACGTCATTCTAGAAATACCTAGTGAATTTCAACACCAGCAAAAACGCTATACCTAACTTGACACTAGCGTGGAAGCAGACTGTCCAATCACAGCATACCTTTTATTTCTTTGCAGTAAGTCCTCTTCGGCATCTTTGACGTGATAAGAGAAGATATACATAGTGATGTGAGGTTTTCTTGCATTCACCGCACTGTCTATGCGAAATAACCGCGGAAAATATACATAGAGACTTTCGTATTTTAACAGCTGTAAAATATTGAAATCACGTACCTACGATATTTGAAGATACATAATTGAGGAAGGTGCATCTATTGTAAATCCGGATGTCGCCCGAGGTCGAGCGGCCCCACAACATCCTTGCTAGTAGCCAATTCGGGTTAGTGAGGTATAACGCGCGATGCACCAATCTTATCGATAGCAGGTATCGTTCAGGATAGGTAGAGTGCGTTTCTCGAGATCTTCGCCTCAACCTTTACAACTCTCCCCCATCTTATTCCATTCTTTCCTATTCACGTCTGGTTAATTACACGATCAACAATGGCGCACGCGGCCCCCGTTGATATCTTCAATGGTAATGGCATCGCCTTGGGAGCTCCGTCTCCTAAGAAAGTTGCTTATTTTTATGATTCCGACATTGGTAATTTTGCCTACGTCTCGGGCCACCCCATGAAACCTCATCGCATCCGCTTGGCACACAGCTTGATTATGAACTATGGCGTCTATAAGAAAATGGAAATCTACGTAAGTGCTCATCAAGCTTTTGTCCTCTAATGGCCATGATAGCTGACATATTCAAGCGTGCGAAACCTGCGACGCGACTCGAGATGACCCAGTTCCACACAGACGAGTATATCGATTTCTTGCAGCGAGTTACCCCCGAGAATATGGACAATTTCCAACGAGAGCAAGGCAAATACAACGTTGGAGACGACTGCCCCGTATTCGATGGCCTATTCGAATTTTGTGGAATAAGTGCTGGTGGTAGTATGGAGGGTGCTGCCCGGCTTAACCGACAGAAGTGTGATATCGCTGTCAACTGGGCAGGTGGCCTCCATCACGCCAAGAAGTCGGAGGCTAGTGGCTTCTGCTATGTAAATGGTATGTATTATATCGTCCGACTTGCTGACTTGAATATCCCTCAGTCCCTGACCTAGGCTAATAATACCGGCTACTGAGTAGATATCGTTCTCGGAATCCTCGAACTCTTACGATTTAACAAGCGTGTCTTATACGTTGATATCGATGTACACCATGGAGATGGTGTCGAGGAAGCATTTTATACCACCGACAGAGTCATGACTGTGTCTTTCCACAAGTACGGCGAATATTTCCCTGGTACGGGCGAGCTTAGAGATATCGGCATTGGCCAGGGCCGTTACTACGCCACTAATTTCCCTCTTCGCGATGGTATAGATGACGCCTCGTATAAGTCCATTTTCGAGCCAGTCATATCAGCCGTCATGGAATATTATAACCCGGATGCCGTTGTTCTACAATGTGGCGGAGACAGCTTGTCCGGTGACCGTCTCGGTTGTTTCAACTTGAGCATGGATGGACATGCGAATTGTGTGAAGTTTGTGAAAAGCTTCAACCGTCCAACTCTAGTCCTTGGTGGCGGTGGCTACACGATGCGTAACGTCGCCCGTACTTGGGCCTTCGAGACGGGTCTGCTTGTTGATGCGCATATGGATCGAACCTTACCATTTAATGAATATTACGATGTAAGATCACTATCTCACTATAGCTATTTATGATGCTAACCTTGGATCTAGTATTATGGGCCCGACTACTCGCTCGACGTTCGCGCTTCTAATATGGAAAACGCGAATAGCCCCGAATACCTAGAGAAGATCAAAAACCAGTTGATCGACAATCTGCGACGCACCGCACATGCCCCCTCCGTTCAGATGCAGGATGTGCCCCGTCATTCCATGGGAGCAATATCTGACGAGGAAGAAGCGGAGCTTGATGACCTCGACGAGGATGAGAACAAAGATGTTCGTATGAGCCAACGCCAATGGGAACAACGCATAGAAAGGGATAACGAATACGAGGAAAGCGACAATGAGGAGTTAGAGAAGGCCAATGGAGTTCTTAGAAACGGCAGCACGAGACGACAATTTACCGACTATCGCAATTCAGACGTTGAAACCGATAGCGGCGCCGCGACGCCTAAAACTGCTAACGGCTCCGTGGAGCACGTCATGAAATCCAAGGAGACGGACGACATCGTCATGGAAGATATAACAGATAAAGAACCAGAGGTTGAGGCGAATACTCGCGACAATTCCCAGCCTCAGGAGAAGGATGCTGAACACGGAGACAGTGCTGCTAACAACACCGACCAAGAAGAAGCATCAAAAGAAGCCGAGGGGGTTGCTAAGTCCGATAAAGAGGGTAGCGAAAGCGAAAAGACAGCCGCCGCCGAAAATGAATCCGCGACCGAAAAGGTAGAGGAACCCAAGGAGGTTGACGAGGCAATGCAGGATGTCGACGAAAGCAAAGCACCAGAAGAAGAGGCTGAAAAGGTTGAAAAGGCTGAAAAGGCACCCAGCGCGGTGCCAGAGGCCAAAGACACAGCAGAAGCTGAAAAGGTTGACCAGGATGGTGACGTTGATATGGACGACCCAGTTGCCACCGCCCCAGAGCCCGAAGAAGAAGGTGAAGCAGACGCCAAGGACCAGCCCGCAGAAAAGACTGATGCTAAATCGCCAAGTCCTGCAGACTCTGCTATCAAAGACAAAGACAAGGAAAAGGAAAAGGAAAAGGACGATGCGAGCTCCTAAGAAGATCCAAACACTAATTTTGATACCCACGGCGTTTTGAATCTTCGCCTTTCCGAGTTTTTCTTAAAGCAGACAGTTGTACGGGAGATGAACGGGACGGAATAAGGGGCGGGGTGGTGTTCAACCGGGTTTTTCGCCGAATCATTGTAGACTAGGTAGCCGAGCGAAGGGCGTTCAGGTTTTCCGGCGGCATCGACGGCGGAGGGGACGGCCGCCTTGCGTTAACGTTGGGCGAGTTTTAGCCCCTTAGCTAGTGTCTTTTGCGTAGTGCGGTTGATTATGAGATGGGTTTTGTAATACTTGCCGTAATGAAATAGTGATCGAACTTCATAGGTACATACATACCAGGTGTCTAATCTAATATTTTCGGGAATATCGTGATGCGGAAGCTTATGGCGTCCGGAGGCTTTGTGAATCGGCTTTGAGAAATGTAATGATATTGTAATACCCAAGGTACCTAAGGTACCTACCTAGGTATGCAGATTTTGAAAAGAGGGTAGCTAAAAAGGAGGTAAGTCATAGCATCCTCGTACACGGTAGTACTCGTCATTGACGCACATTAAAAAAAAAAAAAAACTACGAACAGGTATCATTACTGTTCAGTGCTTGATCAAGGGTATTAAGTTGTATAGGTAGTTAGGTAGTCATATAGAATATTTAAGTCTATGCCACCATCACCGTCGTCATCCAGGTCGTCGTGCCCATCTAAATCTACCACCCGCCCCCTAAGTTTACAGCCTCAGGTTAACCTGCGCCATCGCCCTTTTCCATCGGGCAAATGCTTGGTTTCAAAGATGTCCGGTACATACCTAGATAGGTATCGAAGGTATTCAAAACCGGTGAAGTACGTATAGTAAATAGGAAAAAGTCAAGTTCAGATACATCGAGCCGCATATGTGTGGTCCTATAACAACGTGCCCGACACTACTAGTAGGTTTGAGGTAGGTAGCTCCAAGATGCGCTATAGAATATCTTAGGTAAAGTAAGTAAGCAATTTTCCTTTCCCCTTTGCTGCGCCTGGCTTCTTGGAAATCATCACTGCCATTTCATTATATTAATAGGTTGCTTTCGTCCTTCTGTTCCTTGAACTTGCAGATGCCGATGTGATCGTCGCTGATAGGGGCTGCGTCGGAATTTGGGCGGCCATATGACTCCGTTTTTGGTCCGAGTCTTCGCTATATCACCTCGTAGCCCGTGCAAGAGCACGATAATGTATAGCATGATAGGTCAGATAGGTAACTGGATATTGTTAGATATCCCTAAAAAGGTCTCAACCTCGTACCCAAGCTTGGCGTCCTCTGTCTGAGTCGTGAACCTGGAACAAACCGTAGGTAGTACCCATCGGGGGAGGACATTGGGGTTATATAACCTCCTAGTAAGGACCTGAGTTCGTAATGGACAGATCGCCACGAGCCTGTCGCGAGTCAGGCTATGTGCCTAGGTCCCATAGGCGAAGCGATGGAGGGTTGCACTTTACGGGGTAAATGAAGTTTTATAATATTATCAGGTAAGGGGGTGACTTGCAGCTCGAAGTTCGTCGATTATAAGGCAGCGAGCTAGCTACCAGGTGGGATATGTAGTGTAGCCACTTACACGATAAGCCGACTGTTCTAAGGACGACCTTTATTAATATTTGTATCTATTTTGTGCAGAATACCATTTCGATTTGGCGACTTTGACTTATACTATTATTTATTGAATAAGTAAATTATCACTTATAGGATTATATATACTTTTTTATAATTATTTTTGTATATATATATGTTTTATGTAGCTACCTAGGTAGCTGTACGAGTTGATACAGGTACCTAGTGTATGAATTGTACTAAGCGACGAGGCGACGTTGGGATTGGCTCTGGAATAGCAGCCACAAAGACTTTAGTGCTTACAGCATACATGTATGTACTAGGTACACGCGCCTAACCGAGGCTGATAAAAGGCTGAAAGGAAAAGGTACCTAGATACCTAATGCATGTACGTACCTACCTCTGGCAACGATTAAATCACGTCACGTGTGGAGAATGGCTACTTCCAGAATACCTGGCCCGAGCTCCCTTATCGATTAAGAGCTGATACCTACCCTAGGTAGGTAGATTAGGTAATTAGGTACTTACCTAATGTTATGCAGGCAGACCTGGGCTTCGTCAACGCCTTGCATTTTGGATCTTGAGCTTCCATCACCTTTCAAAGATTCGCCTCTTAAATAATTCAACCCAACCCAACATAACATTAAGTCGTCAATCTATATTGATTCTTACGAAATATTACCAACTCATCATCAGCCTAACCTACCACAATCAATTTACTTCCGCTATAGCCTCAACCAACTAAAATGGACCGGTTGAACAGGATGCTCGCCGGTGCCAGCGGCATGGGACTCGGTGCCGCCCCCGGAACAGTAAGAATATTATTTTTCTAGGAAGCACCAGTACTTCAGGATGACTTCAAAAAAGGATGACTTTAAAAACGTGTACTAACAGAATATCCAAATAGGATAACCAGAACCTAATCGACAACTCCGAGACCGTATACATTTCTTCCCTTGCGCTACTCAAGATGTTACGACACGGACGAGCAGGTGTGCCTATGGAAGTCATGGGACTTATGCTAGGAGAGTTCGTCGACGACTTCACAGTACGAGTGGTGGACGTCTTCGCCATGCCTCAGAGCGGTACCGGTGTCAGTGTCGAAGCTGTCGACCCGGTATTCCAGCAGAAGATGATGGACATGTTGACGCAAACGGGACGGTAAGATAACTATATTTCTCCTTTTACTTCCATATCCTTACTTATTATTAATAATATCCACTGCATAGACCTGAGTCGGTCGTTGGATGGTACCACTCTCACCCCGGATTTGGATGCTGGCTTTCCACAGTCGATATCAACACCCAACAGAGCTTCGAACAGCTAACACCGAGAGCCGTCGCTGTCGTCATCGACCCCATACAGTCAGTCAAGGGAAAGGTCGTTATCGATGCTTTCCGTCTCATCAACCCTCAATCTCTGATGCTCGGACAAGAACCGAGACAGAGCACTTCCAACCTGGGTCACCTCAATAAGCCCTCTATCCAAGCGCTTATTCACGGACTCAACCGCCACTACTACTCCATAGGCATCAACTACCGCAAGACTGCGCTAGAGGAGAACATGCTCATGAATCTACACAAGCACGTATGGACTGAGGCGTTAGAGATGGAGGACTTCAGACACGAGGACGAGCAGAACAAAGAACGTTTCAAGACGTTGGTGTCGCTCGCCGAGGGCTACGAGAAGAGAGTTAAGGAGGAGACGGAGTTAACTAAGGAGCAGCTTAAGACGCGCTACGTCGGCAAGCTGGATCCCAAGAAGCATCTGGAGGATGTTGGACAGAAGCTGATCGAGGACAACATCGTTTCCGTGTCGAGGCAGATGATCGATAAAGAGGCGACCATGCCCAAAAAGGATACGCCGGCTAACGGCCCGTCGAAGGGAGACCACATGGAGGTCGAGGACGAGGAACTGTAGATGTGCATTTCTCGAGAAAAAAAAATTAATTTCCAACCTGAGGTTTTGATCCTCGGTATAAGTGTATCATAGGCGTTGGAAGGGCTAGCGGACCCGGTCTAGAGAGCCTGGAAATGAACGGCTTACTTTACCGCTCGCTTTTGCATACTATGTGCTAGCGAGGTATCACGAACAAGGGAAATATTATCTCCCGTGCTAATACCCATCTTAGCTTTTTACCCAGTGAATCGTTTTGATTTCTGTATGGCCACACTTCGTTGACATTAATTTTTTTTTAGGATTATTTCACATTGTCCGCCTGTTGTCATTGCTGGGCATTGTTGTGGACAACTACAATACTTTTGTCCTCAAAAGCCTTTATTCCCCAACACATGGATCGTCCCGCCTCAAGTGAGCCGGTCGTCCTTTGAAGGTCATGTTCTAGAAAAGGTATTATCAAGCACACAAAGCCATCACCCTCCGATCAAAGACATTGTTTTGAGCGTATATCTTCGGGCTGCGCCCTACTTCAAATCGGTTTCCGCTCATGCAAAGACAACACTAGGTTAAAAATCAGTAATCAGTTGTTTTCGTCGCGTCACGTCTTACTACTATTATACACAGTTACGATCACGACGACAACGACAACAGCAACAACAAATACCGTACCGTTCCAAGTGAGTAGTAATCCTATACCTACCTCTTAGGTACCTACCTACCTAAGGTACCAAGCCAGACGCGATGCCTTCTAATTCGGACAAGTTTTGCCTCGACCTGATCCAGTGCTGCATGCCTCGCCCCCGCAACGACATGGCCAACCCCGTCGAACCCAATAACAACAACAATAACAACAACAGCTCCTCCTCGTACCTCCGCGAGCGGTACAACGCCCAGGTCCGCCAGAACTTGGACCGCGGCCAGCGGCCCTTACAACTCCCGGCAAGAGTCGAGAACAACATCCCGCAACCCCCTCCGCACGCGCACACGCACACGCACTACGGACACGCTAATCCCTCCTACCGCTTCCCTGTTGTCGGGGCGGGAGGAGCGGTAAGTGGTGGCAGTGGCAGTGGCGGTGGCGGTAGTGGTGAAAAGGACCCGCGCAAGAACTGGTCGACCTCGAGCCTCGACAAGGCCGAGCTCGCGGGCCTCTTCGACACCGTGGCCGCCGCCCTCGAGCACGTGCGGTACGCGATCTGCGGGCTGGCGGGGCTCGCGGACCACGGGTTCACCGGGCGCGCGGTCACGCGCGTGAGCATCCTGTGCGCGGCGCACGCCAAGGACGTGGTCAAGGCGTGGCTCGCGGCCAGCGGGTACGAGGTGTATGCGGATTCGGTCGGGGTGCCGGTGCCAGCGGCGGGGTCGGGTGTGCAGAATAGGAGCAAGTATGGGTACGGGGGCGGCGGGTACGGGCAGCGGGGTTCGGGGGGTTCCGGGGGCAAGATCTGCCGCGTGCGGATCAAGTACCTGGACGAAGGCTTCGAGAGGCTGGAGCGCGTGCGGTCGAGGGTGAGCGAGGCATGGGTGCTCGGGCTCGCGAGCCAGCTGGATCACGCGGCGGCGGGGTATGTGGATTACTCGAGGAAGAAGGACAGGCGGGAGCAGCAGAGACAGAAGCTTCTTGGACAAAAACAAAGTCAAGATCACAATGAAAATCAAAATCAGAAAGGGAAAGAAGGTAACGTTTCTGCCGGTAACAAGACGAAGCAGGAAGAAGAAGAAAAAGAAGAGCAGGAAAATGAGGAGCAGAAAGACGAGCAGGCGCTCGCGACCATCGCGCGCGACGTCTTCTGGGTGCTCGACAAGGCGGCGCGCACGCACCACGTGCTGGAGCCGCGACTGCTCCCGACGCTGCTGAGCCGCGAGTTCTGGGAGCCGTTCACGAGGCGGCACGGGGCGGCGCGGCCGGAGATGGCGCGTGCGGGCATCGACGTCGCGGCCGTGCTAGCGCAGCACCGCGCCGAGCAGGCCCTGCAGGAGCACGACGAGATGCTGCGCTCGTACGGCGTCGATCCGTATTCCGACGTGGACTCCGTCGACGGCGGGGCTCCCGCCGCGGGGAAGGGCGGTAAAGCGGCCGGAGGGGGAGGAAGAAGAATCGTAGCCCAGCAGCCTGGTCCGTTCGAAGGCATGCACGCCCTGCACACGGGCAAGACGCTGTACACCCCCGGCCAGCAGGACTTCCTGTCTCCCCTGCCCTCCCCCTCGCACCCGCACTCGCATCTCCCTCCCCCCCTCACCAGGACCCAAAGCGCCGCCGAGCCCGGGACTTCTCCGGCGTCTCGCCGGTCGACTGTGCAATGACGGAGAAATTTATCACTTGATCTAACAACCATTATATAATAACTGTAAAGCATAAATGGATATGGGGCAGTACATTATTAGCATAGAGAGATAAACATTAATTCCGCTTATAACCTTAAATATTATAATAAACGTATGTTTTTTATTTTACGTAGTTTTAATTTGTAAAATATAAGGTTAAAAAATAAAATAATTATATATTATGGTATTATATTTTAAATTAATTTTTCGGTTTTTTTTAATATAAAATATTTTAATTAATTAATTGTTTTAATATTATTTATTAAATATTTATTTAATTAAAAAACTTTTAAATTTATTAAATAATTTTTTAAATTTAAATTTTATAACAATATAAACTTTTATTAACGTTTTATATATTATTATTTTAAATATAATATAAGTAATTTTTTTCTAAAATAATAATTTATAAAATTTTAAAAATATAAATTAAAAGAATTATTATTTATTTAAAAAAAAACTTTATAATTTTATTTATATTAAATAATAAATTAAAATAAGTATTTTTTATATATTATAATATAAATAATAAATTTTTTTAATAATTTATTTTTATTATAATAATATTAATGTAAATTATAAATTAATGATTTATACGAGTTAATAATTTATAATTTTACATTTTTTTATTTAAAATTATTATAATTTAATTATGGTGGTTATGTGACATCGGCGCACAGGCACCTTATCGGGGATAAGGTGCCTTGCCGCCGATACGGGAGGGAGAAACAGTGTACCCACTATTACTGTATAAAAGGGCATCACGCTGCTAGCTAGCTTCAGATAGATTCTTCCCTCCTTAGACATCATCAATACACCAGTCTCACCCCCATTGTTATTTGATTTACTTGTTTATTGCTTTATATTATACGTACGTACCTACCAACAAATTATAATATGTTAAATTAATTAATTATATAATTAACTTTTATTATTAAAGGTTTTTATTTTAATTTAATATATTTTTATAAATATTATAACATTAAAACGCTTAATAATATTTATTTAAAAATTATTAACTTTTTTTATAATAAAGTAATTTTATGTAATAAATAATATATAATTTTTATAATTTTATTTAAAATATTTAAAATATTTATTAATAAGTAAAAATAATTATTATAAATTTTATTATACGTATAAAAAGTTTATAAAATAATTTTATTAATATTATATAATATTTTAAACATTTAAAATAAATTAAATAATTAAAAGTTTAATAATAATATATAATTAATTTTAATTATATTAAGCTTTAAAATTACTTTATTATTATTTGAAAGGTATAATTTAATTATTTTAAAATTTACGTATATATTTCTTTTTATAAATAAAATTTAAAATACTTTATAAAATATTAAAAAAAAGTTTTATAATATATATAAAGTTATAATATATTAACTTTTTAATAAATAATAAATATATAAAAACATATAATATTATTATTATAATAATATTTTTATAATTATTTAAAATTAATAATTTTTTACAATTTATTATATAACTTTTAATATATTTATTATAAATTTTATTTTATTAAAATTATATATATTTTTAAAAATAATACTTTTAATAATTATAATATTAATTATAAATATAAATTATATTTAATATATTATAAAACTTTTATAAAAGATTTATTAATAATTTATATAATAGTTAAATTAAAATTTTAATTTATATTATTATTTAATAAAATTTGTAATTTAATTAATTTTAATGTAATTATTATTACGTTTTTATAATAAAGTATTAATTTTTTTAATATAAAAAATTTAAGTAAAAAATATTTATATATTTAATTTAATAATATATTTAATAATAACTTTTTTTTAAAAAAATTAATTTTTTATATAATAATATTATAAATTTGTATTATTAATAATTATTAATATAATTATATAATATATTAAAAAATATTATATAAATTATTAACTTATATAAATTATTAACTCGTGATTTACATTAATTATTTTTATTTATTAATAATTATTTTAAATATTTTAAATAAAATTATAAAAATTATATATTATTTATTATATAAAATTATTTTATTAAAAAAAAGCTTTATAATTTTTTAAAAAACAATAATATTAAAAATATTTTTTTAAATAAATATTATTAAGCGTTTTAATATTATAATATTTATAAAAATATAAATTATAAATTATTAACTTATAATTTATATTATATAATAATAATATATTTTTTATTAATATATAAATATATATTAAATATAAAATATAATTTTATTAAAAACTAAAATTATAAAACGCAAACACATTATATAAATAAATGCACTCGCTTAATTAACTAATACATAAAAATAAATTATTACCCACTAAGAAATTATTTTACATAATAAAATAAAATATTAAATCAAAATTCAATACCATCTGGTTTTTAGCAACAATCCCCTCAAAACTTTTTACTAATTTTTAACTCCGCCTTTTCACCTCGCTAACACTCGGTAAAAAGACGTCGTCGTCGGTATCTTGCCTTAGAAACCTCCTCAGTCATTTCCTCAATCAAGTTACATTTCCTTACGTTTGATACTCTTATTTATTATTAGGTGACATGTTCGCGGTTACTTACCCCACTACTTATATCTACTTCAGCATATTTACTATTCCAAAAATTATGTGCTATGTTCGCAGCGACATATAACTGAAAAGAACCCGTATAAAAACTAACGTTACTAACTACACCTATAAGTAATTATCAGGTGAGTCCTGGATTCTTTAGCTATAGCCTTGACATTGCCGGGGTTAACTTTCTGTATGTTTTCTATATTACCTAGCTAACTCTATGTTTATATGTCTACCTACGTGGTTACTTCACAAATTATAACTCAACTTATAAAGTTAGTTAAATCAAAATACTGTTACACATGGCTATTATAGTAGACTTAGCTCGGGTTACAATGATAGTTGAGTTGACCAATCACATATGTTGATATCTTAACTGCCAATTGCGCCGCTTCGAGCATCGCCAGCGACCGAGACGAACGAGCTAGTCTACCTGGAAGTAACAGCCGCAGTCACCGCAGCCGCAGCAAGAAGAAGAAGAGCAGCAAGAGCAAGAGCAAGAGCAAGACGGCGAAGCGGACCCGGTTCTTCGAGGGGCTGAAGCGTACGGCGAGCAACAAGTCGAGCGGGGAAGGGGGGTAGGAGTAGTCCGTCGTCGCCGTCTAGGAAGGGGAGCTTGGGCGAAAGGCTCGGGCTCAAGAGGAGGAATAGCTTGAAGCCGTCGGCTTCGGCGACGCGGGCGAGCTATGGGCGGAGGGATGATGATGATTCGTCGTCGTCGTCGGAAGAGGAGGAATATGACCAGGGGAGGCCGGTGTCGAGGTAAAGGTGAGTGTGTGTGTGAGTCGATCGATCGCTGGATCGGTTGGTATGTTACGTTACGCTACGCTACGTACGTACAACTAACTACCTCCTTACTACCTAACCTACCACTAATGTTTGATTTCCTTTGTGAGTTGGGAGTTGAATAAGAGAGTGTGCAAGTCAGTCGAGTCAGTGCTACAAGAGAGGTACTCTACCTGGTATACGTACATCCTAGGTTAGCACATAAGTTCTTTTCAGGGACCTAGGAATTATATCGATCGAATGTCTACTGGAAGTAGTTAATACCTACCTCATATATCACACATACCCATACGCTGATCGCTCATAGCATAGATAGATGGATGGTGCGTAATGAATCATAAATCTAAGTGGCATTATGGTGATGAGGGAAAGCGAGATATCGGTACGCAGGATGAAGGTCTACGTCCGTACGTACCTAATGTATGTTAAGCGCTAGATCATCGACATGACTCTCCTTCCCTTCCCTTCCCTTCCCTCGACCAGGGATGTGTGTTGAGGATCTCGAAGAATCTTCAGGAATATCCGTATCCCCGGTGTTTGCTTTTGTCTCGAAGTCGGAGCGAATAAGACCCCTTAGGTAGTCTCACTCATAGGTAGCTAGCTCACCATGGTAGGTATGGTGACCGTTAACCAGTCCGACCCGATAGAAAAAAAAAGCCTCCAAGAAAGCAAAACCACGCTTACAAATGATCTGTGTAGTAGAGAGGTTTCCCTTATATTGCCTCATATCATGCCACACTTGGCACTCAACATCTAGTCCGCGGGTGTTGGTGCGCTGTTGAATGACAGAACAGAACTAAGCTTTGTTTACTCTATATCAACTACACACATGTACAATATAGGTAGCTCTCCTAACCTACCTGGTGGGCAACCTTCGTAGAAATTAACTTGCAATGTGACAGGTGACTCATGCCGGTTATATACGGCCGGTGTTGCAAAACCTTATATGGTCCCCCTAATCCGCACGTCAAGCTGCAAGAGGTATAGACATCTACTCAAAGTGGTACCGCGGAAAGCAACGTTCTAAGCCGTCCGGTCTTCCGGCCGTCAATTACCTCAGGTAGATAATGCTAAGAAATACGGCCGGGTCAACGGGTTCTCCTATTATATGAAGGCTGATTGGCAACTCAGTAGTTAAGTACTAAAGGTCAGCCCTTGGTCACCCCAAGGGCTGACAAAATGCCTTAAGGCATTGAGCCAATCAGATCAAAGCGACCTTTCCAATCCCGACACAAAACCTTAGGTTAAAACGTAAGGCCGTTCGTTATATATGATATTATCCTTAGTCTCCGGTTAATTACCATTCGACAAGTACGCACATACATAAACAGCCAAAGAAAGCCTTAATAAAGCAAATAAGAAAAAAATGAATTACGCACGCAGTGAAGAAGAATGCTGTAATTTAGCATGTAGGCATCACTTACACATCCATAGGACGAAAACAGTTCTATGCCCTTAATTTGTACGCGGAAACTTTTCGTCTCCCCCTTTTTCTTTTTGTTCTTAGCGCTCCCTCCTAGTCAAAAGGTATCAGCGTGGTGAAGAGATCTCCGAGGAAAATGAGCAATGATATTGTAACAAATAGATTTGTGTGTTTAAGGATGAACCCTACCTAGGTAGGCGTTCGGTATCTGAGGGACCCGACGGAACGGTGACACGGCACCTAATTTAGAATCAGCAAATTGGCGATCTGTCTCATACTAACTCATACTAACTCATTCTATACACCATCTAATCAACCCACTGCATCCTAGTCTAGGCACGTATTCAGACCGTATTTCAGTAGCTTTTCAAAACTTTATCTCATGTAAACATAAGCTGAAAGTCAGACCGTACCCTAACCCTTATACATGTTGTGATTCGACGCTTTAAGGTTTACCTAGCTTAGGTACCTATTCAACGCGCAACGTAGCTATAAGCCTGATTTGTGGTCTTCGGCTGTACTATTTCGATCGAGAAAAATAGCTCTTATGCTTATATGTTAGTTCAGATGTCATGGGTAAGAAACGTTGCACGACTATTTCTAGAGCCTGTTGTTATCTAGGGCGGAAACGCCTTCTAGCACGGTCTTGAGTAGGTTTTTTTTTGTTGGAACAAGCTAGGACGATTTGGTTCCTTCAAGGTTGACGTTGAGAAGTGAATGTATCCGCGGTTACATAAATAGAGTGAGAAGGAAAATATTTGGGAGAATCGAACAATATATATTTGGGATATGTACCCCAGATCCCAAGGCACAGTCATGTTCCGCTTTTCGAGCCTTGCATCTTGCATCGCCCCTACATACGCGCATCACGGAATTAGTCAGCGGGAGTCACCTGTCAACCCATCATGGACTTCCCTCAGGAAGGAGAGTCGATTTATTATCGATTGCAGGCTGCATTTTCTCGCGACTTGTATGGAAATCTGTTGCACTGCACAGGATCACAGGAAGCCCGTATTAGACGGAACTGGCACACCATAAGCCCCGAACTCTGTACTTGGAGTGGTACCGTTAATGTAGAGAAGACTCCTTATTACTTCGCTGAACTAGGGGATGACTTACACGGTTTGCAATTATACGAGCTTTATCAATCTTCTAACGCATCATTTACTGGTATTGTCCTTGATAATATTCCCGACCCCACACATGGTAAGAGAGAATTCGAAGCATTCTTCAGCCGTCTACTCCTTCGTCAGGCCAACTTTGCTATTAGTTATCAGTCTAGCAGTCCGGACCCTTCTGACCTTTATACCGAGTTGGTAACGGAAGAACTAGTGTCCTTGTTTGACACATATCTTCGATATCAGGGTGAAGATGATAAGTGGCGAGACTCCGGACGAGGCTATTTCAAGGAGCGTGTTTACCATTTTACCTCCCAGGGACGGAGGCTCGAACTTTGTCTCCCTGCTTTCCCCTGTAAATCATCCAATACCGACAAAGTCACGGGTAAAGACCCTGACCGTGGCGAGGAGCTGGCCCTGGAACGTCTTCATGGCTTTGTCGAAGCTGTCGAGGCGATATACAGCGCAGGCGCTAAGCTCTGGATAATCAGCGATGGACATGTTTTCAGCGACTGCAGTAAGCTTCTTTTTCGCCCCTAGATCTGCCGCATCGTGCTAAGTGTATACAGTTGGTGTCAACGATAAAGACGTTGACGCGTATTGTCAGAAGTTGATTAAGATGAACCGAGAGATTGGCTTTAGAAGGGGCAACACGGACCGAGTAGGGTTTAAGTCCCTTGTCGATCTTTTCGAGCTAGAAAAGTATAACAGTTCATTGAAGCTCGCAAAGATTGACAGCTTCGATATTCCAGTTATCAACCATCATGTACAGACATGGATAACCACGGAAGCTGAGCTATGCCGACGCCTGCTAATGGCAGGATGTCAATCGCAGAAATCTGCGCTCCGAGCTAGGATCGAGTCCCAAGAGGCGGGAGTCCTGGCTTTATATCGTGGATTTTCGCGGTTTATGCTTGAGGATTTGGAGCTCCATCCGTTCACGCGAACGATGAGCCGCTCGAAGCAGAAGAAACTAGCGTCCAAAGTGGCGTTTGAGATGATTATGGTAAGATCTTGCTCCCTTGTTAAATTTCCCCCCTAGAGCTGCATGAAGTAACGCAAATCAACTAATGGGGACGATCGTAGAGGAACCAGGCATACTCAAATCTTGTGGAACTCCTCTTCCCAAACCACATTCGGTTATCAATCCATGCGTAGGTTATCCGAACTCTTCCGAGACATCGTCGTACCGATCTTGAAATACCCGTAAAGCTAATGATGTGCACCCCTTAGACACAATAATGCGGGGCCAAAGTTTGGTGTTCAGCTCTTCGACCCCAAACTTGTCAGGGCAATTGAATCGCTTTCGCAAAATAGCAGCTCCGTGACTTCTCTGGACCTATTACACATCCCTACTCCTTGGCATAACTGTGTGGCAAAGGTCGCCGGTAGCGAGGTTCTGTATGTGACTAAGGCCAAGGTAGTACGGGAAGCACTTGCTAGAGGAGAGATGGTAGGAAAATTGGTTACACAAGAGGACAGATTCGATCCCAGCCGCGGAGTATATTTCGCTTTGCATGATGCTAGCCATAGTGGCATCGATATTCGGATGCGAGAGGCGATTAAACGGGAAAAGATATGTTTAGAACCCTCGAAGAGCGACAAGTCCAGAAAGGGTTGTACATCGTAAGTGAACCAAATTAACCTACTAATTATATTTTGACGAGGTATCTTAACGGACCGACTTGAACTGACTTGAACTTTAAGGCTGATGGTTGCATCCGCCTTGTATCAGCCACCTCGTCCATAACCTTTGGAGTGCGACACCGATTACGTCCTCATCTGAGCTTGTGATTCGACACTGTTGTACATGTGCTCTCTAGAGCAGGTGGATGAGACTATGGAACTTACCAGGGCTAACGGCGAAGGTTTCGCTTAAGAATTCCAATAGGGGATCTGAATATGGGTTTATTTTTGAGGAAACTTGATAATTAGTTGTCTTGCATACGCCTTGATTCCTTGAATAGTTTATAGACAGTGTTTGAATGTTTTAATGTCGGCCGTATCAGTAAGGAACCTCATACAAGATACCTTCGGTAGGCAGTATCATTCATATCAATTTGACTGTAGTTTGATTTGAGACCTTTGTCGCTTGTAAAAACCAATTAGACGATATTGATAGCCGAGTAGGATTCTGGTTCGACGATGGTGAAGGGAGGAGGGAAAAAAAAGAGAAAAAAAAAAGACAAGCAACAGCTACCTAATCACGACTAGGCAAGGTGTAGGTACCTCCCAAGGAATTTAAGACCTTGGGATGCACCCAAGACACGCACTTGCTCTGTTCTACGACCAATAGCATTACTAAGAGGTACTTATAGGTTAGGTAGGAATGTAAGCCGAATGTCGCAAAATGGTCGTAGTTTCCTTCTAGGTAATACCTACCTATACAGTGTACTATGTAGGTTTGCAGCACCATGGTATGATGGTTAGGTGGTTAGGTGGGCCTTACGGCCATAACTTGCTCAAATGTGCTCCTGGTTCAATAATAGGTACCTACCTATCGCACTCATTTTGTATGCCAAGATACCAGCTGTTGGGAACGACCGGGTCGAACTACCTTTAAGATACAGCTCGTGTGGTGACACAACAAGGGTGACTACATCTTATATAATTCCTTCAGTGGGAGAACGGTCAGACAGAAAAATCATAGGTCATGGCAACCATAAATAATTAATCTTCGACCTGTCGGGTTTTCCTTGTCAAACGTGTCTTCCCGTTGTTTCTATTAGATACCTACTCCCTTAAACTCAAATTTCTTTTTTTTTATGCTCGCAGGGTTTAAGATTTGCTTTCTATCTTATAAAATTACCAACAGATAATAACGACAAACTTGGCGCTTGCCCTTAACTCGACCTAGAAGTTTCATCTCATCGGATTAGCATCTCCGTTCAAGTATTGAAATTTTCAACTACGAAGCCACTCGCATCAAAAGATGGATATATCATCGTCAATTTCGTCGATGATGTCGATGTCAATGTCGATGCCAACGTCAACGTCGACTACAACTGGTGCTGCATCAACCGAAACTGCCATGGCGGGCATGGATAGTCATATGGATATGGGTATGGGTGGGAACAGCTGTCAGATCAACGTGAGCATATTCCTCTTCATAATATCAGGATTTGACTTTTGAATTCAAAATTGAGGATTGCTAACCGCTACTGCATGGCTAGATGCTCTGGAACTGGTACACCGTCGACGCCTGCTTTATCTCTTCCTCCTGGCACATTACCTCCAAGGGAATGTTTGCAGGTTCTTGTATCGCTGTGATCCTTCTTGGGATTCTGCTGGAGTTTCTGCGACGCTCTGTTAAAGAATACGACAGCTATCTCATCTGTAAGAATGTTGGCAAGGGTCTCGTCGTTTCCGTTGCCAGTCATGATGACAACGAGGATGGTCGCACTTCACCTAAGTCTGGCCAGACTGCTGCTAACGGATTGTCCTCGGTCTGTCCATCCTCAAGCAGCGGATATAGGCCCAAATTGTTCGAGCAAGCTATCCGTGCCTTCCTCCACACTGCTCAGTTCGTGGTGGCGTACTTCCTCATGCTGTAGGTCCCCTAACCACATATTATCACACCTTAGCAGATATGAATTAGTAGAGTTAATAATGTTACATTAGGCTTGCTATGTACTACAACGGTTACATCATCATCTGCATCTTCATTGGTGCCTATATCGGTAGCTTCATCTTTCAGTGGGAGAAGCTAGGAGGGTAAGTGATTCGATAATATTCTGAGTCCATTCGCCCCTTTGAAGGTCTAACAATTATATTAGTGCACAGCAGACAAGTGCCGCGAAGGAAGCTACCGTGTGCTGCGGTTGAGATACCTGCGAAACGAGAACAACCAACTTCCGAGCGAAGACAATACGATGGCCACGAGGGGATTAGGTGGATGAGGGCGGATACGGGGTTTGATTTCAATGGCGACGCGTTATATACCATTTAACCTAGCAATTTAGGACATAATAATACAAGCACGAGACTTTGAAATGACCCTTCTTGGAGGATTGGCAATATTTTGTAATATTTTGAGCTGTTTGAGGCTTGCGGTTAGGTTACATGAGTTACAAGCTACATGTAATGTGGGGCTGCAGACTGGCAGACAGAATCGCGTCAAAAAAGATGCTCCCCTTAGCCAGTACCTAATATTTCAAAACTCTTATTTTCATTACTAATAACGCTTTAACAACATAACATATTAATTTAGAGTGATGTTATTTCAATAGTAGTTAATTTCAGCCCCACTCTTTGAAAAAAGCGGCAGAAAATAGAGATTCCCCCTTATCTACCTATTTTACCACTTATCATCAACCATTAATAGCTTTTGAGATACTGCATGCATCTAATCGAGGCTTATATTATTAGAAAGCTCCAATTAAGGCGAAACTGGATATGTAACTTTGATATGTTATATCTTTTGATTGAAGAGGATAGGATAGTCAATTAAATGTCGATGTTTCGCGGAAAGGGGGCGCTACCACCACTTATACCTACTTGGAAGTATTTACCTGTGCCTTTGCGCTTATATAGCTTTTGAAATACCGTATGCATATAATTGAAATCTATATTATTAGAAAGCCCTAATCAAATTAGAACCGACTATGTAATTTCCATATATTAGATCGTTGGATTCAATACGATATAATGGTTGATGTAATGGTGTAATTAAGTGCGAATAAGGAATTTTTAAGTAATAAACCCTTTTGGGCAGGCGGTAAGAGAGGCGGTCCTAGAATTAAACTACTATTAAAGTACCACTACTATTGAAATAATATCACTCTTAATTTAATATATTTTAAACCTGCAGAATAATCCTAAAGCTATCTTATAATAATTTTCGATGTTATATTGACCTAGAATTGACTTTTTTACATTTAATTGAAGTTGTAATAGTATAATGGTACTTGGGTTTGGGGGTGGGGCATCTTTTTCGACGCCATTCTGGCAGATAGGTACCTAATTTGAAGTTACGGCTCCAGCGCCGTACCACGTGACAAGTGGAGTTCAGCCTCATTTATTTTTTTTAAGCCTCTGAGCTTTGGAATGGAACAAACTCCATTTTTCTTTTTCTTCAGCTAATCAAAGATCACTTTCTCGCTCTCTCACTTTCGCATTTCGCCTCCGCGCAATCATTCATCGCCTATCACCGCTCCTCATTTTTCAAAATGGCTGCGGCTAAAGACAGTTTCCTCGACCTGGAAAGGCATCGTCAGAAACTTAAAGAAAATGTCACGAGACTTTCTAATGCGCTTGACCATTGGAAACAATGGAAGCAAGAGTACGAAACGCTGCGGGCTGATGTAAAGTCGTTGCCATCAGTAGCTAGTCGGAAAGAGCTGCGAAGCACCCGGGAAAAGTTTAAGGGCGAATTGTTAAATGAGAAGGAGCTCGTTGATATCTTCGGGCGTGACGACTCGAAGAAGCCCGAGCAGATCATTAGTACGCTCACTAAAAGATTGGACTATGTTTCCAAGAATATCGATACCCTTGGAAAGCAGCGCGAAGACGCTGAAAATAGACTTGCCGCTGTAACAATTGTTGCGAATCCAGACGCGACTGACGAGGAAGGTCTACCAATCACAGAGATATTTGAGGAACTAGACGATGACGACAACGTTGTCTCGTACAGTCTACGTACCGCAGGAGATACCCAACCCCAGGTTCTTGAAGCTCTTTGGAAGGCGGGAATAACGGACTTTTCTACTGATTCCACGGCGTCGCCTGGAACTTCGAATGAGGCTCAAGATGGCAAACCAGCAGCCTCGAATGGTGATTCGAGTACATCAAGCCAGCAATATCAAGAGCCTCAGGTAGACACCCCATCGAACCGGATTGCAGATGATTCGAAAGAATTGCAAGCTGAGGAAAAGGCACAAGCAAAATCTGCATCTAGGAAGAAGAGCGTAACGTTTAGTGAAGACACAAAATCTGGAGAAGATCCTGAGAAGTCCGAAACTGCGAAGAGGCTAGAGGAAATTCTGCAGAAAGCCAAAGATCAGCAGAGTATAATATCAGACCCCGTCTTCCCTGCTGACGAATCTATGGAAGATGCCGCTCTCAGGGAGGATATGATTCGTTATAATAAGGAGACAATGGAGTTTGAGATGGCTCCCATTGTAGCCGAGTTGCAACTAGAGGAAGGATCTACCGGCGACGACACTGATGATTATAGTGACTATGAAGAGGAGGATGACGAAGATGAAGATGAGTGGGGTAAGACTAAGCTTACCGTTGACGATGACTGGAAACTACGAATGCTGGAACTCAAGGAGCGGCTGAGCAACTATTCCTTTGATAAAAGCCAGGCGGAAAACGACGAGGATGAGATGGTGGAAGGCATTGGCCGTATCAGTATCAAACGCGAAGGCCAAGATGCTTTAGTCGACAATGTCGAAAGCGAACCAGCGGTTCCCCCTCAAGCTGATAAGCAACTGCTGGCACAAGACAAGAAGAGTGTGAGATTTGCCCAAAGTCTTGATATAGCCGAAGCACCAGCGCCAGCGCCAGCTCCGAAGCAAGCTTCACAAACAAAAGCGAAGCAGCAGCGCGAGATAGATCCACTATCGGATGTGATCATGGAGCGTAGCGGCAAGGCACCACCACCAGTCGCGGCGCCAAGTAAGAAAGTATCCCGATTCCGAAAAGAGAGAAACAATGGAATACCTATAAATGCAACGCCTGTGGCATTAGGTGGTACTCTTATTCTACCGGACGTCCCTGACGTCCCTGCGCCTACGCCTTCAGGACCGGAAAACCAGACTCTGGCGACCTCCGTCTTGGAGCACGAGCCATCCTCGGTAGTGAAAGAGCCAGACGAATTCGATGCTAATCTGCTACAGAAGCAGGCTACACAAGAGTACTATAAGATGCGTAACAAACTCATCTACCAACAGGGCGGATTCATGAAGGAGGACGAAAGTCCTATCCAGCCGCTAGACGAAGAACAGGGCGGCCCGAAGCGGCTGAGTCGCTTCAAGGCGGCGAGACTAGCTAAATCTTAGAAGACGGACGATTTACGTCAACTCGACCTGAGTGGGCGACTTGCTTGATTTTCGGCTTATTCTACGAACGATTTGCATTTATCGAGCTGCTATTCTCTTGATTCCGTGGGAGATTATTATGTGCTCCGGATGAATCTCATAGGCGAAATCCACCCGTCAGCTTAGCAATTGGCATGTAGACGACAACTCGCTTTGGTCGATAGGTAGCGTCAATGCATCATCCTATTACGGCCAATACATCTTGAGCTCGCAGAAGAGTATAACAAAACAATTGCAAGCCGTTACAAGAGGTAGGTTCGTTCATGCTATGTGTCTCTCACGTAAGTAAGTGGTTTTCTTGATATTTCTCATTGTTCATTCTCTAGTCTCTCGCGAACAAAGTCGCGAACGGAACGCTTGTTAATCTGACAATTGATGCGTAGCGGCTACCATCTGCTATGTCATTACTAGCGATTCCAATATCAAACTAAAAAAAAAAGAGCAGGGCTCTCTGACGCCGCTACCCTGGATTTTTGTTTTCCATGTTCTGTGGTTTCGGCGATTCGTTTCACCCTGCACACTTCCTATACTTCCTTGATACTTATATATACATACCTATAGTTATAGGTTAGGTTAGAGGTAGTTAATAAGATGAGATGTGGTTTTTCTTTTCGTTTTAGAAGCCATCCCTGTACTCGTCATGCTATGTGATTTTCCCCATGTTAATTTATCTTGGCGTTGGTAAAATCGAGCTCGGGGTGCTGCTCCTGGAACTTCTTGAGGATGTCGGCCTTCTTCTGCTCGTCGGAGGAGGGCAGGCCAAGCTCCTTCTGGCGCTGGTCGTACATCATCTTCTCGACCATGCCGCGGGTCTCGCCGTCGAGGTCGCTCAGCTTCGAGTTCTCGGGCTGGATCTTGGTTACGTCGATCTTGGGCGCCGTCGTCACCACGTGCGCCCACCACTCCATCTTGTTGGCCTTGTCCAGGTGGATCTCGATCGTCTTGCTGCCGTCCGGCGCCGAGGTCAGCGTCCAGGTCGATTCTTCCGTGAGGATCGGGTGCGGGAGGTCGCCCTGGGGGGGATAAGTTTTTAGTAAAGATGTATGTATGTATATATGTATGACTATAACTACGACTTTGACTTTTGCGCTCTCGCAGTGAATATGTTATGTGACTTGGGTACGTACATCGATAATAGGATCTTGGCCCTTAATGCCGACCTTGAGCTTCTGCTTCTTGATCTCGACGACGAGGTCCCGGGCCTTGAGGTTTCCGGGGACCGTGGCGTTCACGTCGAGGTCGGCGATGGTCTGGTTCCATTTGTAGGGCAGCGCAGCCTGCTCCTCGGCTTCCTTGGCGCGGGCGGCGGCTTCTTGCTCGGGGGTGGGATCTGTAAGGCGAGTTTGTTAGATGTTAGTAGTAGTTAAGAGGTAATAATAAAGAATGGAAATATATTTAGCGATGTATACGTAAGATACGCGCGTACCGTTGTCTGTCATGGTTTATAGTTTCGAGGTCTCGTTATGAGTTGTTATTTGTTATTATGGTTTTCTTTTTACGGGTTTTGGTTAGGAGGTAGGTAGCTGAGCTATAAGTTTGAGTCGCAGAATCAGTGAGAACGCTAACGAAGACGTAGAAGCTCATATGTAAAGCTCCATGGAGGGGCAATTAATTTGGGTAGTGGGGCAGAAACCCCTGCTGCTTCTAAGGTAGAGCTGGTAGGTACCTAGGTAGACACTCCCATTCCAGACCAATAGCGACCCTGCAGCCTTATCGATTTGGTTAGGTTGTATTGTATTGTTAGGTAGGTTAGGTACGTACTTCGTTACCTAAGGCAAATTATCTTTGAAAGGTCAACGGCTAAAATCAAAGTTTAAGAGCTCCTCAAGTTGCATTCCTTCTTTTTTACCTACTTGAAAACGATAACGCGTCCCATGGCCGTCGTGGTGAACTTTCTCCCTTACAGGAATTCAGACCGACACTTACTTATCCCGTTGTCGATTACCAATCTTAATCCTCGCGAGACGAGACCCGAACCCAAATCAATGACCACCATTTAACTTCGATTCCTTTCATCCAGCCACCGCTCTAACTTGTCCTCCTCACTTCTTACCCAAATCTACCTCGGAGGACGAGAAATTCATAGGCGATCGCGATACTTACCTTAGATACCTGTTATCCACTAAAATACACTCGCCAATACATAAGGAACCATGTCTCGAAAGCACATAACCGGCTCCACCACGGTGCGCTCCGCCGCCGAGCCCTCGTCGCAAGTACCCACGGACATCTGCCCCGTGTGCACGCGGGTGCGGTACCTGAACAAAGACATGGAGTTTCTCATCAACCCGGAGTGCTACCACCCGATGTGCACGAACTGCGTGAGCAACATCTTCGGCAAGGGCCCCGCGCAATGCCCCTACGCGAGCTGCACCAAGACCCTACGACAGCGCGGCTTCCGCACCCCCTTCTTCAAGGACCTGCGGGTCGAGCGGGAGGTCGACGTCCGCCGCCGCGTCCAGGCCGTGTTCAACATGGCGCCCGAGGACTTCGTGTCCCTGCGCGACTACAACGACTACCTCCAGCAGGTCGAGGACCTGACGTTTGACCTGGTGAACGGCGACGAGAACGACCAGAGGAATGCGGAGCAGAAGCTGCTCGCGTACGAGCAGAAGCACAAAGACGACATCGAGAAGAATAGGAAAAGGGGGCGCGAGGCGGATTCCCTCCGCAGACAGCGCGAGGCTGCGGAGGCGGAGGCCGCGCGCCAGCGCAGACTCGAGGAGCAGCGGGGGGAGGAGCGCGCACGCGCCGAGGAGGCGTCTATCAACGCGGAAGTCATGGAGGCGCTGGAGCGCGGGGAGCCGGGGACGGCGGCGGAAATCCAAGCGCGCATCATCGCGCAGAAGCGGGCTCGGGTGGCCGAGATCGCGGGGTCGCGCTTTTCCAGCCTTCTTGGCAACATCACTGCTACCGCCACTACTACCACTACCACTACCACCGGCGGCATTCCCGGTTCGGGTTCGGGTTCGGGTTCCGATACGCTGCTCTCGATCCGCGGGCTCAAAGACAAAAACAAGCGCGACGAGGACGCGGATTACTACTTGCGGCCGTACGACGCGTTCGCGGGCCTGGACCTGAAGCCCACGCGGTACGAGCTGCGGGACCGGTACGACAACCCGTGGCTCGAGGACGCGCGGACGCGCGACGACCACCGGGTCCCCGGGTACAGCGCGCGCGAGTACGAGGCGCGGGCTATGTTCGACGCGTTTGCGGGGTTGGGCGTGTTTATTGCGGAGGAGAAGAAGAAGGGTGATGATGATAAAGGTGGTGATGGTGGTGATGGTAAGCGGAAGGTAGTGGGGACGGTGGTTGCGGTGGAGGGGGCGAGGAGGATGGTGGGGAAGGTTGAAGAGGATGTTTTTGCTTAGGAAGCACGAAGAAGAGGGAGGCTGTGTTTGTGGAGGGAGGTTTATGCGGCGTGAGAGGGAGCAGGAAGTGAGGAATTTCCAGCCCAATATCGATCTTAATTATTATGGTAAGCCGCTTGGTTTTCCCATCCCCATCCCCATCCCCATCCCCATCTCATCCCATCCCATCATCTTCTATTTCCCTGCTGGAGTTCTTGGGCTCAGGTTTCGGTTCCAGGTTTAGAGAAAAGGGGGTAAGGGGTAGCGGTAGACGATACATGGACGGTGCGGTGCATATTGCCCGTCAGCGGCGATGATTATCATGTGTTGCGTACTTAATCTATACACAAGTACAGAAATACCTACGCACGCCAGACTAGGAAGAAATAAGGAGGACAAAGAGTCTGGTAGAAAAAGTAGTGCGCTTTCGATTTGCATAGCGACGGCGTTTTTTTCAGGTACGGTGTTCCCGGCATGATGGGGGATTATAACAATTATAAGAATAAGAATAAGAATAAGAATAATGTAAATAGAGACAACTGCTGCATTGCGATGCTACTGAAAATTTAAAAATACATAAATAAAGAAGTAAATAATCATATCCTAGCTATAACTATACCCCCGCCGTTCGTGAGTATTTGTTTGTGTATTATTTGATTTTCATCTATCTTCTTTCTATCCATCCATCCATCCCACTACACTATTTCGAACAATTGAGACCTGACTCTGCAACCTTACCTATGAAAAGTATAAACCAAGAAAAGTGCAGCAGTCAGGTCAGTATAAAGGTGGTATACAGGTAGCCATTACGCAATAACTAGCCTATTATTAAACGTAGTTGAACTCAACAGCCAACAGCCAACATGGCATAGATAATACAGGCGCATGAAGCAAGTAGCAACGTAACCTCTTTGACAGTCGACCATTGCATGCATGCAAGTTGCTTTGTGCCTCGCGATTCCACCCAACTAGCCCATCTCTCTTTTTCTGAGGGTAATAAGTTAAGTAACTGGTAGTAGTAATTTTCCTCTTGGAGCAAAGGTAGATCGAAAATGTATTTTCTTTTACAAGAGTTTCCCCCTTCCCTTCCCCTCTCCCTCTCCCTCCGCGGATACATACCCGCAATGACGAATCTTCGCTAGATTTATTTAATTTGTTTATCGCTTGCCGTCTGCCGCCTGTTCGCCTGCCTCTCCTAGTAGCTTCTAGTTGGAAACTTTCCCCTCTCTTCCCCGTCTCCTGAAAATAAATCCCCACCCTTTTCTTTCTCTTTCTTTTGCTCCCCATCCAGTCTCAAATAATTATTGACTTCGCCGAGAAAAGAAAGAAAATAAATCTCACGAAATCCTTAGCGTAACGCCTCGCTCTATGCGTTTCTGTGACAAATTAGGGACCATCCCAGCACGTGATTTCGGCCCTCATCTTCATCTTCAAAGCCATCAAACCCCCCTCCCCTCCAACATGCATCAGGTACTCGCGTTGTTTCCCTACTGCTGCCAGGGTGTCTGTGTAGCAGGTCGAGGGAATACCGGCATAGCTTCGAGTTGGTCCAGACCCCCGCCTATCGGCTGCTGTCCATGCTGCCACCCCATACCGGTCTGGTGGTTTACAAAAGCGCCTTGTCGGAACGGGTTTGTGCTCCCAGTAGGTTGTGGCATAAGACCGGCGCTAGTCTGGGGCCTTTGTGGCTGACTCTGAGGCTGATTCTGAGGTTGCATTTGTTGTTGCCCGAAATTTCTAGCAAATGGATTGGTGCCTGTAGCCGTTGTTTGTATGGGTGCTGCTGGGGGTTGCGACTGGAAAGGCGAGCTGGAAGGGGGATTAGAAAAGGGGGTAGTAGGTTGAGGAGAAGATCGTGCAAAGGGATTGGTATTTTGTCGGCTCAGACCGCCATTCTGAGGTTGGGGGTTAGTCGGCGAGGCGAAAGAGTTATTAGGTGCTCCAGTAGGATTGGCCATCAACATTGACGCCCTGAAAGGATTGGTTATCTGCTGGCCAGGCTGAAGCCCTGTCTGCATAGGCGGCGATAAAGTGCCAGGTTGGAAAGATGGAGCGGAATTCTGAGGGATAGGAGGAAGGCTACCCGGCGAAAAGGGTTGAGGCGTATATCCGCCAAAGCCAGCACCGGTAAAATTCGGCTGTATCTGGTTTGGTACCTGCTGCTGCTGGGAGAAAGCGCCAAGATTTTGTTGCTGGAAAGGGGTATTATTAGCTTGAAAGCCAGTCGGCTGAGATACGAAACCGTTGTCTTGGAGCTGGCCTGTTGGCTGTACTGCAAAGGGCGTGTTCGAAGGCCAAGGGTTTCCTGTAGACATGGGCAGGTTCGCCTGGGCAATCTGCAGTTGAGGGTTCGGCTGTACTGCCATTGGGGTTTGGTTCTGCTCGATCGAGTCGAAGAAATCGATCAGATCTGGGTCTGGTCCCCTCGTCGCCTGTGGCGGCTTGGATGAGGATGAAGTTGAAGATGGGCCATTCGACTTTGCGGCAGTGGCTTTGGAATCTGCGGTGCCCTTGTCAGGTTTCGACGACAATCCGGACCCGCCCTTCTTCTTAGCCTCAAGCTCAGCTAAGTACTGCCTCCGGTGAATCTCAAAATCAGGATCTTTGAGATACTCTTCTAATTGTCGCCTAAGATTAATAGGGGCGTGCTTCAGCTTGGGAACTTCGACTCTAGTATGAGGTTCCCATTGTCGCGCCACAGCAAGATATTGTACAACATAATCTGTTTGTTTAGTGAAATTTTGATAAATTTCCAAAGCCCTCTCCGCGTCTGGCTTTGACATTTCAAAAAAGTGCCCTAGAATTTATTTAGCCTCTAAGACGTATATATCGCTTATTGGTATACTCGAGCGCACCTAAGATGTTGATCATAGCTTGGTTCAGTACCTGGAACAGTGCTAATAAGTCCAATACCAAAAGTCGGAACACGGTAATAGTAATTTCGTTCTCGGGGTCCTCGAGAACCTACCGCAATGTTAGCACCGACGTCGCTCCTGAACTATGAAAGGAATGAAGAAGCGCATGACAACATACATCACACTTCAGCAGAGCGGTAAGCTGATGTTGAACCACCTCTGTTTCCCGGAGTAACCCCTTTTCAACCGAAAGCTTCTCAAGTCGCGTCTCTTTAGCTCGGACCCAGTCCACTCTCGTATCTCTGTATGCGCGTACGCGTTCCGCGAGGTAGCCGGCATAGTGTCGTATATTGCGCCCCTGAATTTGCGCTGCCATGCATGTCAGAGATATTCGCCTCGAGATCATGGGCTCACATAAGCAGGGAGATATCTACACGGTCACTTACCATCGGTGAAGGAGCCGATCGCTAGTTGGCTTCGATGTTTCGCAAGATATGCTAATGTGGCATCAGGCGAGCCTTCTCTGATCATCAAATGGATCGTTATCAAGCTCTTGAGTACTACAGTCCATGTCGAATCGCGTAATCGAAACTGCAATGCCCGAAAAACCTCCCCTACTCCCGCTTCTCCTGCGTGTGTGGCGACAAGAATATGCTCGATATATTTGGTCTTAGGAGGAGCGGCCTACTCGACAACATTCGTCAGGGGTTAGATTGGCAAAGCTTTCGAATGCCGCGTGAGGCACGGACTGACCTTAATCTTGGTGGCACCCTTCACAGACTTCTCAAAAGAACTAGACATGATGACGATGCTTGGTGAAGACCAAGCGAAGACCAAGCGAGGCTTTCGGCTAATCTGTTATGGGGCGTGTTACGTCGGGGTCAAGTATTCGCCAGTATCGTCGGTATCGTGAATCGGCGATGAGTTTGAACAGGAGCGCCGAAAGGTATTTGTAGGACTATCTGTCAATGTTGGACAAGCGCAACAATCATCATCGGGGGGGTGCGACGTCGGGGTTGTTCAGGTTTGTGGTAAAGCGGAATTAAGAGGAGGAATTGAGAGGATCGATGGACTAAAAGCAGACTCAAGTTTCGTGGACATGGACGGGTTTGGCTTTCGTTACGGCTGTTCCATTTCGGATGGAGAGGGATGTTTTTCCATATGGCTACTAATACATTTAAAATATCTAATTTCGCAAATGATTGACTCTTTGGTGTTTTATGTCGTTTGATGTTTTAGTCGGAAGTTTCCCGTCTTATAGTTTTTAAGAAGGCTTAGGTACCAGGTAGGTTAGGTAGGTAGTTATAGGAGGTTTAGAAACTTTAGAGAGACTTTGGAGAAATGGGAGTTTTAGAAAAGAGACCAGCCAAAACCAGCCTCAGTTGTAGGAAACGTCGGTCGGGACATCGGGCTCCTAATCTAATTTTAAGGTTTGGTCCATCATCCATGTCATCTCCCACCCACTCATTATCCACGTTACTATGTAAGATATGTAAGTACCTCTATCGATAATGTGAATAAATGGGTACCCCCTGCATGTACTTATACCTTCTTTATCCCTTCTATACGTAATTCCATGGAGATACTAAAACAGGTATTCATATAATAAATAATCATCTAGATACGTGCGATGTCATTTAGTATGCGATGCGCAACGCGGAAGCACAAATCTAAGTATACGTAATGTTAGGTATCTATCTAAAGGTACAACACCTTTAGGTACCTAACTTGTAGGGGCTTCCAAGGTTTTGGTACCTTGTTGACTTTGGTTTGGACCAAACCTTCATCTGTACCTAACGTAGGTACCTTTGGTGTAGCATTGGTCTAATTGATAGCTATGAGGTCATACCTCCTGACACTCTTGGAAAATACGGCAACCGGCACCGAAGTACCTAATGAGCAACCTAGATTTCTTATATTAACAGCCTTAACAGTTTTGACGGCAAGTGTTTACATAAGATTGGAAGTATTTTCTTGTATTTATATGCTGCATGCAAATAAATACCTTCTTCGCGAGCATTAATCGTTGTATAACAACACACGTTACAACATCATGGTATCTCGTTTACACATTGACAAACACTAACAAAAGATCATGAGGAGAAAAGCGCATGGAATTATTTAATTATCTCTCGCGTACCTAGATTGGTAAAGCTATTATATAAAGACATGTTGAGACTAATAAGATACGATAACAATGACATGGGATCGAGGAAAACAAGGTGTAAAAGGGAATGGGGAAAAGGGAGAAAAAGAGGAGACAGATCAAAACCTTCCAAACTACCAAACAGTAATCAGAGTTGCTGTTTCGCGTCCGATGTAAACAAGGTCCAAGGTGTGTCGAACGCTCATTTCATGATTCCAACTCTTCGCTGCAATAGAACCGCTTAAGCCCCAAAAGGGGAGAGTTCTAAAGCTTTGAAGAGAGGAAGACATCATATAGTACACGCAGCTTTCATCATCTGCGATATTAAAAGTTAGCAATATGTTCCAAATATGACGGAAGTTAAGACGTTTAATCAGATAAACTCACTTTTATTTGAAGTGGAAGGATGAAGAAGAAAGGAAAAAAAAAGAAGTTCAAAAATTTGGCGGCTAAGCTTTTCTAGAAAATGTATTATTTTTTGCGCCGGGGCGGAATTGGAATTATCCGTTACAGCCATCCTGGACCTGACCTAAACCGTACCCGTACCTCGGGATCTACTACGTACTGGACCTGTAGCCTGTAGGTTAGGTACCTAGGTACCTCGATTATGTACCTGGTAAATCTGCATGTTTGTACCTAGGCCATGTGGGGACATCTTCTCTTCCTTTCCTAGGGCAGGGAATAGGTATAGGTTAGGTAGGTACATAGGTACATACCATTTTTTATCCCATCTCGATTTACGTCTCAACTCACCAGTGGTATGTTGTTACAACTTTCCACTTTTTTAAGACAGACAATACTCTAAATGGTTCCGTGAGAGATCAATGGTTAGAATGCTCTCAGGCTATCTGCGGAGGACTGCCATAAGATGCATTCCGGGCATCAAAGGACAGTCCCTGCCACGTCGATGCCAACCCATTTTCCAACTGGGACATGCAAGATCCCTTCATGAAGAGACTTCTAAACTCACAGATCCTGAACCCGTACCTACCGAGTCCGAACCTGCTGAACCCCAAGCTCATGATATTCCTCAAAGTAGCTCCAGTATAACCCCTGATCCTAGCGACAAATGGACAACTTATAACAAGAATTGTAAGACATCACAAGACAACAACTACCTATCCTATATCTCTTATACATCTTGTAGTAACTAATACACATAAAAAGTCGTCAATCTCCAGCGTATTAGACCTACTCCCGCTTTCGGCTATGTGGCCGGACAGGAAGTGGTTATTTATGGATTTATTGGGAATCGAAGGGACGTGAGCTCCAACTTGAGCTTCTGTGAGATCACTAACGCGTATGACTTTGGTCCCCAGAATCATGTTCAGATTGTTTCCAGCTGGAAGGACAACGGGTCGCTGCAGCAGGTCGCTCATCTGGACCTGTTAAGTATACCACACTTCAGCCCAGTCATCGTGACCGGAACCCTCCAAAAGCCCCCCAAGACTACGGTCGCGCCTGGGAAGCCGCAGAGATGGGACCTCAAGCTACGAACCATACATTGTCTAAATCCCTTCCCGAAGGATATCATTGTATCGAAAGATGCTGTGTGGCCGCCCACCCAGCGTCATCTGCAGTTGCGCTTCGATCCCCTTCTCCGTGATAGGTTAAAATTACGAAGCGCCCTACGGAATGTCATCTCAAAGCATCTCGTCTCCAAGAGTTTCATAGAGGTAGAGACGCCCCTCCTATTTAAGTCTACTCCGGAGGGCGCTCGAGAATTCCTAGTCCCAACGAGGCGGCAAGGTTATGCGTACGCGTTACCGCAGAGTCCACAGCAGTACAAGCAGATGCTCATGGCGAGCGGCGTCACGAGGTATTACCAATTCGCCAAATGCTTCCGCGACGAGGACCATCGTGCCGATAGACAACCTGAATTCACTCAGCTCGATATAGAAATGGCATTTTCCGATAGCTGGGATGTGATAAAACTCGTTTCGAGCATCGTCGAAAGAATTTTCCTTCACCTTCATGAAAGATGGTCCCCAGTTGAGGTCAACGGCATCCAGCATCCGACTTACGTAGGCCCGGAAGAAAGCAAAAAGAAAAGGAAAGTAAGAGATGAGGACCGAGAGGATTCAGATCTTCCAGGTGTTTGGGATGGGTTAAAACGTTATCCTAAACTCGAATTCAAGGACTTTACGAGGATGTCATATAGCAGGGCAATGCAGCATTATGGTACCGACAAGCCCGATCTACGTATAGCAGCGCCGTACGTCACAGGTGTAAGTTAAGCATTCCTAGTAGGACTTCTCTTTCGTATGCTGACAGAGATAGATCCGCGGTACATCTAATTTGAAAGTCTCCGAGGACTTCGTCAGACAAATTACGGGCTTGAAGTACCCATTTGTTGAGTGCTTCAAGGTTCGCCTTGATGCGTCGCCGCGCAAGGCCAGGGAATTCATCCGGGACTTTATGGATTCTCTACCTAACCTCACCACGGTTAAGTTGAGTCCGGGATGTAGGCCGGCTGTGTTTATCTATGATTCCAGCAAGCCACTCAATGGCTTGGCTGCTCTAGGACACGAATGTGCTCAAGAATTTGAAGCGTTTGCGGAATCGGAAGAGAGCAAATTCCATGGATGCAAGGACGGAGACATCATTATCTTCCACGCACGGAAGCGAGCTTTATTGCATGGAAGTTCCACTGATTTAGGTAGACTTCGAAGCGCTATATACTACTCTGCCGTAGAGCAGGGTCTCCTACCCAAAGACAACTCTTTCAAACCGGTCTGGATACGTGAGTTCCCGCTTTTCACACCGAATGAAGACACTGGGGACCCAGGCCAGGGAGGTACCGCGGGATTCTCCTCGACCCATCATCCCTTCACAGCTCCTCTTTCACCTGCGGATTTCTTCTCCGCCAAGGACCAGCCTTTCCAGGCGAAGGGCGACAACTACGACCTGGTGATCAACGGCGTGGAGGTGGGCGGCGGGAGCCGGCGTATCCACGTCGCCAAGCACCAGGAGTGGATCCTGCGCGACGTTCTCAAGATGACGGACGAGGGCATGGCCCAGTTCTCGCACCTTATGGAGGCGCTCAGAGCGGGGTGCCCGCCTCACGCCGGGTTCGCCTTCGGGTTCGACCGCCTCATGGCCGTGATATGCGACGTGCCGTCCGTCAGGGACGTCATCGCGTTCCCCAAGAACAACAAGGGCGAGGACCAGATGGTCGGTAGCCCGGCCAAGATCACGCCGGAGCAGCGGAAGACGTATCACCTATTCCAGGACTCGGAATCGGAATTGGAGTCGGAGTCGGGGCCGGAGCCAGAGCTAGAACCCAAGTTGGAGTCTAAACTGGAGCAGGATCTAGAGTCGAAACTAGAGTATAAACCGGAGTTGGAGTTGGAGTTGGAGCCGGAGCCAGAGTTGGATTCGCAGTGGGGGGAGTCGCAGTTGACGGAGTCGCAGCCGGAGTCAACGCCGGAGTCAAAGTCTGGATCAGTGCCAGCGACTTACCTAGAGTAATCCGAAGATCTATTGTAGCACCAAGTGTACATATACATTAAAAAATACTGATCTCTCTTCACCTGTTTGTAACCTGTTTGTCTAATGGCTACTAGAGTCTTAAAAGCCCAGGAGGACACGCAATTTATGCAATATATACCTTAGGTAGGTAACCTAATGCGCTCAAGATGAATACCTATTGTAAAAACGGTGAACACCTAGCCAGACGCTGTATTCAATATCGATACCTATCAAGCTTCCTTCCTTCTCGCGGAGCAGTCAATCTTCCAAAGCCTGCATAACAGGAGGTAACTAATATGTTCCTTCACTCCTAGCCATACGAACACTCCTATTCATTCTCTTAACAATCTTACCGCGACTTCCTTCCATAAGTTACCTACCTAGGTAGATAGGTACCTAGGTGCCTGTATAATAAATAATTACTCACGACTGATTCAGATCAGGCCAAGTCAAGCCATATGATCAGACTAATCGAGGGAAGCAGCATCCGCCGAGACAACAGTTTCATCCTCACGCAGCATCACGTCCTCTCCGTATTCTTCCTCATCGTCATCGTCGTCATCGTCGTCGTCCGGTAGAATGTAGCTGCCGTTGATGGGCTTGGCGTGCCGCGTGCGCTCGCTGAGGATGTTGGACGGGTCGATGGCTTCCCTATCGTCCTTGCCTTTTTTTTATGGTGTTAGCTGAAAAGAGAGAGAGAGAGAGAGAGAGAGAGAGAGAGAGAGAGACTAGCTAGGATAATAAGGCGGGAAGAAATATGTTGTAGGTTAGGTAGCTAGTAGGTAGTAATTAACAAATGCATACCGAGCTTCACGTTGTAGTCAGCTACGACCTCGTCGGCGGGACTTTCCACAATGTCGCCGTCCTGGTCCGATTGCTCGGACACGGGGCTCGTGTCCCCGCGTTCGTGCTTGGGTTCAGGGCGTGAGGTAGTGCTGGTGCTGGCGCTGGCGCGAGTGAGAGTGGGAGTGGGGGGAGCAGTGGAAGTAGGAGCGGAGGTGCGGTTCTTGTAGGCCGACATGGTGTCTGATGAATAAGTATAGAGATATGAATATGTAGAGATATGAAGATCAATGGAGTAAAATAGGGATACCATAATTATCTCGTGTCTTGTGTCTAAGCTGTTGTTCTTCGAAGTGTTTTGACTAGGTAGGTACCTAGGGATCTAACCAGAACACATTCATTCCCTCGAGAAGCGGCGGCGAAGCCTCATTCTTATACTTGACGATACCCACCCTCTCTTTTCCATTCTAGCGACGGGTATATATCCCATACGCCTTGTCACCACCGCACATACACACCTCACCGTCGCCGCCGCCGTCGTCATCAATACCGTCATCGTAAAATATCCACGATCGACGAGCATCGTGACCGTTGTCACCTGCCTGCCTCACGCTCAGCGTTCATGAATTCACGAAGAATGGTTCAGCCTAGTATATTCCGTGCAAGCAAGCTAGTAAGTAGGACTATAGGGCGGTTAGGTACCTGGTATGTAGGTAGGTATATAAGTGTGTTATACGAATCAACTATAACGCAACCCGCCGTGACGCCATTCACATCTCGTTCAGAAACGCCCGCATCCAAGCGAAACGGAGCCGAGGAGATCGAGGTCCGGGTGACGAGGTTATTGCTTTTTTTCGGCCCCTGTCCCCGCCCCCCCGCCGCAGCCCATGGATATGATCTATCACTATCACCACCTGCATGCCGGGAGCCTGCATACTAGGTGGGTAGGTAGGTAGGTAGGTAGGTACCTAACGTATGATTGATCGGGCACATAACTCAGCTATGACCTGTGCCTTGGATGTGAATATATAAAAAAGACAAGCTGAAAAAAAAAAGGGTGGGAGGGGGGGGTGGAATATATTCCGGATACGAGGCTATTTCTACCAGCGCCACTTACGCCGGCCACCACCCGATGGAGGTACGCACGCACATTTGCAAGGTAACCTAGGCTGTAACAGGTATTCCAGCACTGATCTCCAAGCCCGAACATCACGATCTTAGGTAGGTACCTAAGAGGTAAGGGCATGGAACATCTCAACTCGCCCGTGAAAACCCGACGTAATCCTTCCTCAACCTTATGCTTTTTTCATCAACACTCACAAATCCACCCAGAAACCCATACCAAGCAAGTAGTGATGCGTTAAACCATGTTATTCTAATAAGTACTAGGTATCACTATCTCAGCTGATTTTCCCTCCTCTCTTTTTCTAACTAATCAAGGGTATCAATATGTATTATTCATGCATTCTCGAATTCTCTCGTGTAGGTATCACTCCCCTTTCTCCCCTAGAACGTCGACGGACCTCCCACCCCTCCGCGACGCACGCCGCTATCCGTCTGCATACTCGCTTCCAGCGCCCGTCTCAGCTCCTCGTCCTCGTCTTCCTCCTCTTCGTAGTCCGCGTATTTGCCTTTCCCCCTAGCTTTCCGATACTGCTCCTCGGCTAGACTCTGCTTCTTGACGAATTCCATCACGATGTCTTCTTCCGACTTGAGCGCTAGTTCTTCCTTATGCGCCCTCTCGGATTCCTCTATAGCGCGCCTGAGTTCTTCGTCGTCGGCGTCACCACCGCCATTATTACTTCCTTGGGTTTGCTCCGCCTGAGAAGCCTCGATAGCTTTCCTTAGCTCGTCGTCTTCGTCGTCGTCGTCGGCAAAACCACCCTTTCTCTCTTGTTCCGCTTCCGAAGCCTTAAGCGCTGCCTTGTAATTTTCCTCATCCTGTTCCTCTATAGTTTTTTCCGTTTGTGACCTCTGAAGGACCTCTTTCAAATCTTCGTCTTCTTCGCTATCATCGAGGTCGTGTCTCCGGACTCCGCTCCTGTGTGGCTCGGCCATGCTGAGCTGAACGGCTTGCTCGATTAGGGCCTGGTACTCCTCGTCGGTGATCTCCAATGAATCCTCGAGTGTTCCGGAGGCCTGCGAAGATCCCGATACAGGGTATTTAACGTCTGCCGGATATGGGCGTTTGATATCCGTAAAGTATCCGGAGTCATGGCCGCTGGAATTCCAGGAATTGGCCGAGGCGAACGACCCTACAGTTGTTGACCTAGTCCGTAAGGCTCTGACACTAGACCGAATCGCCTGTTCGACTCGCGCGTCCTCGCTTGCATCTCCAGTTGATGTCTCTCGCACTGCAGTCATAATGGCTCGTTCAAACTCTTCATCCTCATCACGGGTGTCACCTGTACTAGAAACTGAACGAACCTTCTCATCAATAAACGTGCCGCCTGTCGCTGCCCTTTCCGCTTGCTTTTGCTTCCAAGAGGTCTTTTGGTCATGTAGGTTCCTCCGTTCCTCACTGGATAGGGTCCTCGATTGTAGCCATCCGGTCCTCTGCGGTTCGTTACTGGCGATCTGGTGGGTAATAGCTGATCCATGGGCCGGTGGCAGAGGAGTGATTTCCTTGGTCTTTCCCTTTTCTTTCTGCTTCCAGAGGTAGAATCCCTTCATCTGCTCCTTCTTGGCCAGCCATCGGACTTCGATATCTTCGCGTTCCTCGGGTGACGCATCCTTGAAGTCATCGTCGCCTTGGGAAATCCGTGATGCGAGAATATACTCCTGAGCATTCTGAGCGAACCGAGACCTAATTTCGGCGTGGACACCCTGCATGGCATACGCAGGAATGGACCAGATTGCTAAAAATTCTGTCAGTGCGCTTAGTCCTATCAAACTGGATGGGGATTTTCTTACCTGCCGCAGGTTTTAACATGAGGCCGCCGATTCCCTTACCGAAACCCTTAAGCAGTCCAATGCCCCCGTCCTTCTCGGCACCTCTGATAGGTTGAGTTACCAAACCGGTGATACCGTCGTAGAAGCCGAACCCAAATTCCTTGCCGGCGACCTTGAGACCGCTAGCGAAACTTGTAACTTTCTCCGCAGGACGAACAGTATCATCGTTATACAAAGTCGGCGCGTTTCTGAAGCCTCTCGCAGCACCCAGACAAAAGTTCATAGGGGATTTCATGCCGGTTGCGAAGATATTGTTGATGATCTTACCCGTACGAATGGCCCTTTCGAAAGGTTCGGCCGTGAGGGTCGGCGATGCCATTCCTGCTTTGGAACCATTTCTTTGATGGCCAGGACTTTGAACTGATTCAGAAGGTGATCTCGAATGTCCTGAGTTAATTGTCGTAGTATGTGCTAAGTGAGGTAAACTATTAGGCTCGGATCGCGCAGCGACTGGATTCATGCCAAGCGGGTCTACGGCGGGTCGATTAGACTGGGTGCTGGCTCCATCAGTGAGCGGCAGTGTTGTATTCGAACCGGCTTGTTCAGGTAAATTCAGTGTACTTGTACTAGCTCCTCTCGACGTGATCGTAGCCAAGTCGCCACTTTTCCCTGTCGCTTTGGCATCCGATCCTTTTCCTTCTTTAAAAACACCTCGAGGAATGTCTACCGCAGACATGGCAATAGTACCAAAGTCTCCCAATAGCGCTGATGCGCATGCCGAAATGGGATCTGTTGGATGATCTTCGGTACTGTATTCGTTCGGCCGGAACCTGAGACATGAATTAGTACGACTAAGTTGCACATAGACACGCATGTATACAGGCTTATCTTACAATTTTAGATCCGAATATCGTAGATATCCATTTTTTACTAGTACCGCTGCAGCCAGCGAACTGAGGTGGACCTGTGTTCGTCGGAGACGCCATGTGGCAACACGGCTGGGTGCTAGTGCGCAACGTAACCTGTCGACATCGAGATGTTTGTGAAAGCTATGGGCTCCAACGTCTGTGCCTTTCTCCTCTCGTATCTTCTCGCCCAGTTCGCGGGCTCGTTCCTGGGTTTCTGGCATCAATGCCATCTTGATCGCTTTTGCTAGTCCTTCTGCTGTGAGTTTCTTGTAAGGGATAGGATCAGGTCCCGCCCCGGCTCTCGCAACCATGGCACCCCAAAAAGGCTGGTCTCCGAAAAATGGCACTACAATAGTAGGTTTACCGGCTTTGATTCCAGCGGCAGTAGTTCCGGCACCACCATGGTGGCAGACAGCAGCGACACGTTCGAATAGCCAGTCGTGTGGGACGTTACCAAGCATAAAAACTCCCTCCGGTATTCCAACAGAGTCAGCTCCCAACCCGCCCCAACCTTTCGAAACAAGCGCTCGTACCCCTGTTTCTGCCACGGCATCAAAAATCATGCGTGTTAAACCGTTCGGGTCATCAACGACAATAGAACCAAATCCGATGTAGACTGGTGGGGGACCAGCCGCAAGAAATGCTGCTAATTCGGGGTCCGGGGTATAAGACGAGGCGAGATTGAGGAAGTAAAAACCAGCGATATCGATGTGTTGTCCCCAATCATTTGGTTTGGGAATCAGAGCTGGTGACCTAAATTTTCATATAAGACTCGAGCTACGTTTGAACCAGGGCTCCATTTGAACTCACCAGCAGTATGTGTAAGGAATCCGAAGGCGGGTCAGAAGAGCAGGAGCCCAGAGAACCGAAAGAGGCTCAAGATCGAGTACTTTTGTGCGGAAGCGGTTGATAACGTCGCCAAGTCCTTGCCACGTCATCATCTCAACCATTGCGTAGGAGAGGTAGTTCGTAGTAACGGGATCTGTATTTGATGACTGGATATTGGCGAGAGGTTGTGGAAACGCCTTTGTTGGTGACCAAGGCATGCTAATAGATCTTAGAAAATTGCTATTTGCAGCTCGTTTTAAGGGATTATGTACTTACGTGAACATTAGATGTAAAGGAATCCCCAGCTTCTCAGCCACGTGGATATGCGCAAAACTCGGGGGGTTCGCAATAATGGCGTCCGCGACAAATGGTTTATGGCCGGAGTTATCCAGAGGAGCAGGATTTAGATCGTTGTCGTCGTCTTTACTCTTGCGGTCGAAGCGCGGGGCCGGTCCCAGGCCATCTCCAGTTTCGATACAAGACCTCCAACAACCGAATACGATTTCCTCAATACCCCTTCTCCGCTTCGTAATTTCTCCGCTCTTTAACGCGTCAATACCTGGCATCAACCCCGGGTTCTTTACCATAAATGCCATAAGCTCAGCGGGATCGCCTCCAATATTAAAAAACTCGAGATCATTCTCCTCGACGAACGTTTGGAAAGTGGAATGAGTAGCAATTCTGACACGGTGACCATATGTATCCTTGAGGACTTTTCCGAGGGCGACAAATGGCTGGACGTCACCTCGCGAGCCAACGATCTGTATGACAACGTTCAACCGGGGCGGCGGAGTCTGTCCTGGTAAACCACCCAAGCTGGGAGGGATATAGGCGGGTGGGAGAGGATCCTCGACCACATTTTCGTTGTAGCGTAAGGCGGGCGCTAATAAGTCGGCTAAGCGCCTATTCGTCTGGTTGATGTTGATGTTTACTCGGCCGTCGTCTATTATAATTCATATTGATTAGCTACAACAATACAAAAAAAAAAAGTTAAGAGGACCTACCAGTGACGGCAGCTCCCGCGTCAAACCCTGATTGGCGAAGTGTGAAGCGATCGTGTACTTCACTATATGCTGGAAGGCCATCATCTCCTGCGGCAGATTCCAAGTCTGAAGCCATGATACCGCTGTAGTAGCCAGGTGCTACGACAACCTCGGGAGCATCACTGGGGGAGGTACGCCCTGGGCGCTCAGATCTTCTAGCTCCCGCATTGCGAAGCGCGGCCTTCTCCTCGACTATGGCCATAGTGATGGATCTAATCTAGATAATCAACACGGCATGCGAAAGGAATATACAAGAAGAAATCAGATTGTCAAGAAAGATAAGGAGGAATGTGGTAACAAGTAAATCTTTTAGATACAGAGAGGGCAGTTGAAAATAAAAAATGAGGGGTATCACATGAATTAGTGGCAAACGAAGATTATTGAGCGAAGTTGAGTATCACCAAAAAAGAAGAGTTGGAGGGAAGTAGAATGAAGATATATTATTGGAATTTATCGAGTGGTATTTCCATCCAGGTAGGCAGCAGGTTTTAATAGCTAATTGGTAAGATGAGGTGTAAAACAATGTCAGGTACCACAAACAATAGTTCCAGATCACGAAGTTTTTGCGATTCGCGGGAATGATAAAGTACCTTACCTACGTAAGGGTTAGGTAGGAGGTACTTTCAAGGTTGTGTGTGGGTTGTGTGGTTGAGGTGGTTGAGCATCGATGATGCATTGCCGAGCAAGGATTTAAAAAGAGCAGGGAATCTGCCCAGCAGATCCACCAAGACCAAGCAGGGGAAGCAGAGAGCACAGCAAGGCTGCCATATTCTGTACCAGACAGCAAATCACAAGCTGTGCACAACCTTCCCGACACTCTAGAAGCCCACTCAAGCTTGTCTATCTGCTTGCGGCTAGTTGAAGTGTGGGGGCTTATATTTGGATATTTGGATGCCTTGGGAAATGCTACCTTAGGAGGTACATAGTAGGAAATGCTGGGAGGTGCGTGCGTACCCTGGCGAGATGTAAATATACGTAGTAGTATCCGATTACCTAGACCCTCATTGATTAGATCCGATTAGACCCCGTAAACCGCACCAGGATCCTCGTATTATAAGCGAAATTCGGATTTCCTCAGCCTCAAACCGCTTGGCTGGCGAATAACAAATAACCTCACAGCCGTTTTGCGCCTTTCAGATGCGAAAAACATAAGGCATACCCATTTAGTCTGTTGGAAAGGGGGTTTTCGGTGTTTGTAATGATTAGGAGTCGTTCGACTTATAGAAGCGCGTACGTGGCTTACATCGTCCAGGACAACTTGTTTTATGTTGGATCGTAATGCGTATCATAATGCACTACTACCAATGCTGCATAGGGAATATTTTCTAGGTTATACGAAAAATATAAAAAAAAAGAACGATATACGAAAAATAGAAGAAAGAAACGAAATGCAGGTGACACGGACCAGGGGTCGTGGTGGGGGGACCCGGGGGGACCGATTGCGGATTGAAGGATTCAAGGCTCAAGCCCTAAATGTGCCTACGTACCTACCTGTATGTTAGGTACATTGATAGCTCTAAATAAAAGTGCCTGACGTAAAATCGTTAATGACGCGGAAATCGTGACTGAGTTTGGACGAATCAGCCTTACATGTATTGTGTGTACTTAGATACTCGTCACTTGCATTTTCATCCGATGTGATACGAGAATTTTCGTAAAATCCACATGGCGACTATATGGCGACTATGACAAACTACGAGGACTATCGAAATACGATCGCCCGAATTCATTTTACTTAATAGACACCTAACCCGCTGATTTCACTTGTAAATGTTTATGGTTGCTAGTAATAACTTAGGTATGTCTTACTAAGGTTATTAAGGCGTCTTTGTTGAAGAATCTTAACTGGTATCGTTGAGATGTTCGAAGCAGTTAAAGAATAGGCAACAGGATAATTTGCAGGCACATACCTCAAATTAAGGATGTTCAAAGTCTAGAAATTATTCTATAGCCTATTTGGCAGTCACTAAAACTTCCCCTATCCAGTGGTACGTTGGAAACGTGTAACTGATAATAAGGGGGTTGAAATGATGGCGTAACGAAAATGCTAATGGCATATCGCCTAGACCAACGGCCCTCCATACTTTGGACATATCGGCCGATTAGATGAGCTAAATGAATCTAGCAACGTCGTTTAGCTTGGAATTCACCAGCGGTGAAGCGGCAAAGAGAAAGAATATACTTGTTACGGTATAACCGAAGGGGATAGTATACTAAAGGTAGTTATCCCATATGGAAGATGAGTTTCGGTTACACCTAAATCCATTTAGCCCTCTCCTTGCGACGGTTTTCTCTAAACTTTTGGCTAATCTGGAATAGCTTCATATTCGGATGAACTTATTTCCGCATCACATCCTCTAGTAGATGAAAGAACCTTCGAATCCGGAGTATACTTCTTAACTCCGTGAAACCCCGTCGAAGATCCCGGAGCTTGTAATTGGCATTAAGGTTATATCCTGGCACTAAAGGCGTTTCCTCCACTTATGGCCTACCGTCGATTGACTTGGTGATATCGCCGATGCCAATGGTGGAGAGTGGGTGAGTATATATACGACTTCGTTAGGACTGAAGTTGAGGGATGTATTTTCTTAGATAAAACAAGAATCATAAAATAATTCTATCAGAGTGAAACCAGACACGCTTCGATCTCTTCAGGATAGTACTTACCTTCTTAACACCATGTCTCCTTTTGGATTTCATACAACGAGCGATGAGCTCGTCAAGGCCTTCTCCGACAAGGTCAAAGGCCGCACATTTCTCATAACCGGAACCACCGCAAAAGGTCTTGGCGCCCAGTGCGCCATCTCCCTCGCCCGCGAAGGGCCGGCACACCTTATTCTCGTGAGCCGGAACAAGGCCAAGGTCGAGCCCGTGCTGGAGGAGATCGCAAGCATCAATCCCAACGTCAAGATCACGTTCGTCACCTGCGAGCTGACGGACTTTGACTCCGTCCGCGCCGCCGCGGAGAAGATCAACAAGGACGCTTCGATCCCGAAGATCGACGTCGTCATCAACAACGCCGGCATCATGAACGTCAAGGAGTACACGCTGGACAAGCAGGGCATCGAGCTGACGTTCTCGGCGGACCACGTCGGCCACTTCCTGCTGACCAACCTGATCATCGACAAGGTGGTCGCCGCCGCGCCCGGAGCCCGCATCGTCAACGTGACGAGCAGAGGGTACGGCGTCGGGCCCTTCCGGGGCGACGACTACAACTTCTCCGGGGGCAAGGCGTACGACGGGTGGAGCGCGTACGGGCAAGCCAAGACCTCCAACATCCTGTACTCGGCGGAGCTGTCGCGGCGGCTGGCGGGCAAGGGCGTCAAGGCGTACGCGCCGCACCCCGGCGCCATCGCGACCAACCTGTCTAAGCACCTGGACAGGAGCGACTTCGAAGGCATCCCCGAGGTGGTTCTGCGGAACACCGGCAAGGTGTGGGACTCGAACTACCAGATGAAAACCCTGGGGCAGGGGGCGGCCCCTCTGCTCGCCGCGGCGCTGGACCCGGATTTCGACGACAAGCCCGGCTCGTACATCGAAGACTGCCAGATTGTTACGCCGCACGAGTACGCTAGAGACCCGGAGGCTGCTCGCAAGCTGTGGGAGATAAGCGAGAAATTGGTGGGCCAGAAGTTTGACTTTTAAGGAGATGCCTTGCGTTCTGTCGGGTTCAATAAGGCTGTGCAACTCTTCACTTGAAGGGAGCTTGGAAAAAAAAAAGGAATAGGAAATAAGGGGCTAAGTAACTTGCATAGTGAGAATGAATCAAAAAGCAACTTAGTGACATAAATAAATCTTCCCATTAACTACAACTTATCACAGACAAGATCGTGCTCTCATCATGGTTCGCAATGATATCTTATTAAACACGAACAACTCTGCACGCAACGCCTATGTCATGTCATTTCGGCTAAGGCGAATAAACTTTTGCGCAACCCTGCCAGATTTTGATATAGTACAAGAGACTAGACCCCCAGAATCCGGGCAGCGACTCTGGACTGGTAAATAAAAGCCTGCTTAACATCACTGCTGTCGTTCCTATTCCTGCACCTGCCAATCGTCCTCTGCGTATCCGAGGGAGAGTCGCAGTTTTGATTAAAACCGCGCCGTCTTCGGTGGCTACCCAGCACTCCTCATTAACGCAACTAATTATCGCCGTTCGTCTAGCTTGAGAATCGTCGTGTAATCTTGGCAATAACTGGTTGATTTATTAGTACCGAAACAGGATATGGTCGAGGCGTCTGACGTACCGTGTAAAGCAACAACACTGAAGATGAAGACCAGAGAGAGAACCAAAACAACGACGGGGTCAACCTTCAATCCGGGAGATTCGTCCGTGTAGAGACCTAGATTATGTTAATACTTAAATTCCATCATGCTGAGCCTGCCTCTTTTTTTTCACATACGTAGCATTGTGCTGCTGCTACCACCGGCACCAGCAGCGCGAGTACTACTCGGTCGCGCATTTGCGATCTTTTCCTTCTGATCGGCAGCGGCTCTTCGTCGGATAGCGGTTCGTGCACCTCCGGGAGGAGCAGGAGAAGAAGGACGGCCGGTGCTCGAGCCAGTAGCGGCCGGCGAGTTAACGGGGGAAGCAGCACGAGGAGAAGACTACGAGTGTAAAATGTCAGCGCGATCCCAACGGACAATGAGCAGAAGTCGGAAAAGAGATGGTCATTAAATTAAACCATTGCTCGACTTCTATTTAGGTTATTGTAGTTGAGGTAATGAGATTACGGAACAAAACAACATACCATTGCGAAGATTGTGAGAAAGCTGAAGAAAAAACAAGAATACAAATAAAATCCCCTTTATGCGATTTGTTAAGGACTGGAAAAAGTGAAGGTATAGAAGAAGATGGAGAAAGTCGCGTGTGGATGATCAAGGTTGAATATAGCGTGGTCACATTAAAGAGCTGTCCCCCAAAAAATCCGGGGTTCAATTGAGGCCACGATTTTGGAAAGCTCCCGAGAGTGGGCCCTTGTTCTCGTAGCGTGATCAGGAAGAATACTTTATCCGAAAGCATATTGCTAAATTGACTCCACTTTTATCACCTGCTGCATGGAAATCTGATCTGATCTGAAGGTACCTAACCTACCAACCTAGAGGCTAGTAGCACTTTTAACCAATAAGACACAAGCTATGGAAACACTACCTTACCTATCTTGAGACGATTTACATAAGAGTAAAGTTGAGGTAACTACCTAAATACATACCTACCTAACTTAGGTAGTAGATTTTTGTATATGGATGAACCCGGGCAGGTCCGAATTTGAACTGAGTTTAGTTAGACATTGGACCCCGTTGAAATCCGTTGAACCCCCCACCTTTTTTGCTTGTTAATCTTTCCTACAACTTTCTCATCATAAAGAACCGGAACCTGAGGTTGTGATGGTGGGGTGACGAATCCTGCAACTACATAGACGTCTCCGTATCAATCAACCGACATCCACAAAGGTCACTCATCAATCTGATCAATAAATTGAGCAATTTTTGTGTTTTGTTTTGTTTGTTTTGTTTTGTTTTTTCGGACACAAGGTTCTAGGTATAACGATTACTAGAAGAAGCCCATCAACAACTAAAGGACTTACGACCCCAAGACAAGGGAATCTGACTGATCATCTTATATTTATTGCCTGCCTAAACATATCATTTCTAGCTCCTTGTCAGTCTCTATAAGAGTCTCAGATATCTTTCAAAAAGGCCTCACTCTTGTTCCTTCTATTCCCATACGTCCTCCTTCAACTACAAGCAAGATGGATTTTGACTGGTCGACGCCCTTCCCGGAGGGTGTTATATCCTTCCTCGACACCGACCTGTACAAGTTGACTATGCAATGCGCCGTCTTCAAGTATTACAATGACGTGCCTGTTACATACGCATTTACCAACCGTACTCCCGAGAAGAAACTGTCCCGTAAAGCATTCTCGTGGCTTTGCGAGCAAATCAGCAGTAGGTAATCCCGCGCCTGCGTTTAGTCGTGCTAATTTGTTGATCCTTGATATGTTATCATCAGAGCTTGGAAATATCTCACTTTCCGATGACGAACTCCGTTATCTGCAAACGCATTGCAAATATCTTTCACCCTCGTATTTGGACTTCTTAAAGGAATTCCGGCTTAAGCCCCGCGAACAACTAAAGCCGACCTTCCATCCCGTTGGACCGGACACGGGTGCGGATGATGAACTGGGTGACATTCACATCGAGATCAGGGGGAAATGGGTCGACACTATATTATATGAGATTCCACTTCTTGCACTGACTTCCGAGGCGTACTTCAAGTTCATGGACACGGACTGGAGTTACGACGGCCAGGAGGAAAAGGCATTTGACAAGGGTATGCGCCTCCTTGAAGCAGGATGCATCTTCTCTGAATTTGGAACCCGTAGACGGAGAGATTACCATACCCAGGCATTGGTTTTCAGAGGCTTGGTGAAAGCTAGCAAGGAGGCGGAGAAGCGAGGGTATCCGGGAAAGCTCTCCGGAACTAGTAATGTTCATCTAGCTATGCGATTTAACCTACCTCCTGTCGGAACTGTCGCGCATGAGTGGTTTATGGGTATTGCGGCCATCACGAATGATTACCAAAATGCGACGGAGGAGGCGCTACGCCGATGGGTTGGCTGCTTCGGCGAGGGTGTATTGGGAATTGCGCTAACGGACACGTTTGGTACCCCGGAATTTTTGAAGGCGTTTAGCAACCCGATTAGATATCTTCCGGATACTCCGAATGTACCGCTCTCGGATGAGGGTACCCAACCTGAGACTTCACCTCGAAGCTATGCCGAGGTGTATGCTGGCGTACGGCAGGATTCGGGAAACCCTGCGGATTTCGTCAAGCTGATGCGCCAATTCTACGACAGTCAGGGCATTAAGGATAAGAAGACAATCGTGTTTTCTGACTCGCTGGATATCGATAAGTGTATCGAGTACAAGCGGGTATCTGAAGAGTCCGGCTTCCAGCCAACGTTCGGTGTCGGCACATATTTGACGAACGACTTCGTCCAGCTCAGCACGGGGAAGAAATCCGTGCCTCTTAATATTGTCATCAAGCTAAGTTCCGCGGCTGGAAATCCGGCCATCAAGATTAGCGACAACATCGGGAAGAATACAGGCGATTCGGCCAAGGTGATGGAAGTCAAGAAGTTGCTGGGTTATGTAGAGAAGGAGTGGGCAGGCGGAGATGAGACTTCGAGATGGGGCAAGGCTGATGACATCGCGAAGCCATGAAGAGGCTGGATTTATGCTTTATATGCGGCCTACTTCTGCGACCGAGTCAAGGGTGGTTTAGATGAGCATTTGCTGGCAAAATCGAAATTGCCACCCCCAGAGAAGTGCCCGAATTGTGCTCCCGTCGGGTTAGCCATGGTATCTACGGTAGACCTTAAAGAGGTGGATCGGACCCTGGGGATATTTCCAAAAGTTTACCATGCGTGTGGACCGATCACCATCAAGATGATTCAATGGAAATGCGCACCTCTTGGTCGATTTCGCGGGGGCTTACTTAAGAAGCGTGTATGCGATATGATGTATATTTCACCTGTCAAGGAGACTCTTTAGACTTACAAAATAGATTATTGCGAACTCGTCTCTTGAAAATATAGTGATGTTCTTTTAAGCAAGCCGTTTATAGCGAAGGCAGTTATATTTATATTTCTTTTGTATTGTGGAAATATCACCAATTAGATTTCCTCCATTTCTATTCTTATCAAGACTTATTTAATACCTGATAACCGAAGGTAGAAGAAGCATCTTGACTCGATGATTCGTTTTTCGCCTCCAGCCTCGAACGACGAGGTTTATTACGTGACAAACTTGCCGGCCTAATGTTCCTTGGCTTTTGCGTAAATCGGTTCTTACGAAAACACATATACTACCTATGTAAGTACCTAAGTAGGAGGTAGGTAGGGTCAAGGACCAAACTAACCTGCGCTTAGCAGGTATTACGCCGACCCGCGTATCGATGTCATCGTCTTGTCGTTCGTGCACTTATTCCCGGCGCAAGGGAACAGGTTTCCTGGGATTAATCCCAGGAACCAATGCGGCGCAACATATGTAATATTTTAGTTCTCCCCCCCCCCCCTTTTTTTGTTCTAGCTCAGGGGCAGGTAATTGTCCCCCAGTCCAGGCGGATAGGAGGTCATGTTTTTTTTCAACCCCTTATTTTTTATTTAAAAAAAAGGTAAATAGATCTGACTTACCATCTATAAGGTATACCCTAGGCCCAGGGGTATAACGGCGTGAGCAACGCAACTAACAACGACCTTTACCAGTGCTCCAACACCTAGCGGGACCCGTGCACATACCGACAGACGACCAACAAGAAGAAGATCTTCCTCTCCCTCGGCATTCTCCAGCACAGCGTCATCGACCTGCCATTCGCCCCGTCCTACAAGACGCCGCAGCGGAGCACTGCGGCGTCCTGGGTTCCCGGTCAACGCGGCGTATAAGCGGGAAAAGCACGTTCAACACCGGCGGGTTCACGTTCGACGCGTGCATGTCGTAGCTGAGCAGCACGTCAAGCAAGAGCGCGCGATTGTTTATCTATTAAGCTACCCGGGGTTCCACCGCCGCCGCGAGCGCGAGCTGGTTTGTGACGCCGGCGCCGGCGCAGGCGCGGAACCTGATCGACGCGTATACTTCTGCCGCGCGAACTTCGGCGGCGTGTTGGGCGTCTAGGAGGCTACTTACGCCCGCGGCGTGCGTACTCGGCGAACGGGACTAAAGTTTTATTAGAATATGAAGAGGGATTTGATCATTGTCGAGTACGGATACGAGGTTGTCTTCTCTATGTGGTTGTTTTATTTTGCATCTTTCGTTTTGGGAGTTCTTGGCATTGCATCATCGCTCCCACATATACAGAGTACGTACTTCAGTACAAGGATAAGGCCTGGTAGATTGATGACGTAATCTTCGAATTAATTTTTAGCCTGGCCCCGGCGCCGCGCGAAGTTCCACATCTGCGACGTCCACCCGGACATTGACCCTCCGCCCGGACTTTAACATCCATCGCCACCGCCGCCGCCCACCTCGACCAAGGCGGTGCCGATATCGACGAACGGCCGCTGCGGGACGGGCATTGATTGATACCGGTTGGTATAGGAAGGCAGAAAGAAAGTAAAGCGACATTTAACGATATGTCTAGAGTGAGGTTGTTCCATAATTAGTATTATATTTAGCTTAGCTTAGCTTGATATGAGATACGTCGTTGCATGCTTTGAAGATATTTACATTATTTATTTAGTTTAGATCCATATGTCATGGTTTCTTGTTGAACATTATAAATACCTACATGATATGGTGCTGATACTAGCGCTGTAGGTAATTTCTACCTAACATATATGACTTAGCCGATCTGAGCAAGATAACTTTAACAAAAATTTCCAATGCAAACTTAATTTCTAAATACAGGACCTATCTCTGTCCTAACCCTCCAACAATATTTAATGGTTGCGCCACGGTATTGTCACGTGGGCCCCCTGTGGGCTGCAAGCATCTGTATGAGGTAGGCAGCTAGATGGGCATGGTTACACACCACAAAGTGTCCTGAGGTGAACAAATGGTGGGAAATAGGCTCGTTCTTCCCCGAGGAACTGTAGATGAACCATGCGAGCGTGTGATTATACATACAGAAAGGCTCTTTGCGCAAGGTGTTGTATTTAGAATTGTGGTAAAATGCATCTACGGTCGACCTCCAACATGGCAAGAACTCCTGCTCCGGCGAAAATTGTAGAACAGCTAATCTAAGATCACTCAAGAAATGATCTGAAGTACTTTTAGCCATTGATGCTATGAAAAGGTTGGTAGGTATGGTATGCCTTAATTAGTCTACGATATTAAAAGAGAAGGGGTCGGGGGTAAATAAAATAAAGGCACAAAAGAATAGCGATTTTTTTTTAAAAAAAAAGAAACAAAAAAGTACGAAAAAAAAGGTCAGCTTCTATTGCAATGCCAAGGTCACGAGTGATTATGGCGCCTAATCCCAGGCTGATCCCCATTGTCCCTGAGACTGAATACTCAACTCGCAAGTTAGAGCGCGCAGCCGCAGATCATCTGCCGGCAGTAAATTATTTCAACTCATTGACCGACCCAAGTTTGGGTTGGGGGTGCAAGCTCTGGGCTGAGAAAATCTGCCCCTCGTTAGGGTCGAACCATCGACCGGAGTCGAGAGTTCAGTAGTCTGGCCACTTGACCAAGTGATCCTAAGAGTGGCAGATTTTCTTGCCTCGGTGAAAGCTGACCTTCTTAACCATAATTATAACCCCTCCGCAGGTTTTTTAGGCACTTGTAGTACGTACCTTGTACAAGCTACCTGTTGTATTCATTTGTAAAAGCTAGTTATTATTAGGTACCTAGCCTAGGTATGTATCGAGACTTGTATATTGACGATTGCCCGTCAGGAGGCTGAAATAATTATATCTGAAACCCGAGGCCCATAGCATTGGATACTATCTACCTAGTTACGCAATGACATTAAAGGCGATTTGCTACGGATTACCTAGGTTACTGAGGCGTACTATCCCCTCATACAAAAGTTGGAGGCAACCCTTCAATGGAAACGTAAGGGGAGAGTCATGGTATGGCCTGGCTCACCTTCGGAGGTTTGCATCGGCTGCATCTCCTGGCTGGCTTCACCAACTTCCTCGCTTACACCACCCATTTCCTCGTCCATTTCCTCGTTCATCTCATAGTCCATCTCATGCATCTCACTGTCCACATCTCCATCTGCTTCTTCATATTCGTCTCCCCCCTCGTATTCTCCCTCGTCTACTCCCTCGTATTCTTTCTCTTCTTCTTCCTTGTCTTCTCCTTCCTGAACGGTACTTTGGCCTTCAACAGTTGCGCCGGTCGAAGACGTGCGAGGTTCTGCGCACCTTTCAAGGAATCTGGCTCTGGTTGCCTCAGCGGTGCCCTCGTTATCGGAGTCGTCGGTCCACTTGGGATAAAATCTTTCTCTGATTTTTGAGTTGGCTCCATAGGTATCGTATACGGCCTTGGTAAAGCCGTCTACCGCCGTATTGGCTTCGTTGAAAATGCGGACGAAGTAGCTATCGGGGACGGGCCAGTTTTCTTCCCTTTTCATTTCAGCCCAGTAGCTTATGTGCTCGAGGAAGACACGTCTGGCGGAGATGACTCGAATTGAGAGGTCGTAAAGATCTCCGGGGGAAATTAGCCGCGCCCACGTAACACTACGACTGACAAGTCCCCAGAAACCAGGCCCTGTATGATACTGGCAATGCTGTGCCATGTCCTTTGCCGTATCGAAAAGGGCAATGATATATTCTGTGCAGACTGACTTGTCAAGATGTTCGCCGGCCGCTTTCATAGCACGAACCACTCTGCGGGCTTGTGTGCTTGGGAGTAGTGGAGTTCCAGTATTGGAAACCCATTGAAATCCTTCTTGGGGAAGGAGTCCCCAAAGGAGCGGTTGGCTACGAGACTTCTACAGGTTGTGAAATTAGTGATTTGAAAAGCCCACGAATGACTTCGTCTTATGTTGCTCAATGATAGTGGATGTTGAAAATAGACGCAGGTTATGAGGTATGTCATGTAGTTATATTGTTTTTCTATCTAATAGGTGTAATAGGTGGGCAGGTCCTGTATATAGGGGTCCACGGGTGTGGGGCGTATACATCCCAGCCACACACATTTCAGCAGTGGAGATGCATGGTAGGTATTAATTAGGGTGTACTTACTATTGATCGAACTTGGAATGCGTGATTGTATTCTTTTCGAGGCAGCGAACGAATGTGTGGGAGTAAAGGAAGGCTGCAACTACCGAGAAGAGGGAGAATGTGGTGTTGAATTGATGCCTTGCAAATGGTAGATAGATGCCGCGGCGCATCTATGACTTCAATCCAGACAAGAGCGTAAGAAAACACTTAATTGTAATTATTAAAATAAAAGGAATTGAAGAAAAGAAGGAAGGAAGCAGGAGGTTACCCGAGTAAAGGCGAAGTTCCGTGAATGAAGGCAGGAAAATAAAATGTTTGCGGTATCTGGATCAGTGCACCTCATTTTGTCGTTGCCTGGAGTTATGATATTGCCTTGTCCCTAGCAACGCTCCGGGCAACCATCACCGGGCTTGCAGTTTCCTAGTATAATTCTGGCCGGGCTTTAGTAGTTTTAAAATATTTATCAGTTCGTGTCCTTACACATTTCTCTTCCTGTTGACCAACTTCGATTTCCACCTTTCAACGTAAATGGACCAACCCATTTATTACTACAACTTTACGCGTTGATTCCTTAAAGATAAAATCTTCATTTGTGACATATTCCACTTGGGGTTTTGAACGAACTTATCTACAAGACGTAAGTAGTTGATAATATTCCCTCTCCCTCCTTACATGACACTGGACACGCAATCATTACCTATATCCTATCTTCAGTGACAGCCACCACATCTTTGATACCATTTACCCTGATGAGTTGTACCGTATCCCATACCCAATATTCTTTTGTACCCCGTAAAGCTGTCCACGTCGTCATGCCCATTTCAAATAGTACATGTCGTCCGGCTTCACTAAGGCAGAAACCCTCATCATCTAACACTCCCACAAAAGTATAACCCGTTTATCTAACCCTTTGATCGTTGCTTTTATCTCTTTTCCTATCTCATATACATCCATCTTCAAACTATCATTTCGCTTCCATAATCAGAACGATGACCTGGGAGTACACCTCTCTGGCATATGTAAAGGCTTACTGACGTATTATACATTAGTCATACTTCCTCACATAGTCAACTTATCCTCACCATCTTGCCACAACATGTCTGCCAAGACTAGCACTGCCGCCCCCAAGGCGAACGTGGATTCTGCAAAGTGGACTCCCGAAGAGAACGCGAATCTCCTCCTGCTCATCATGCAGGAAGATAACAAGCAGCTAGGCGTCAAAGGTTGGAAGACCATTGGCGAAAGAGCTCAGAACGTATTTGGTGACAAGTACGGCCTTGCAGCTGTAAAGTAAGGCCACTACCCTTATCTGTTACCTACCTACTTTGATCTGTCCACGGGGAGATTACTGCCAATGTTACATGCGTGCACCTAGAGATTTCAGATATATTAACTTGTACATCTACGTGTCTAACCTTCGTGTATAGGCACCAGTTCCAGAGACTACGCAAGCAGTACATCAACGAGTTCCCCATTCCTGAAGAAGATGCCCAGGCCGGTGGCGAATCGGCTAAGACCCCCACTAAGGGACGAAAGCGCACAGCAGCTTCCATGGATAGTCCTGACGCCGAGGAGGACGCCGGAACAAAGACCAAGAAGGCTCGAGTCGCAAAGAAACCGGCTAAGCGCTCCAAGGCAGCTGCAGGAGACGCTATGCAGGATGACGACAACGACGCCGGCGACTCGGACGGGGCAAAGCAGAAGCCGATGAAAACTCCCAAGCGCCGCGCCGTGATGAAGGCCATCCCCCCTTATGAGGAGCATGACGGTGTCATCGAGGAGGACCGTGATGCTGAGGCCTCTACGAAGCTGAACTCTAACGATTTAGGTAGGTAATGGATGTGAATGAAGTCCGCGATAAATTCTGTCTATGTATACATCCTCTGAGACGGACGATAATTTCTAATTTATACATGGTGTCGCAGCATCCAAGAACGCCGCCGAAGATAGTCACACTGACATCTAAGCCGTCGATGAATTTAAAGGTTGGTTTTTCTTATTCTCTCAAGAAGCCCTTTATGGTTCGCTAATTTGTAACAACACAGGGTTTCTTCTCTGATATCGACAAATCGCACTTTCATTCTTGGGACACTTAGTTGGTCGCCTTCTGGAACCCGCTGGTATTGCCACACGGCTTTCGCGGATGGTACACGAGGACAATTTCCGAGTGAGAGACGCTCGTATGCGATATTCTGATATTCGATTCTGATACCTACTATGCTTTTGCCTCTCTTCTATTGACTACCTTAGCTAGGTTAGGTTAGGTTAGGTAACTTTGATAGCATTGGACGATCAGATAAGATGGTCTGTCTACTTTAGGTACGTCCTATAGGACGCAGGGCCAGATTCGTCGGTTTTACGCCTGCCCGCGTCTTGATTTAATTCCGAGGATACTACTCTCTGCACACTTGACTTTCCCTGAACTGGCTGCTTTGCCGTTACCAATCACGAACGTGCTTCGGCATTGTGGTTTCCCTCCTTCCGTAACGGGCCTCGAGCTTCGCCACAATTTGGCTTGGTGAATGAAAAGATTTGGTAATTTAGTCATTGATTATCAAAAACCACAGTTGAGGCAGGTTAGGTAGGTACCTACCTAGGCCTATATTCGCGTGGCGGCCCTCCGAATGTTTCATAGGGCAAGGTAGGTTTTTTTTTCTTTCTTTTTTCTTTTGCATACAGCTCAGCTTTCTTGCTTATGTAGCGATATCGCCCCCCTTCGCTTAGCCCCAGAGTAAGCAGCATCGACCGAAGCCACGAACTTGTCGGGACGTGCATAAGGAGAAATATCTTGCCCACATCATTTTTGCCCAGGTTCGCTGCGTCTCTGGTTCGGGCGGCAGCTAGTTTCGTTAGCCACCCCCTTAGCTGGACTTGTTCTAGTCTATATGAGGCTCGTCGACAATGGATAATGGAGGAGATTTGCCCCGACTGAGCAGCAGACCCAGTAGGTTAGGTATGTTCCCTCCACCCCCGCCCGCGCGGAGGTGGTATAGGTATCACATTGATCATATATGTCGTAAGCTACCTACCTAGGTATTAGGTAGAAACCAGATTTGCGCAGCCTGGCGAAACCACTTCGGATGGACCCCAAATACCTAATCTAGCTTATGCTCGGTCTAACACGTGTAAATCTTCGAATTTGGTCTTTCCTATTCAGCTACGAAGTTTTGCCCATCTCAGCCGATGTCGCTTTTTTAGGCTGCCACGCGCCTAGATACCTACCTAAGGTAGGTATAAATCTCCTTCCTAGTATAAACCTACCTACCTAATAGTAAGACGGAATATGGTCTAGATATGGCGTTTTGGGTTAGGTACCTATGAGCCGCCAGAGTGGGGGTGCTTGCCGTCGAGGACACCATCTTGTCAAGCCCTACGTCTCAATTGAAACATTCTAGACTAATTCTTCCGCAGACTTTTTCTATACTCGGTCGTAAAGCCGAGCCAGTACTACCGCCGCTACCCTTGGCCTGTTTCCGTTATAGCATTTTTTTTAATCGTATCCCCATGGATGTGTTTTGATACGAGTTCGGATGAAGGTTGGGAATTGACTCAAGATATCAGATGCCTCCAGTATTTGGAAAACTTCGAGAATATGTATTAGTAAGTGACTAAGACATATTGAAAATTGACGAGTATAGTGAATCAGATAATACTTGGCCAATCTGATGTGCTGGGTTCTGTTGTAGTTGGTCACGTAGAAGTGGAAGTCTGTGACCGTGTGTTACGAGACCCCTTGAGTAAGTCTACAGTTTAAATGGAATAAATTCGTATTTAGTTAGAATCGATGTAAGTATTTGAAATCTAATCATCGTATTGCTAGAATGTCTATTTGCGCATTGAAGATAAAGCATGTCTTCAGTTCGCCCCTTTACCCCTTTTAGCAGGGTCTTTTACCCGCCCTAGTGTAAATCTGATAAGAGCCAACATAGTGTCAACGTAATGCAGAATACAAAATGCTTTTTGCGACATGAGTCAAAATTCAAAGAAAACATACCAACCGAACATTGTAATACTGAGTAAAGTAACTATTTGAGTTCGTGATCATCAAAGAAAAGTGAGACTTCTGCGCTAGATGTACATATAGTAGAGGTAGGTTTAGGATAGGGTATGAAGCTTTCTGAACGTATTATTAGGGCTTGGACAATCTCACAGTGGGATAAAATCATTAAGACTAGAGGCAGGAAACACAGAAGATTTCTTCACATGATTATATTGCTGCATGTCTGCGGATTGCGATGTAGGTAGGTAGTCAAGGTCCGTTACAACTACCTACCTAGGTACCTACCTAGCTGGGTATGGCTATAAATTTTCAACCGCAGAAGAATTCACATGTCTTGAGATGTCTTGAGTAGTAGATAAGCAGCGTAGAATGAATGTGAAGGAAGTTCTATTTTTCTTCATCTAATCTGAGTGATTTATTGATTTAGTCCCACCTACCCCCTTCAATAGCCGTATTGTCAGCAGGCAAATACACGGCCAACTTATATTATTATTAAAAATAAGGAGGAAATAATTCATATCCTCTTTCTCGATTATAGGAACATTGCAAAATACTTTCCCACTTTAGTCAAGATCAAAATAGTAGCCTCTGGAGGGGTTATGCGAAATCGGTTGCGCCGGCATTCTGGTATAGAAGGAACAACAAACTAGGAAGATTACCATGTGAAAGACAAGGATTTACGGTATTTACTATGTATATGACTAGTGTTAAGGAAGCTCCCCTGGTAAGACATTCTTGGCATTCTAGGCACTAATCACGATTCCCGAATGCTAATTCTGCGGAGGATGGCTCCGGCAATAAGCATTTAGGATTGAAGTCGGTGCCGGCCCGAAGATCTCCCCCCGCATCATTCCGAGTTTGACGTTCCCGTCGCGTGGAATAAGTTGTACAACTGATACGATTTATTAACAATAGATTGGGTACGCATGGTTTAACCTGCTGGTCCCCAATCCGACGTTGTGGCGTCCCTCGAAAAGCGTTCAATTTAAGATGCTAGGTAGGTATTGACTTGGCGCATTATTTGTAACATGCATTCTAATATTCGAGATCTTGTATAACATGAGGTGACCGAAGACGGGGGGTGGGGGGTGTCGGGGATAGGATTCAATGGAGATATCCACGAGAGATAGAAAAATATGATGAAGTATGTGGATCTTCAACGACAAGTTATAGAAGGAATCGAAAAATTCGAATAGTCGGTAGATCGACCTATATTAAGCATCGATCAAGAATCCACGTGCTGGATGACTGCAACTTTGATGGAATATATTGCAGTGAAAGGTTTATATATGGGGATTTAATATAAAATATAGTACATATTTCCATAAGGCTATAGCCTAGCGTTGTCGGCTCGGTTAAGAAACACTACCATGATTAGTTATTAGTCGCAAGTCATACTTACAAGGTGACTTACAAGGTGCTGCGACTCCTATGTCGCCTTGTGACCCAGACTAGCTGAGGTGCTATGCCTATCAATCCCAAGTCGTGATGTTACCTCAGTAGGGGAGCTTGGTGAAGTTCTACTAGCTATAGCCTATTAGTGACTTCGTAAAACCTATGAGAAAGTTGTGAGTTGTATAACTTAGTCGTCTGCCTTGCTTTGACTACCTACCGAAAGATCTTTATTATGTACCTAACTGCTTGAACTATCTAAAGTATGGTTAGGTAGGCAGGTATTGTGTTCAAGCCTTTCACCTGCGATACATGACATAGAGGAGATGTTGTTGATACCCTCCTTGTTACCCGGACACGTTTTGGAGAGTTCTGGGGGATAGGAGATAAGTATCTAGGTAAGCTGGTAACAAATCACTTACAAACCTTACAAACCACATTCGACGTGGATGTAATCCGTAACCCCAACGGTCTGTAACTCGGCCGAACCACAGCATAGCAAACACAGAAACGAAGCAAAGCAATAACCCTCATGACCTAGGTTATTCGGTTACGTGGTTACACGACTGCGAACGATGCTTACAATACGAGTAGGAGATTGCAATAATTCGCGAAAGACGGCGATTAGAAATTGAGAGTATTACTATCCAAAAGGATAACTAAATAATCATTGGTCGTCTATCCTGGACATACATGTAGCTGAGTAGGTAACTTGATAAAAAGGTATGTAAGTGATTAGTGTATAATGAAAAAGTGTAGACAGGGGTAAACACCAGCTCCGAGAAAGAGGGGTCCCCCCTTTACGTTTACCTTACCATGGGTACCTAAGGTACCTATCTACCTATGACTTAGGTACAATACACTGACTGGTATTACACTGATATTATATCAGAACGGTACAAAGCTTTAGGAGGTAGATTAGGTAGGTAGCCATTTTGATAGCCTAATAGCGTAGCAAAATGTGGGATAAGGATACAGGTATGTATGCTGGTTCGTGCTAGCATCAACTTAAGGTTGCTACCCCTCGCTATTAGCTCCGGCAGCTATCGGTACCTCTGCCAATCAGGTCTGGGCGCTAAGACCAATCTAACCTTTTTACCTTCCACGCGCTGTCACTCTACATATGCCACTCTATGCCACTTTATGCCACTTTATGCTAGGTACTTTATGCCACTCTATGCTGCGCTGTGGCATTTCAAGGGTCAAAACTTTGTTTTTTGTCCCATTTCTTTCACACTTCACACCCAAATTCATACCCAAATTGACACCCAGGTTCACACCAAGTTTCCTCGTTACCTTCTCGTTACAGACCATATCGCATTCGTTTTTGGTACTCGTGATAAAGTTACAGCCAGTTGCCTTACCCGATTGTCATTTTCTAATATGGTGGTTACCGGATCAAAACCTTCTTCCGTCTTCCCTACGAAGGGGACGAAGGGGACGAAGAGGATGAAGGGGATCTGTGCTTAGTCTGCCCCCGCTTGGAATCGCTTCCCCTTGCCGGTTCTGACAACTTGTAACTTCTGAAGCGTCTGTATTTCTCGAATCTCCGAGCCCATAGCTGCTGAGATGGTACGAAGGGGGTGCTTACAAAAGTCCAAACTCGTCAAAAGTCCGACGTCCGGCTTTGAGATGCCGAGCACGTCATCAACATTCATCCCGCATCTTCACTCGGTGCTTTCCTCGTGATAGCTTCTCATAGAGACTTACAGAGACTTACAGACCCGTTGTCTACCCCCGCCGATCATGGCAGATATTCGTCGTAAGTTATGCTATAGCGTCGTCACTCCTCTCTTGGCTTCTCGAGGAGAACATCGCGATTCCTACCAGAATTGGGAAGTGCCATTTTATACCGTAATATTACGTATATAGTGATGTATAACTCTTGGGGGAACCGTTCCTGAGACGAGGTAAAGATCCGGAGACACAACTACGTCCGGATCGCGAGGCCAACGGTCTGTCATATCTTTTTCCCACTCTTTCTCGAAGCTTAGGCGAGAACATTCGGCTGATTTTAACTCGTCGCAGTGGCGATGCATTCTTCTCTTCCCCAGATAGTCCCGCTACCAGACCATCCGACTTTTCGGAGGGGACCCTGGATTTTTTCTATATACCGACCCTATGACATCCATGATTACACCCATGATCAAACCCTGCTGCAGATCCGCCAAACAGCTAACATGCTACCGTATAGTTGCAGCGAACACTTTGTTTTCTAATAGGTGACCAATATCACTACATTCAACAGCCGGCCTTTCCAGATGATCGGAACAAGTTATGGACATCTAATTTGAAAATTAATTACTTCCACGCTTCGCCGAGAGTCTAGTATTCATATTCCAAGCTGGTGGTAACCCTCAGCCGACTAATAGTTGTGTTAATTTATATGAGATCTGGAGGCCGAGTGGCTACCTGCTAAGCTATATCTCGATATCAGAAACATACCTATAAAAAATCCCGACGCTTCACGTTACTCTCGTATCATTGGGCAAGGAAATTTAATCTTGCAGATCTTATTGCAAGAAGCATGAGACGACTTGTCTCATCCATGGCTAGAAGTCTAGATGTGCAGCTGTCTGGGGACGGGCTGCGCAAACGCAACCGATGTATGCTTACCCATTCTCCATGAGTTGACCCCAACCCAGCCCGTTCTTAGTTGGTTTTTGGGTTCGCTGGCTTGTGCGTTTGCTACGTCTTGACAGGTTTCACTACTGCGTGTATTCTTGCTCAACCCAAAGCTGAGCCTAGATTGGATCCAACGACTGTATTCGGGTGCATCCGAGTCGATCATCTCGTTACTACCCAGCCTCTGCTTCTCTTTCAATCCACCCCATAACTACCGGCGTGCATTTACGATAGGTCCTGAACGTCACTTTCGACCCGTGCCGAGAGCGAGAATTAGGGGTATCCTACTACGATACTTAACCATGGGGGGAAACTGGGAACGGCGTAGCATTTCAATGCTGGCGTCTCTCCTCACTATCCTGAAGCTTTATATACCTGACGTTGTTTCGACCGATCTCGATAACGTCAGTGGCTTCCTAGAAAGCAAGTAGGGGACTATATTTCTGTCACACCGGTGGCGTCCTACCATGGGAACATGGGTCTGGGCACTTTATCTCGTCGCACCCTCGTACATCTTCAAGTGCATACATACTATGTAGATACCCAGGCCTATGGCATTGGCTGTAGCGGAGAATTTTAGCTCTGGCAGGGTACGAGCAAGGGTACACCGGGCATCGTCCAATGAGAAGAATAGCCTGACAACCCCCGGTTCGACCCCGATACGCTTCTTCATGGTGCCCGCACCCACCGTCTAGGCTTGAACAGGAAGGCCTGATCTCCGGGTGGCAGATGACGTGCAGAAGTCTTTGTACGTCGATTTGAATTCTTGCGTTCTGACAAGTCGCTGGCAGTGCTACGCCCGCTAGCCCACGGGCACTACATATGTTATCAACCCAAGAGATCTGCTATCGCAGCGTCTCGTGTCTATCGATCAGGAACAGTAACACGGGAATGACTATACAAGGCAGGTAACCAAATAACCCGATGATATGATAAACACTATAGCATCGTGGCTAGGATTGATCCACGTATGGCGCCAGATTCGCAAAAGCTTGCGGCAATCCTGCTATTGTGACAATGTTACCATTGGAAAGCCCTATCAGCCTATAACGGCGATAGGATACCAGTCAGGTGTAAGCTATCTCGACCTCCTACGCCCGGAACCAATGGTTTTTTTTTCGCGCAGGAAACATCGGCAGCAGCAGGACACACACAAAAGCAGAGCAGGTTATGGACTTGCCGTAACGGGGTTTTTGTGGCAGGGGATGTAGGATCAACGCCAAGGAAAGGGGACCTCTTAGCTGTGCCGCTGAGCCAAAGATGCATGGAGCTTGTCACAAAGATGCACACAGTTATTTTTTCATTTATTTTTTCGAAGCGCACACCCGTCGCTATCGATATCTTCTAGGGGCATGTATATTCCTACTCCTCTTCGTTTCCTCCCAAAGTTTCCGAGGCGAAGCAAGCCACAGTGGATGACAGTAGTATGTACCTTCCTACCCCTGCGTAGGATTGAGGTACACGGAGGGCTGTTCTAATACATCACTTACATTTATCTGCAGGAAACATAGCACCCAAGCTAATCTTCTTTCAAGCTCACATAGCTCTCATTAACCAAGGGCTGGAACGAGTCTTGGCGGGTCACATCTCCCATAGCGTAGTCTGCAAATGGCACAGGGTACCCATCATGTCCGGAAGGCAGTCTCCTGGGGCTCTTGATAACCAATCCCTTTTCGACCAACCCTATCAAGCCGCGTAACAGACAGGAAGGCTGGCCACCTACTACCTTACCTAGGTAGCTATTACTTTGCAGTCCCAACACAAATCACCCCTGGTCTATGCGGGTTGATCAGCTACTAGGATGCCTAGTCATTTCGTCATGTTTCCTGGTCCCTATCCTGGCCTATAAGCTGAACTTACCTCAAGTTCGGATACATTACTAGGGGCAGGAGACATCTGCCATCTTGTTACCGGGCTCGGAGGCTTCGATCAATCTTTTCTGACGCTATTTATTCCCCATAACTCCAAGCCTTCCCAGACAAATTAGGACGTAAGGAATCCGTCGGCACTACTGTCTGATCCTACTGGATTCAGTACTGGTGTTAATTAACTCCCGTGTTGCTCCTAATTCTTTGAGGCTGTGATGTTTCGAGCTCCTACACCGTAGCCGAAGATATACAAGACATCTACGACCCGTATCACATTTAACCTCACCTCTATCCCCCATCTCTATAAAGTCACCATTTTCGCTTATTGCAACTGTAAACCACCACCAACAACAACAAACTAGTATCTAATCATTATTCGCCATGTCAGGCACAGCTTCTCCCCGTAGCGGTCGACCACTGACGACGTCTTATGTGGATCTAATGAAGCCTGACGAGGACTGGAGGAATCTGCCTGATGCAGCCGAGAGGAGGAAAATCCAGAACCGCCTTGCTCAGCGAGCATATCGTGAGTTTGGCACCTAATTATATTATCGCTTGAGGCTAACGATGTTAAGGGAGAAATATGAGAGACCGTACCAAGGAAGTAGAAAGGTTGAAAAAGCAGTTACAGCAGCTTCAGCAGTCTATCAGTTCAGATCCATCAACCACGCCACCTCCTGAGCATGAACTCCCTTCCGGCGGGAGAAGTCCCTCTAACCTAGGAGATATTCACGCTCATAACGCAGACTCAACGGTAACATCAGCGACGACCCCCAATGGAACCCGAGGGATGAGCGATTACCTGCAATCTTGGCCTCACGCATCGGGTACGGAACACCTGAGCGGATTAGGTCTCACGACGGATGGGGAGAACCCACTCGGGTTCGACACAACGTCTTATTTTCCCCAAGCTCACGGTTCTAGCGATATTGTGTCGGATTTACCAACAACGGGCAGGAGGACGCGTGCCGTCACATCTAATATCTCGTCCGCACCTATACAACAACAGCATCATCTCCGGAGTCACAGCATACCCCAAATGTACTCATCTACTTGCGCCAGTCCTATGCCATGGGGACAGGGAGCTGCTGCAGATAACAATGATGGACTGCGTGTATCTACAAGGTAAGCTAAGCTACCTGTTATTTTAGCCATCAAATTTCTCGATGAGCCTAGTCAAGAGAACTTCATTCAGCTGAACTGTTTTACGTGTCTTTTCTAGCTTGCTAATGGTGCGTTAGTTTTAATGTTTACAATAACCCGGAAGAGATGTCCATGTACCACACCGAATCAGCGTACCCTCTAGATGATGGTGTTGCACATAGTACCAATGCGTACGCTACGTCGCCCGAATCGGATCTAAATAGTCCTGCCGGGTGGTCGGCGCTGGATCGAAAGTCGGGTCATGCTGGGCGACCCAGTACCTCATCACTAGCGTCAGCATTCCTGACGTCAGCAAGTAGCGTCGTGGACAGCATGGCTGACATGCAACCTCAAGGTTCATCCTTTCCGGAAACTACAGCGCCGTTGTTGCACTTTGCCGTCGCAGGCGGTCACATCGACACGTTACGACTTCTACTTCAACGCTACGACGTCAATATAAATAGCCGAGATAGCTCAGGCTATACAGCACTACAGCGGGCCGTTATGGCTGGGCGAACCGATATGGCAGCCCTTCTTCTCGAGCGCGGCGCTATCGTCGATGGCGACGACAGCTGGACCGCGGAGCTTACGGGTCGCCATTCCAAGATAGAGGCCCAATAGCCTCGCTCGCTCCTAGTTGTCCCATGGCTACTACGAACCCATGAATACCTAACTACCTAGGTACTCAGCATGGGGAGTGCACGCTGTTTTGCTTTCTCTGATTCAAGATTATTCTTCTGGGCTGTATCTACCTAATACGAGGAGTTCGGTGTCTATCATATGGGGATAATATGTGCCTATTTCTGGCGTGTCATACCTAAACGATGCATGCTGTAGGCTGCACTGGGCTGCACTACAGGTGTGCGCATGGATTGGTTGTACAGCACGAGCTTCGAAGCTCCTTCGGACCCGCATGCACTAATAAGTCTTAGTCTTGTTTTAATTTTGAATGGGTTGGTTTTATATCTGCAAGGTCAAATCAAGGTCCCTGGAGCGAGGGATGGATGTGTACGGGGAGAGGGGGGACAGGATTTAGGGGGTGTCAACAGGAATGGCGTCCTTGGATAGGTGGGTTTTATACCCGATACATGGACTCACGGTTTATACAAGCGATATACAAAACACTTTTTTTTTACTGACGCAAGAAAATTCCCCTGGGCCCAAAAGGCTCATAGAAGACACTATCATTTTTTTAACGAATTTATAATTCTCCATATGAGAGATATGTGAACGTGTGTGTGAAGGGTCACGAAGATAAAAATGTTCGGGTAACGAACGAGGTGGGAGTGGGATGTGGGATATCGAACGCAGTGTCAGATTATGCCGGTGACAAGGAGGGACCCCGGACACGCATCTCAATAGGATCTGGCAATTTCTCGTCGCCTTCCCCCTTTCGTGACAAGGGAGCTGTTAGGGATCTCCAGGAACGCGCCGCTTCCGATGTTATAATTCGCAATGTTAGGGGGGGTTTTTTTTTATTACCAAAGTCACAATCGACTCGCAACTATGAGTAAACGCGATATGCGTAACGGGGGGTCACCACCACCACCACCACCACCAAAAAAAAAAAAAAAATAGTCCTGGGATGTTACGAGACGAATGAGCGCGCAAAGATCCTGATAGGTTAGACACAGCAACCAAAACTGCGACCGGGTTCCACTACGCGGATGCGATCGGATAGCGACGGCGCCCGGGGATATCTTGCGGTGTTCATTCGGACTTAGTTTAAGGTACAGCGGCGCCCCTCGGGCATACTTTACCGAGCTCACGCCCGGATTGGAGAAAGTGAGGACTGTAAGCAGCATAAGCTAGAGAGATTAACATACATAGGAGTAGGTAACGTAGATTAGGTAGGTTAATAGTTACCTGCTATCTACTGGCCAGACTGGCCGAGGCTTGTTACTGTTCTGCGAACTAATCCCTAATAGTACCTAGGGTAGGCCAATTCAACAAGGACAATCGTTACTATGTTACAGTTTTGCCTGGTTCACTTACATAGTACACAGACTAAAGCCGTTTTCTCCCATCGGTGAAGTCATAGCTGAGCTGTTAGCGAGAGAAAGAGAGTCATTTTTACAACGGAAGCTAGGGCGCGGCCCCCAGAGCGCGAAATGTCATCCGGCGCTATGAATCCTACCGACTTTTGACGAGAACGATAATGACTTATGACTTATGACTTTGGTTAGGCTGCCTACCTAGATTGTTACCGCAGGTTACTACTGCTGCGTGCGTTACATGTAGGTAGGGAGTGTATGACAGATAATGGAGACAAAACAAGCCAATTGAAGAGGCCGCCGTGCAGGTGGGGGAAAGGGGGAGGCAAATCCGAACAACTACCTAAGGTAATGGATGGGACTTAGGACTTTAGACGAAGTCGGACTCAAAATGCATGCCGAAGATACATACATACTTACATATGTTCGGAGGTATGGGATTAACTCCCGTAGCTTTTTGTCGCGAGCAACGATGCGCCACTTTGTCATCGCACATCTACTGTTATGGTTGATACCTAGGATAGGCCTCTTCTTCTTCTTCTTCATATTCCCCCCCACTTAAGGCAGTCTCAACGAGAAGCATATATATTACACGCGTAGGAGGATACGAGTAAAGTACAGGTTATAAGCTACAAGCCCCCATCATCCCATCGAACTGACTTGGACCGGGGAGCGAATCCTGCTGTCAAATTATAATTAGATCCGCCTCGTGCTGTCATAGTTTCACCTTGTAAGAAACAGAAGCTAATATTGCACCCCCGCCCGGATCTGCGTACCTAATCTGCCATAGTGCACACATAATAATGACAGGTATGTAATGTAGGTTAGGTTAGGTAGGTTGGTTACCTAGGTAGACATGTTAGAGGAAGAAAAGATGCTATCTACCTAACCTAGGTGGTGGGGTCGATCCAAGCAGGTTAGCTGCCGGCCACCCGAAGCTGAACTTCGGCTTACAAGAAGAGGGAGAGAAGGCTCCGCTTTCAAGATCTTCTTTTTTTTTTCTTCCCGAGGTATTGGACGAGGTACCCGCAACGGAGCGGCGCAGTAAGGCGTTTCTCGTTCAGTCACGGCCACGGGTTGGTGGGATACGATATCGATACGCGATACACACATAGTATTGGATTTGAGCGCAAGTGTTAAAAGCCGGCTGCCAGTTTTCTCTTCTGCTTCTACGAACCTTCCAAGGTTATACATACCTGTAACCAAGTCTAGGACGATACTGCTGTGCTCAACTAGCACAACATCCACACCTTAATACTGCGAAATTACTCGTTTTGCTGCAACCTTGCGTGCATTTTTGAGTCTTTTCAGCGTCGCACCGCAGAAGTGAGAAAGTAATGCGGGCGCGACGGAAACGGGGAGGGGGACAGGGGGAAAAAACACGTTTAACCCACATATTTTTAGACGTAGGAACGGGAAGCCGATCTGCCTGTCAGACGAACTGCTACCACCGAGGGATCTAAATTGGATGTATGTATTGTATAATACCTCCTAAACCTCTATTAGAAAGTAGCGCGTTTCTCCCATAGGAGATTAGGAAATGTGCTATGTAATAGATGTATGTAATACGTACGCTAGAGAAGCCAGGGGTCTAAAAGGATTCGCGCTCGACTGCAAGGTATTAATTAACCTTATAGCTCGCCCACGTGGCACGCGGGTGGCCGGGCTAATCAGCGTGTTGCCCTGATAGATCATAGGGGGCGTTGTCTCGGGCGCTATCTGGGATACCCCTGACGCCCGTTCGCTCCAAGACATGCTGTATCTATTAATCGAAACAGGCTTTTTGATTCAGACCCTCAACCTACTGCGTATCCCTTTACTATGTACACACAATGATACATCTACAGCAATAGGATTTAGATAAGCTCGCGCTGCCTCAACTCGCAGAAGCCCGCCCTCCATCAGCTGCGTTTATCTGCAACGGGCCGTCCGCAAAATGCGGGGGAAGTGGTGTCTTCATCTAGGTACTCAGGCTCTTCGACTACTAAGTTCAGCTTCCATCAGCCGTATATCAGATACCTATCGCAAACACATGTAAACGCCTTAGGTACCTTTATCTATACCTAGGTACCCACTAATACTATAATATGAGGTATGTATGTATATACCGAATATCTAACACCCGCGCCGGGACGCCGATCGCAACCCCAGATCTTCTTCAGCCTTATAGCACGTAGTTAGAAGGAGGTAGATACCTAACATACATGAAAGCCACATGGGCGGGAAAGGAGTTTGGGTTTGGGAGCCATAAAAAAGAAAAAGACAAAGACAAAAGCAAATACCTCATGTTACCTACCTACCTACCTACCTAGGTAGGTATAGGTATGGGGGTCTCAACCAAGGTTATCTAGGAATTTGACGTCTTTTCTTACGCGGACGATCTTCTGCGCGCCGCGGTCTTGCAGCAACGCCCCGTAACAGGTGCCCTAAAACTACCTAGGAGGGGCGGCGGGGAGGAACAAACGAGACCCGCGGTGCGCTGCAGAATGTACGGCGCGGGATACATATCGCGTGTAAGTGTACCTAATGCACGTTGGTGCGCATCACTTCGACGTTAGGTTAGTCAGGGGGTTGGTTAGATCCTGCAGATGCTGCGCTAACTCATGTATTTACCTAACCTAGGAGGTATCTACTGTTAACTAGCCGCGAATTTCTTGCTTTGCCCGCGGATGCAAGAATCTGTAGCGCCGACAGGGCGTACTATGTAATATGCCATGTAGGTACCTAATGTAAGTACTCCACAGCCCAACGTCGGAATACGAACGAAACGGCTGAGTATAACCCCACGCTTAGCTGAACGGGACGCGCGGGTCCGGCGTCAGTCTGTTTGACTGCTTGTTTCGTTTTGTTTCGTTTCCCTTTCCCTTCCTTTCCCCCTCCAAGCCTCGTGGCATATGGATACCCAAGGTACCTACCTAGGTAATCTACTCGTTGCGCGCAGGACAGGGTTCCCACTCCTAGCCTGAGGTAGCCCTCTTAACATAACACCGCTGACCCTGGACCGACGGGAGTCTTGGGGTCTACTATTAGGTAATGACATAGGATAGCATACAGGACGCCTTATGTATATACATACCGAGGTAGGTATATAGGTAGGCAGGTAGATCTCGCAGGGAAATGTCAGGTACCTCTAGGTATGCACGTCGGGTCTATATGTGTAAACGCTTATTGACCAAAAAGTTCGCACGCACGCTAGAAATGTTCTTGTTCTTCTTCTTCGGCCCCTGGATCCTTACCCGTGCCTAGGTAGGTTGTCTGACGCTATACCCTCAGATTCCTTTAAAACGTCAGGATCAGGGCGGATCACTCGATCGATGCGTTGGGAAGGGAGGATCTGGTACCTAGTTTCGGTAGTCCTTGTAGTGTATTTGGCAAAGAGTCAGAACAACATAGGTATTACATCCTACCTGTTATACAATCTTCGAGCATCATCGCGATCCGATTTGAAATGTTACGAGCCTTACTCTAGCCTAGCAGCGATGAGCGTCATAGAAAAAGGGGCTCATAGTACAGGATATTGAGAAGATTTCGGCAAATACGAACAAGCAAATCAAATCTGCCGTATAAACGCATCTTTCTTCGTAGAAGTGCACATTGGCCTTCCTCAAATGACCATCGTACCTGTAGTTTTTCGAAATAGATATGCACTTTAGACACCTACGTAGGTACCTACTTACCCATGGTAGTAGGGATGAAGTGGCAAGAGTGATTCTTCCCGACATTCGCCTCGCCAGAACGCGTTGTCCTAGATTTTAGGTGAGGTTTTGATAGGTTATACAAGTCCAAGAAAATAGAAATCTGCCTTGACGAGGCTGGTGAAGTTTACTATTTACCTATGATCAGATGCCTAGGCAGATACATGGGCATAAGCATACTTAAATCAGTTATCGCTTAAGGAGTCCTTCCAAGATTTTATAATAATTCCTTGGATTCTCTTTTCCCTACCCAGGTCGTCTGACTTCTTTACAAGTTCAACAGGTATCCTATATAATTCGTTTACGATTCCTATTATTTGATACTATAAGTTACTCATTGGTAATCAGATTCGTGGGCTATCCGCATCTCTTCGCACTATGAAATACGTAGACCTTGAAACCGACTCGCCATCCATGGTCGCCGATGATCTTAATGGGCTCTGTACCGTATGTAAGACGATCGACCTCGTCTTCTTAACTAGGGAATCCTGTTGTCGGAGCGATGATAAAAAGTGCATATTATCTATCGGCCCCCTGGGCTACGTCCTCGACAAAGCTGTGTTTTGTGCCGCTTGTCTCCTGATACAGGCTATTGCTGCTTGCTCCTCTACGAGAGTCAACGCCGAGGACTCCGTTCTGGTTAGAAAGTTATACCTTAGAAGTGAAAATCGCATAAGAAAAATAGATGATAGCAATTTCATAGAAGGGCATGGACTTCCAATGCGAGATAGCAGAGTTATCCAGGATTATAGAGCTTTAAAAGCTGAGGATGGTCTCGTCGAGGTTGCCTTAGCATTACATCAGGAAATGGTGATAGGGCAAATCATCAGATCGCAAGTTGCAGGACCAAAAGGTGCCACACAGCATGCGAATTGTGACAATTCGGAAGCGATACAGGTTGTTAGTCGGGAGGTGCCCCCGACCCTCAGCATTAGTTTACTAAAGGACTGGATACGCCGTTGCTACGGCGGGTAATGGAGCACAGGCAGGCCTCCCCGGGATAGGCTGCAATAGGAACAAGTGGCAACATACTGAAATCGTCAACGGAAGTTCTCTTACTACAGCTCAACCGACGGTTACCCAGATACTAGACCAAACAGTTTGGAATACTCGCGGGTAGACCTTCCAGGAGGCCATCCTCGCTCGGCGTGTCATCGTCTTTACAGAACACCAAGTGTACTGGAATTGCCGCGAGGACGCCTGGCGCGAAGAGAGTATTTACGAATCTACTCACGTCTCCATTAATGTAGTACAATGAAATATCTTTATGGGGGAATACCGTTAACGGCTGGCCTTGCGATCATAAGGTATAGTTACTGCGATTATGTCCAACAGTTCTCCGGAAGAGAGTTTACGGATACAGGGGACGTGATCTGGGCGTTTATGGGGCTTCTCAAGCTGCAAGCTCCGCGATTTACCCAGGGCTATGTTTGAGGTCTACCGTACGAGGCAATAGACGCGACGCTTCTCTGCTACGAACGGGGTTCGTGTCCTGATTTCCACGAGCGCGGCTCTCACCATAGAGTGCCCATGGGAAAGGACCGGCTATTTACGCTGGACTTCCCATCGTGGTCGTGGCTAGCATCGTCAGAGTGGCATAAGCCTTTACTCATTGGAGATGCGATATATCCAAATCCCCAGACTGCGGAAGGAGGCCAGAGTAGTAGCCTTCCCAAAGATATTTCAGATACCTCTCAACTTGCTTCTCCCCTTTTTAAAGTGGCCCAAGGCGAAGGGATACTAGACTATGGGCTCCTCCAATTTACGGCCCAGACCGCAAAGCTGCGGTTCAAGCAGACAAGCAAGCAGGAAACCAAGAACAAATGGGTAAAAGCAAAAGCCTATTGTTTATGGGGCAGATACATCGGTAAGTTAACAATTACTAGCAGCTTCTTCGGGGATAAGTCGAAGCGGGTCGGCGAGTGCGTTCTACTGTCGACAAACACGTTCAGATATTGTCCGCTTAATAAAACGCACAATGTTATGTTGATCGAGCGGGATGGGGACATGGCGTACAGGAAAGGCTTGGGGGCGATAAAGAAAAACGTCTGGGCCAGAGTCAAAGCCAAGAGCAAGCGTATGGTATTGGGCTAACTGGCTTTCTGTCAAGAGACACGGAAGAATACCATGTCCCAAGCGGCTCTGAGTGGTACCTACTTGAGAATCACGAGGCAGTCATCATTACCCCATCCCATGCCTCCATATCCATCTTTCCCGAGCATGATCCAGTGCCAAGCCCATCTATGCCATCAGTGTTTGTAAGATTCACCTTTCTTCCTTCCAAACAACCGAACAGGGTAACTTTCTTTGTGCCAAAGCATCATAGCCTTCTGGTCTGTCCACTTACGGAATGCTGAAGGCCGAGATGCCGTACCATTATCACTCCTATCACCGTCTCCGCAATATACTTCAAAGTCAAAGTTCCAAATCATGCGAGCCAATAGCACCCTAAACTCGACCCAAGCCAAGTTCTGGCCCAGACAATCTCGCCCACCGGCTGAAAAGGGTCGGACTACTTCACGAACATCTGTGCCGCACTTCGCGTATTTACAGGTTTTTTGACCAAAGCCGGTGGTATACTTCGCAGCTAGCTCGGGAGATAACCACCGTTCAGGTAGGAACTCATCCGGGTCGGTGAAATTTGTCGATGAGCGGTTGGCTGCGTATTGAGTAACGCCAACAGAAGTCTAAAATGGGTATAAAAGTTGGTATAGGCATACTAAGAAGGGGATTTAGGTTGGAGGCGAGGTAAAATACTTACCCCTGGAGGTACAAAGTGCCCAGCAATCACGGCCCCATTTCCATCTACCACGCGTGCCGGACCATTTGCTAGAGGAGGGCATAACCTGTGCGTTTCGCGCAATACTGCATTGAGGTAAGGCATATTCGAAGTGGTGTTTTCATAGGTGATGTCGGACTCAGACACAGTGGAGCGGATTTCAGCAGCCAGTCGGCGCATTATCGTAGGGTTTTCACAAAGGAGGTGGGTAGCACTAAGCAAAGAAGTAGCGATGGTTTCGCTGCCGGCAAGTAGCAATAGTATACTGTTAGCCTCAAGTTCAGATAAACTGAGACCAGTCACAGCTTTCTCTGAGCCTGACGTTTTTTTAGGATTTTCGAGTCTTAGCTCCCATCCCTGAGCTTCTCCTTGGAACTGTGAGGCTGTGACAAAGTCTTCCTCGCCGGGTGGCAATGTCCTTTGGACGCGACGGCCTACCTTTTCGCGTATTAGGGAGATGAACTGGTCCCGAAGGCAAAGAAGTCTAGCCGGCGCTAGGCGGGATAATAAGCTAGGGAGGGGCGGGTAGAAGCGAAGGCACATAAGCAAAGCTGAAAGCTTAAAATGAGTTACAACCATAAGAATCCAGGGATGATATGCACGACCATCGAGACAACCGAAGTCCTCGCTCAGAGTGACACGACCAATAATGTCAAAGGTGGCGAAGTTGTACCATTCGCGTAGGTCAGCGGGATGTTTCTTCGTGTCGTCACTGCTGTCACTGCTGTCACTGCAGTGATGATTGCGTAGCTGTGCTATCAGACGACCGGCGTACTCCTGGACAATGCGCTCCTGGCGACGCGCAGCACGCAGGGAGAAGAAATCATTTTTGAGCAGACGGCGCAGCCGCGTGTGGTTGTCGTCGGAAGCATCGAACAGAGATTCGAAAGTCTGCGCGTTGCGGTAGGCTCCGTGCTTAGGAAAGCCCTTGTTGGCGACGCCACCGCAGTAGATGTCTTGCCAGGCCGCATTGTCCGTGAACGAGAGTTCATCAGGTGCAATGCGCACAACAGGTCCGTACTGGTCGTGGAGCCGCTTAATGTGCTCATGCAGTCTGCCTTGCCAGAGACGTAACGCGTATGGGAGGCGCGAGGCCGCCCAAAGCCGCGGGCCTGGGAAATTGGCTAAGGGGTGGAGGGAACAATTATAAGCTGCTCGACAGAGCAGAAAACACTGAAATAATGATCAGATTGTGGAAATGTAATACTGGACGGGAAGTAACTCACAATGAGAACACTTGGACATAGTAATACAAATAGGGGCAACTGGCTCAACAGATAGCTTGCAGCTGTGGCGGTAACGGCACTAGTATCAGCCATGGTTAAGTCAATGAACGCTTGAGATACACAAGCGGTTACATGAGGCCAAAGTTCAAAACTTACTGGGCCAAACGTTTTAAAACCCGGAGAATTGGGCTTGATATGTGAAATTCCTGTGCCTCCTCTGCCACGGCATGGCAAGGAAGGCTATAACAAAACCTTTCCAACAATACAACCTACCGAGAGATCGGCCCGGAACCAATCTACCATCTTGTATGCGTGTCCGTATTTAGCCGATACACTGTGCTTCATTGTACTTCGTGATGGATGGAACAATAGTGGCAGGGAGTTGGCTGCATAAGCTGGCTATGAAGCTGAGTTTGAAATACCAAGACAACGCCACGGCGCATATCTTACCGCATATAAAATCACTGTGCAGCAAATACGTAAAGAAATGCGCCTTTCCTAACATTACCCTCTTGATTGGTATGAAACTCAATCCTCTGGTGGAATGATCTGATTCCCGGCCCCTGATTCGGCGAAAACCATGCACATGGAGGCTTATAACTTACGGCACATCCAATAAAGTATTTCTTCCTCAATGAGGCACCCAATAAAAATGTAGTGGCACTACGCATAGACAAACTTCCTGGTGTACTTATATACTCGACCCCATGCCTCACGCAATGTACGCCTACCAGTCAACTCCCCCCTTATGATTAGTTCATGCGCGCATTAATCCAACTTGGTGTGTCATACCAGCCATAACTCTCCACCTTTAAGCCATCCTATCTACAGAGTTGACGCTGAAGTCTTTGCGGACTTCGATGCCACCTCTTGAGCCGGCACTGCTGGCTGGTGTCTGTGTTGCAGTTATTGAGGCCGAATGTAATTTTCCATCTACGGGCCCGTTTTTAGGTTTCATCTCGAAACAATCGCCTTCGCCATTGCTCTTTGAGCGCGAGTACCCATTGACTGAAGGCCTGCTTCGGTTCGATCCAGAGCTAATAAGCCGGTTGCGTAACGAGCGCAAAGTTGTGATCCATTGCATTGTGAGCAAAGGATTCCCGAACACAGCAGGAAAGAGAGGAAGACATGCACACATGATCCCGATGGAACATTCTATAGTACTACAAATATATTAGTGCTGCGTCTCTTCCTCAAAATCAAGTTCCTGAACGCTTACTTGACCAAAATCACGTTGAGCAGACCCCAGGTGAAATCAACGCCATCCTCCGCGAATCTAAAGCGATAAACGGCTCCTACTATGCTCATAATGCAGGCACTACACCATTAAATCAGTAATTATAGAATAACGAGTAAACGAAGGGTCTGCGAAACAAGCACGCACAATAAACCAGTAGAGAATAGAGCGGCGAGTCCGAGTCTTTTCTTCCTTTCTAGATGCAGCTGCATGACAGATGTAATAGGTAAGATTAGAATATAGAAGTCAGACAAGACATTGAGTATCGCCATTCCCTTGTTAAGGGGTACCGTTTGCGCTGTGTCGAGGAAGACGAAACAAAAAAAGAGAATGGCGTAAAGGGGTACGATCAGTGCCATGCCAACAATGCTGCCAATTCTCGTGGCCACATTTGGCCAAAAGAGTTTATAATAGAACATCAGTAATGCCAGTTTGGTAAAACCAATAGAGAGCTCCGTCACATCAGCCATAGCTCTAGCCGGCTTTGAGAAACGTACCTGTCAGCTAGACAAGTCAATAAAGGGGGCTCGAATTTGACTTACATCTATCAGCGGGGGAAACTCCAATGCTCTAACGTCCCACATATGCTTACCAACCCCATGAAGGCATACTGTGAATCATTGCTGAATTAGGTGAGAATTCTAGGAGCCAAGGATCACACTTACGCCACATATTCAGGCCACAGTAGGCTCCTTGACATAGCTAGAAGAGAATTAGAAATAACCACAAAAGGCGAAAGATTGCATCTATCGATGATTTCCTTACCAGCGCTATGACGCAAACCACTGTTATAGTGTTCAGTCAGTGTCAACCCCCAGAACAGATCTAGGAAGGGGGGTGGGGCAGCTAACAATCATCCCACCACGGAGATCGTTGTATAATACAACGAGCCCAGAGCCTCACCCCCACAAATACCGTTGCCAGACCGAGAAAAATAGATGCAACGGCAACATATGTAGGCCCGCGGTTAGTCGGATCTATGAAATTAGACACAGTCCCTGTCGGTGGTTGAAGTGCCGGAATCTGGGAGAGATCCATGGTGTTGTTGTTATCCATGATGTCAAGAAGAACCCTGGAAGCTGGGAAGCTGGGAAGCTAAACGCCGGAAAGACACTGCACGATTGAATGATAGCGGTCCGTGTGCAAGGGAGATAAAGGGGCCACAGAAACCCAGTAGAAAACCAAGACTAGAGAAATCCAGATGGCTATTAGAGTGAGTACTTATGTAAATTGCGAGATAGATTTAGAGGAAAGGGGGTAGCTGAATGAAACACTTGAATTATTAGTGGTGTTTATACAAGTTCGACGGACACCCCTCGGGGTGTCCGTCGAACTTGAGTAGACGGAACTGGAAATAGAATGCGAGATGCGAGATGCGAGAACATGTGTTCCCACCAAGCGTTTACGGAAATCAGCAATAAACTCTCAGTCGCAATCGCGTACAGGTTTTTGTTGGCAATTAACAAGAAGGTAGGTAAGTTTATGATTCCTGCAGTTGGCTAGCAAATGCTATTCTGCAGGCATGGGAAATAAGACCAAACTGAGTTGCTTCTAGTCATTGGACTTTTGAGACGGTGTTGGTTGCAACTTTTATGTAGGATGTGTGGTGGTTAGTTACCTACATTCCCAATGGGCCCCAGTGACATTTAGATTTGATGGCGGCTAAGGGATTGTGGTGGAAGGGGGGGTGCCGGGTTGTGCTTAGCGGGGATGAAGGATTTGCGGCAAGGCTTGGACTATTGAGTTACCGGAATGATCGGAGGGGGAGAAAAGGATGCATGTATCACTTCGACAATTTTAGTGCCCGGGCCTTCAATGACTTCTATGAGGCAGGATCAACTTTATCTCTTGCTCTACCTACCTACCTCTACCTAAGGTAGGTACCTTTACCCAGCATTTGCATGTTAATTACCGGTAGACGTCGTGGTTAGGCCACGTCACTATGTCATTTAAGGAATAAGACGTTGAATTAAGCACTAGGAAATGCTCAAAAAGATATTATCACCATAGCAGTCTAATTTAGATCCGTAGGTTCTATCTAGACCCAGGTACAAGTGTGTTGGTGTATCCGTTGAGGGTAATTGCCTCGAGTTTACCTTAACTCAAACATCGATGGTATGAGTCCGTTTGATCAAATCCGCTGCTCTTTCTGCGACTGCATATACTGTAGTTAATGGGTTGCCTCTGGTGGTAATTGGCATAATGCTGGAGTCAACCACACGCAAGTTGTCAACTCCATACACACAGAGCTCTGGATTGACGACGCCACCCCGCTCGAGTGGGAGCATCGCGCACGTGCTTGTAGGATGCCAGCAGGTCAATGCTGCCTTTTTGACATATTCCTTTGCTTGTGCTAGATCGCTCAAATCGCCGGGTGCGCCGCGGCTGCGTCTTCCCTCAGGCTTGAGGTAATGGCTAAGGGGTTCAGAGTGGGCAATTGTATCAATATAACGAAAGAGCCTAGCTAATACCTCAATATCTAGAGGGTGCTCAAGATAACGTGGATCGATAGCCGGCTTATCAGCGGGATCAGGTGAGGTGATGTGAGAGCTGCCACGGGAGAGGGGAAACAGAAGAGCGACACAGATAGTGAAGAAATTGCCATCATTGCTAGCTTTGTGCACTATGTCGGCCCCAGCACCTTCTGGGATAAAGTTACCACAGGCGGCATAGGTGAAGAAGTTCCCTGCGGCTTCATCCGGCTGTGCTAACAGCGAGTGGACAAAGGAAGTATGAAAGGGCGAGAAGGCATCTTGGGTAGCCTCCTGTGTTGCAGCTTCGAGGACATCCTTTAGTGTTTGTTGACCATTCGACTCCTTCACGAAGTCCATAACGGGCAGCATCCCACCTGCAAAGTTTCCACCAACGGCAAATGGGCCGGTCTTCTTGGCCATGTACTCCTCCATAGCGGCCGCGATAGCTTCAGGCTGCTGCCGGCTGAGGCCGTCCATCGTCTTGACACCATCAGCTACTTCGAAGCTAACACCGACGTTTAGATGATCCTGGAGGTTCTCGCCGACATTGGGATTGTTTACCACCAAAGGGATGCCGAACTTCCCGAGAAGATCTCGAGACCCAACTCCTGATAACTCAAGCAGTTTCGGTGTGCCGAAAGCCCCAGCTGCTAATATAACTTCTTTGGTGGCTTTAGCTACTTTGATGTGGCCTTCTTTTTGAAATTGTACACCGACGGCCTTTGGATTACCCCCATCGTTATTGAATATGATCTTTTGGGCCATAGCACCCGTTACAACGTGCAAATTGGGTCTGGATTTGGCGGGTTCTAGGTAGGCTGTAGCTGAGTCGCTGCGGGTGCTCGAGGCTGGATCAATGCTCATAGCGTTGATGTACCCGCCGGTCAGCTTGCCAGAGAATGGGTCTCCAGATGCCGGATACCCCAGGGTAGCGAGAGTATCTACCCATGCTGTTGGAAGTGGATCATTGATCTCTTCTGGGAATGAAGCCTGAACTGGGCCGTCCGTAGCTCGAATAGCATCGTCGATGTAACCTAAACGTAGGTGGTCGCAGGCTGCCGCCGAGGGACGTGAGAGGGTGTGGAATTTCTTGTAGTAAGGTGCTAAAGTCTTCCAGTCCCAGCCTGGGTTGCCAAATTCAGCCCACTGCAAAACTTGTAATTAGCAACCCTAGCCATTTCTTTTATCGCAATGCGTGGCATCAAATCATAAGATCACTACAGGAATAATAGGGAATGTCTGATATTTTACTTACAGCATCTATGGAGCTCTTTGAGTTAGCTACAAAAGCCTGCCCGTTGATAGCACTAGAGCCTCCCAGAAGTCTTCCCTGTGAAAGTGGTATGACTTTATTATCGAGTCCTTTCTACTCAGGTGGTTAGCCGACACCTATGCGAGTAACATCCTCGTACATACCTGGGGGACGCTGCGATAGTCCCAGTCAAAATCTTCCTTGCCGAGAAGCGACGGCCATAGTGCTGGAGTACGGATGCGAGGGTCAGTGGTGTGATCATCTCCGGCTTCGAGGACAAGAACTGAAGTGTTTGGATCCTCGGTGAGGCGTGCCGCAACAACTAAGCCAGCTTGTCCACCACCGACGATAATGAAATCATTATTGGTATCCATTTATACTTTAAAAAATTTGAGCGCTAGGATTTTCAGTTGTCGATAAGCCAAATGAGATGAGAGAAGGCAGATTCCGGGTCAAGATATGATCTCCACGGGGAACAAAGACCTATCTAGAAAATTGCCCACCGAGTATGACAGGCACCTAACCTAAACTTACGATCAAAGAGTTATGTCGCCGAAGATTGCCCTAGAATGTTTCTGACAAGCCGTTATCACTATACAATTACCGCAGGCATGGACGCTCCTGTTTTCCAACAGCATTTTCCAACATGCAGTTGGTAGGACTTAACCAGCGGATATCATATCTCCCCGCAGTTGACCCTACCAATCATACATTTAACTGCACCCATTACGATTACGGTTGGTAATAAGGATGATTGGCTTAGAATATGGTACTACCTTAGGCTCACTGCTCACGCTAATAATAAAAATCCGGAAGTATTTCGCCGCGTTTATATATTACATATAACGATTTATAGTTTTTATAATTTTATTGCTATACGAATGGCAAGAAAGCCCGTTAGACTTTTACCTACCTAAATACTGTACCTTTTCACCCCCCCTCCTTATCCCCTTTATGTGAGGAAGTTAGTATATAGCTGCAATCGTGTCGTATTTTATATGCGAGCCATGATCCTTCGAGCAGCCACCATGTTTCGTAATCATGTAGTACAACCAACAGTATGAATAGATTAAATATCATCTAATACTTACCCGCCACTATGCAGTGTCACGACGTTGGCGACGAAACATGCCAACACACCGAAAAGATTATGTGTAGTACTCACCGCATAATCTTTCAATGTTAACTAAAATTTGGATCTAGACCATACAATACCTAGTGACTTGTTCCATACATCTTGCGTTATGCATGAAGGCAGACTCCAACTACATTCTTTCTCGCACATAGACCTCCTGTGTGGGATCCGGAAAGCCTAACTCCAAGACCTGCAGGGCCCGAGGTCTGCCGCGGCCCTCACCGAAACTAATATCGTAGCGTCCCAGCATGGTAGCAAAAACCAACTTGATCTCAACTGCGGCAATGAAACGACCAGGACAGGCAAACCGGCCGTGTCCAAATGTGATGTGGCTACTATCAGTCGATGAGTATTGGTGACGCGTCATGAACCCTGGATCCTGGCGCTTTTTGCTATATCTAAAACCGTCGAAATCATCATTTTCACACCCAAGGCTTGACGTGTTGACTACACATATATATGCCCCTTTAGGAAGAACCAGCCCATCAGACAGGGTTAACTTCTCCTTAACAATACGCTTAAAACTCACTGCAAATGGTTTGATCAGTTTTTCTCTCGCTCGTATATTGTTCAAAAAAGGATGTGGATTTCTCACGTGGGCTTGGGGCATTTACTCGCTGTGACTCTTTCATAAAACTATCCATCTTGATCAACTTTGCAGGGGTGCCCTTTTGCCAACCCCCATCATCCTCCAGGACATGCCGCACCTCCTCACGGAGCGGCTCCAAGTATTCAGGATGGACAACCAGGTCGTACAAGCAGTCAATTAATCCCGCCGATACTGTGTAGAGCGATCCAATCACGGAGAAGACGTATCGTGTTGCAATATTTTGAGCGGATCGTTCGTCGCCCTCGGCTTCATCAATCATCCACTGCAACACATCCTCGGGTTTTAAATATCCTTCGCTTCCTTCGCGGGCCTGTCGCCGCCGCTCTTCGATCAGAGGAATTAAATAAGAATGTACACGCTTGAGGCCCTGTCGTAATTTCCGTCGCGTTGGCAACACAGGGCCCACTATGGGATGCAACACTCCCGGAAGACACTTAAGGATAAGTGCTGTAAGAAAAATCTGTGATGTGGTGTAAATATTGTCAGAGTGCCAGTCCTCGTTCCGACATAAGGGGAAGCCGACCCAGGTCCGCGAGGTCAGACGTGAAATTATGCGGGTCATAACAACGTTGAAGTTCACGGCCACCCATTTGCCTGATATGACAAACGTCAGTGGAATAGTTATCTGTTTCGAGATAATAACCTAGGTACCTTTGCATGGTGGCATCTCAACTCCCAGACTATAGTTTAACTCTTCAGCCAAGGTGGGTAAGAGCGATCCAAGCCGAGGTGTGAGCTTGTTTCGGATGACATTGAAACTGAGGTGACTACCCAACAGTATCGTCATTCCAGTGTATTTCCCTTGCATATCCTATGCCAGACTTTGTTAGCGACACTCCGACTGGTGAACATTGAGACGTAAATCTGACAGACCTCAGATAGAGCTTCAATGGGGTGAAGTCTATCATCATGCATGTTTTGTAATTCATATACATATCGAGGGGGGAGGACCGTCATGTTTGAGTCGGGGCGCACGATAGTAAACACGGTGTTTGGGTACTATTGTTGTTTGGGAACAGTTCGCCTAACTTAGAGAAGCGTGGGGGCTGCTTACCTTTTCCCAGGCCTTTCTCGTTATATACCAACCGCCAAAGACGAATCGATATCTAGTGACGAAGAGAGGCTCAAGCCACCACTTACGGCCGACAATAGGCGTACCTGGCACAATTGTGTGCTTCGTGAACTTAGGTGCTACTTCTAGAGTAGTAATTAGGAATGAGGCGATAAATATCCATACGAGGTACGCAACAGGAAGCTGATCCGGAAGATAGTAGGCAAGGAACGGAGTGAATGACAACATGACTCCAGCATTTGACAAGTGAAGTATATTGTATAAAAGACAACCGGTAAGAAAGAATTTAAATTTCACTGAAATATATTTATGGTGCTATGAACGACAAGAACGCCACATGGAAGCATTACGAATCGAGTTAGGGTAGGTACCTCCTATGAATGTAAGCCTGGTTGAAATGCAACCCAACCACATTGAATGAGTCCCAACAGAGGTAAGCATCAGTTTTAAATACGGATGAGATTCAAAAATATAGAGACCACAACGTGCGAATACGACTGGCAACGTATAAGAATTGTCCCCCGTGTGTTACTCAAGGATCAGAGTACATGATAGCCACTTTGACTAAGACAAATCCTTATAAAAGATACAGAGCTTTCCAATGAACACTAAAGTTCCAAGTTTTGATGCCTACCTTACCTATCAATTTTTGTCATATCCATTCTCGTCTTTGTTTACAAGATGGATCTTAACATTCTAGCAAAACAGCTTATTAATGAGCTTGTCGAAAGATGCCACAGTCGCTATGGATTTAGTTCCATGACGTGCACCGTCTACGATACAGCATGGGTGTCTATGGTTTCAAAGCCGGTCGAGGATACACGAGTTTGGCTATTTCCCGCGAGTTTTGAGTCCATACTGCGCACGCAAATACCGAATGGTGGTTGGAATGAGGGAACTATAGAGACTGACAGCATACTTGACACAGCAGCTGCATTATATGCTCTTTGCAAGCATCGCCGAGATTATAAGGAAGATGATCTAGAAGGGAGAATTTCAAGCGCAGCACATTTCCTGACTAAGCGTTTAAACAAGATGGATCTATCTGGGATACTTCCAGTTGGGTTTGAACTTCTTCTCCCATCCTTGTTACGCCTCTTGGCCATCGAAGGAATCATCCTGGACTTTCTAGCGTACTAGTCTTTATTGAAAATCCGAGAGCAAAAGTTAGCTCGCATCGATTTTGACAAAATATATAGAGGGGCAAAATCATCGATCCTTCACTCTCTCGAGGCGTTTATCGGCGAGGTCGACTTTGATCGTCTAAGCCACCATAAAGTTGTCGGTAGTATGATGGCTTCGCCGTCATCTACCGCGGCGTATTTGATGAACTGCTCAACTTGGGATGACGAGTCAGAGGAGTACCTTCGATATGTGGTAGAGACCAAATCAGGAACGAGAACAGGAGATGTTCCAAGTGCATTTCCATCTACTCTTTTCGAAACGTCATGGGTTTGTGCAAGTTTGTCCTCTCGCAATAGTCTAACCTAATTGCAAAATATAACAGGTTCTGTCTACATTACTCGAAAGTGGTTTCACTGAGGATGACTTGGGTCCGAGTCAACTGCAGAAAGTTAAGAAGTATTTCATGGAATCGTTTACTTCTGGTTCAGGCTTGATAGGATTTGGTATGTACCAGTATAGCTGCGTTTTGTATATGAAGCTGACACATGTAGCTCCGCTATTAGAGGCGGATGCCGATGATACAGCAAAAGGTATAACTATGATGAGCTTGCTAGGAGTCCCGATATCTGTGTCGCCACTCATTGAGAGATACAGTGATGGTGAGAAATTTCGAACTTACAGCAATGAGATAACCGCAAGTATATCTACGAATAGCAATGTCCTGACCGCCATGTGTATGGCTCCTCTGGAGAATAGGCATCGGCCAGCGATTGAGATGGTTGTGAAGTTCCTTTGTGAGACATGGTGGAAGAATTCTCATAATATCCGAGACAAATGGGTAAGACCGGATCCTGCTGATATAGTATAATATTCTGATCATATTCTTAGCATGTATCATCGTATTATCCCATGATGCTTATGGCACAGTCTCTCCACAAGTACCTTGGATTATACGATAAAGACTATATTGCACGCAGGGGCGGGAAACTGCAGCCAAGGCGGTTTTCTGGAGTTTCCGCCACACTACATGATGCTGTTATCGTACTCTTTCAGAGCCTGTCATTTTTACTCGTGGCTCAGAGGGAAGATGGTTCCTGGCAAGGCAAGCGCGAGAGCACAGCATTAGCAGTGATAACTATCAACATCGTCGCATCTTTGCCAATCGTTAGACCCCTGCTCGGTCAAGTCAAAACAGCAATTGATAACGGATGCATGTTTCTATCCAGAAATTTGGAGTCCAAGCCGGAGCGCATATGGATCGAGAAGGTTACTTACGGCTCGCAATATATATCGGATGCGTTCACTCTTGCAGCACTAAGATATTCGGACCAGGACTTCGTCACCAACTTGGAAACATCGGTTACAGGTACACTGGATGCTATCTTGAAGCCTTTGAAATTCTTTCGGCAGTTGCCTATGTTCTCATGTACGCCTGAATGGTCCACGGTAGCATCATTGATCGAAGGTTCACTCTTCGAAAGCCTATTGCGCAAGGCATGCTTCGAAGTGTTCCCTGATAATCTAAGCGGCAATGAGTCGCACTTCTCATTCATCCCTTTCACCTGGACGTCGGGTAACAACCTCCATTCTAGGCCCCTTACACCTGGTATCATGTTGGAAATGATGATCATATCCGCTTTGGCCTATCAAATGGATGAGTTTATTGAAAGCAAGGTGGCAAAATTGTCAATCGAATCTGTCAAGTCACTCAGAAAATCGGTTATGCAGTTATTCGACGAAGTAATAAGCAAAACCCCAGACGTATTAGTCAAGAACGCTGGACCATTGCCGTCAGACTCCCTTGAATTACATGTAAGATATCATGTCTCCAACTAATCCTTTCACGTGCATAATATCCGGGCATCGAAGTGGACTAACCCCAGAAAGAACCTGTCTACAGGGAATAGGAGCGACGGGATAGATGTTCAGCAAGTATGTGGAGTCTTCAAGGCCTTTATCTCTTACATATGGTATGCTCCGTACAATCGGATCGCAACTCAGAACAGCCGAGCGCAATTACGAATCGCAGTGGAAGACTTCTTAATTGCGCATCTAACCCAGACAGAAGATAACTATTACTTGGCTAGGCAAAGCCGGAGTGAACAACTCAATCGCAAGTTCCTCCAACCCCCGAAGTCGTCGCTTCTTGATTGGGTGCGTACCACCTCAGGAGATCACACTGCCGGCCCCTTCGCCTTTACGGCATTTATCAGCATGTTGGGAAATGGGACCGACTGTCTCAATTCACCTTTGGCAAAATACGTTGCGCAAGACGTTTCTCGACACTTGGCAGCGCTCTGCCGACTCTACAATGACTTCGGCTCTGTGACACGCGATATGGCGGAAGGCAACCTAAATAGCGTCAATTTCCCCGAGTTCGGTGCTGAACTAGAGATCGCAAAGAAGGATTTGCTGCGAATAGGAGAGTATGAACGCCGGTGCCTAAACCAGTCGTTAGCTGAGTTGCGGCCGTTGGTGGATGAGGCTGTTTTTGCTTCCTTGCAGGTCTTCTGTACTTCGGCAGATATGTACGGTGAAATGTATGTCATAAAGGATTTAACGCCGGCTATCAAGTGATTAGAGAGACAAGATGGTAAGTAGAGAAAACTATAGTCCTTGAGACGTTGGAAATCACGAGGAGGACGCACTGGATTGCTTTCAAGTACGAGACGGGGCCCTATCCATTAGAACTCTCTCCCTAGGATAGTGTTATGAGACCAAAGCGAACCTGAATACAATACCTTTTCACTGCGTCTTATTTTGCGAGGTGGTTACCCCTGAGATCCTTTTTGGGCTTGCCATTACGAATTGTCGAATGGAGGACGTTTGACCTAGAATAGCGGATTAATGGTAGCTCAATAGATGGCAACAGGTACTAGACACCACCAAATCCAAAGAGATTTTCTTAAGCGGCATTCTAGGTATCAAAGCTTCAAGGTACTTATTGACTTTTCTTACTTGATAAGAACTTCTTCGGGTGGGGTTCGCGGTCCGTTGTTGGTTTGATAGGCCAGTGCTACCTGTTTCCAGAGCTCGTCATGGTGTTTAGGAACCGCCATCTTTCTATAGTAATAGTAACTGAAAGATTTAAGTGTAGCCATATCTCAGGTTTAGGTACCTACCTATTCGGATATCTTATGCAGTAGATTCTTGAGAAATGCCGAGGTGTTGGCCGGGTTGGAGGCATTAGGGGTTGCTGAAAATAACTAAAGCTTCAAATGAAATATTTAAGGGGCTATGGGTTAAGTTGATATAGAAGAAGCGCTTTAAGATTAAAATGGGCTTAAAGCTTCTAAAATAGTTTTAAGATTGCAAGATCGCTATTTCTATTTTAAATTTTGTTTAATTGCCAGTTACTTTTTTCTATCCCTTTCCAGATAAAACGCGCTGCAGATACAAACACAAGGACTATAAATTTTGGAGGCGCCGGTGGCGTCTACCAGCGAAGCCGGTTTTTCTGGGATAGATAATTGCGCTCTGCGTAAATAGATGTACGTTACCGCTTCCTTTTCACGACCTGGCAACGTTGGATCACTCATTGTTTACCACGTCCATGTTAGGTAGGTACGCAAGCACCAGAACGTGCTCCTAGGTAAACAAATTAACTATTGGGAGACTTAACACAACAGTATAAATAGAATCATCCGCTCCGCACTCCTACAAGAGGAATTCGCTCGATTCGGGTCGTTGACTCGTTCCCACCGCGTCTTCCGTCGTTATATCCCCCATTTCAGTAACGTGAACTTGGCCGATGTAGAACCTTTGTCTAGATACGATACGGGCGGATACCATCCCGTCCACCGCGGCGACCTAATTCATAACCGATACAGAGTGTTCTATAAGCTTGGGTATGGGCATTTCTCCACCGTCTGGCTTGCGCGCGACAGGAAGACACGCAACCTCGTCGCGGTCAAAATTGGCACCGCCGACTCTGATCCAAAGCAAGCAGACAAATTATCGGCCCTTAGCCTGGCTACCGGGAGCAGTTTCTTTCCTCCCGTCCTCGATAGCTTCAAGGTACGAGGCGCCAATGGCGTCCATCCTTGTTACGTGAGAGAGTTGGCGCTAGGTAGTCTCAAAAATCTGCTGCGATTGCCCCCTTATGTATTCAGTCCGCATATTGCTCGAGCCTTGATCGCACAATTGGTATTAGCCACGACATCAATGCATAGCCACGGGTTTGTCCACGGAGATACGTTTCAATTCTTGGTCGGAAGTAACTGGAACAATATCTGCTAATACTTGAGCACTTTCCATCGTTTATTACCTAGACCTCAATCTAGATAATGTTCTTCTAAGAGCCGCTCCCGCATTTAAACGTCTCTCAAATGAAGGTCTATATGAAGTCTACCGTTCACCACGGTACCAGGTCTCGGTGTTCACGAAGGACGAAGAACTACCAACAAACGTACCTTCTGAAAACGTTGTCTCCGTTTTCCTTGGCGAGTTGGAACAAATCTCCCTCGAAGAAGCAAGAATCCGGATAGCCGATCTCGGCGACGAACACATTCCTTTATCGGTAGAGAACATAGGTTATTCATTCGAGCATGTCGCATACTATCCTCCAGAGTTCATTTTCGGCCCAGAGAAGAAGAGGCAAGTCTCGCCCGCGTCTGATATCTGGGCCCTTGCTTATTGTATATGGAACCTGCTCGGGGCAAGCCCGCTTTTAGACAATAGCTGGGAGGATGAGGATTTAACAAGGGTTGTACAAGTCGACCCCCCTGGACCGGGCGAGATGCCGATTTCCTGGTGGAAAAATTGGGAAGATCACTCGGGTTGCTATACTGAGACTCGCGACCGGCTGCCCGTCTTTGCGAGGTACGTTGGGCCGTGGGAGTTCAAGTTCCAAGAGCACATACAAGACAGACTGGAAGCGGCAGGATACCCGGGGATATTATTCAAAGAGAAGATAGCCATAATCGACGTGCTTCGGCGGATGCTGGCTCGGAAGCCGGAAGACCGTTACACGGCGGCCCAGGTCTTGGAGTCTAAGTGGATGACACAATGGGTTCTACCTCAGTATCAAAAGCTCAAGGCGTAAAGCATGAAGTTAGGTGGCAGAACCGAAGATGTTTAGGGAGGTAGGTAACTAAGATAAATAAAGTCTAGCTCTACTCTGGCTTATTTCCCCTTTTAAGGCTTTAACCTTTCTACTTGAGGGTGGCTTTATTAGGGAAGAAACTAGATATAGGTTAGGGACTTATATCGGGTACATCGAGTGGGTCTTGCAAAAAGGGGGATAGGTCACGACTTATTCCTAGCGTTGCGCCACGGATATATAACAAGCTCGCCTCAAGTTTCTATAGGGCCACATTGGCAGGATCTCAGCTCTCCTTCCAAACGGGTAATGCTGACCGTTACGCTTCAGCTCTGGGTTATATGATACCATTATATATGGCAAGGTACCCCTATCAAAGCGACATGCTGTTTATGAACCTTTTCTGGCAAACCCGCTCCGAGAAATGAAGCTGACAATCATTTCGCTAAATCCTTGGAGGCCTACCAAAGAATGTCGAGACCGCTTTTTCCGAGGAATAAACATGTTAAAAGGCAGCTTGGCTAAGATTCCTATGAAAGGTTAGTGTTAACACTAGGTTAGGTACCTACCTAAGCCTAGGTACCTAATTATACTCGATTTGTTGATGGTGTCCGAGAGCAAATAAGGAGCTTGTTATATCACCAAGCTTCCTGTAGTAATTCATGACAAATGCAAATCGCCTGTGATGGATGGCCGTTACACCTTGTTCCAGAATCGTAGGCACTTCGAACTCCAAAGTTGAGGGCAATTACTTGGATACCTTTTGTAAACTGAACTATGTAAAATTAGATATTCAACTATTTAATCTGCTGAAAACGCCGTCTCCGTTTCCTAAGGAATGACCTCAAACTCGGCAGACAGACAGCCACCAAGCTCGCCACTATTTCCACCAACGCCCACACGTCGATGGTATGCGTGATATCGGCCTTGGGCGCGTCCTGCACCAGCATCAGCGTGATCCAGCGCGCCAGCGCGGCCACGACGCTCAAGGCCGCCATGCACAGCACGAACACGATGCCGCTGATCTCGGCCTTGCCCAGGCGCGTCTTGGTGATCTCCCGGCGCTCGCGGCCCATCGTGCACAGCGCGGAGACCGGGACGGCCAGGACCACCAGGTCCGTGGAGATGTTGGACGCCGTGGATATCGACACCGACCGGATGTCGTGCACCGCGGAGCACAGGTGTCCGTCGACGTCCCAGTTGCCGCTCACGGGCGAGCACCACGCCGACAGCAGCACCACGTGCAGCGCGAACGTGCCGCCGGCGAAGACGCTCGCGCAGACGAGCATGACGCGCGCCGCGCGGTTCTCCGTCAGATGCAGCAGGTCGGCGAAGAAGGCGAGGAGCGAGAACTTGGCGGCCCAGAGGGAGACGTAGATGAAGAAGAGCGAGATCCAGGAGACGTACAGGAGGTGGGCGGACATCTCCCTAGGAACGCCGTAGTAGAGCTCGGCCGGCGGACGATGGATATAATTCTGGCGGAGGGTGTTCTTCCAGGCGTTGATGCTGATCAGCACTATGCCGGAGATCCAGGAGAGCAGCACGAGGCCGTCGGACAGGTTGAGCGCCGCCGTTCGCGGCTGCGATTCCCGGGATCGCAACCAGAAGCGGAGAATTATCGGGACCAGGGCGATGGTCATGCCCGTCCAGTCGATCGCTATGAATGCAGCTAGACGCAGTCAGCTCACGTACTATTAGTGAGCGGAGAGTAGGAGACGCACGTAACGGAATGTCTATATCGTTATAAGTCATGATGCTGGCAACCTGTCCAGGCAGATGCGAAGCGAGTAAATTGGGTTGGAGAAGCTGGAGTCTCGATGGGGTATAAGAGATCTATCTATGTAGCCATAATGCTACAGCACTGCAGTATAGCATCATCGAAGGGGAGAGTCAGCATCGATGTGAGAGGGAGCATATCTGCTTGATATAAGAGGTAAGTTAAGGCATGTAAGCAAATAGTCGCACCGCATATGGCAAAGAAACCCAGATCCCCGGGATATAATCGTGTCAGGTAAGTAACCTATTGCTCCTGGTTCATGACGGGGAATGAAGCGGCGAAGCATACATTAGGTATACAAGTCTATGAAATTCATCTCTTGCGATGGACTATACTGTCCGTTCAATTGGTTTTATTAATAGCTTCTCTGATTATTTCAACTTAGCCTTCTTTAACATCCGTGAATGCCGCTTTGCTCGTGAATATGATTGGAGACAAGCTCACGGAACCCTTGGAATCTACAACTTCAAGTCCACCCCATGTCTACGGATTCCACCATAGAAGCTGTGAAATTCTATCTGCAGAAGCATGGAAATGGATTACCTACCTCGACACTGTCATGTTTCGGCAACACGATTGGTTAATTAACTGCGGCGACGCCGTCGGATTGGATAGCATGGTGATATCCTTTGGGTCGGATACGTCTTCGCAGCATGCGACTAACCTCAAATAGGTGGTGCACTTTGCACGTCTTACCGAAGTTGAGAAGAAGTCGAAGCCAGGTAGGGGTTAGCAGATCTTTGGCTGACCGCTTTTGGGGCTTCCAATTGGCCATAAGCATCGTACGTAATCTGTTTTTAAAAAGGTCCTTACATGGCAGCATGGTTGTTGAATCCTTCTTCAGGTAGGGCTGGAAATGCCATACACCATAAGTCATTCACGACGATGTATGGAGATTTTTTTAATTCGCTTTTAAGCTTTATTTAGAAAAGCTTGTCCGCATTGGATAGATTCACATCTTCAACTACCTTAGGTACCTAGGCTAGGTAGGTATTCAACTAGCCAGTCCCCGATTGAAGCTTATATCACATAGAACCCTAAGGCTGAACGTGAAGCTAAGACGAAAAGATTCTTGACATGATCAACCCCGGTATGGGGCGCGGGTTGGCTGCCTCTTGGCTGACCGCTACAATCCATGGGTACCGATTCCCAAAAATAAGTTCTAGACCTCGTGTTCCTTGACATTGCCTGTTCCGGAAAGTATATTCCAAAGTCTTCATAGAATGACTACCTAATTAGGTTAAAATTAATAGGTACCATCGTTATTCTAAAGATCTTGTTGATCAGCTATGTCATACGAGATAGCCATGTATCTCTCCTCGTGCATATCTAAGAGGGGTTGAACGCAGTTGAATCCATCTCTCAAGCGTCACCTCGCGTGAATTGTATAGCCTACCTACCTAGGTAAGAGGTAGATACCTAGATTATGTAGTGCGGCTATACCTAGCCTGGCGACATTTCTATGACAGGAATATGCTGTACCATGTGGGAAGTATCTAGAGTAGGTCGATCTATAGTAAGATACCCTGCACTGTCCTATATGGTGTTGATTTACGAGGCAGATGTGACAGTTCATATTGCGTGGCCTCCTATATGACTCGAACCATGATATCCTATTTGGATAGCGATAAATGGGAAGGCCGAGTCCTTACTCGGGCTTTCATGAGCTATAGCCATGAATAAGTGTATGCCAAGATCAATACCGATGAGTCGAATACATACTAGGTACCTAGATAGCTCAATTGAAATACGTTCGCTTCCCATTAAAAAAAAGTAAAAAAAAGATAAAAAAAGATAAAAGAATTAGTTACACGAAATCGTGTAACAATTCTAAGGCTGTGGGTTTGAAGCCCACAGCCAGTAAATTGATTTTTTTTTGCAAAATATCCTCTCATATGGAATCATTCCATATGCGGAACCATTATAGGTGGAAGGTTTTAGGGGGGGTTATGGAATGATTCTACAAACCCACTATTTGCCGGTATGGTAGGTACTTAGGTACCTAGAGGTATAGTTGTATAGACTCAAGGAAGAGAGGCCACGGCAGGATATAGCCTATTAATTAATATCTGGTGGCATATGGGTAAATCTTTTAGTTTCTCATATTACACCCAGTAACTTTATTCGATAAATCCCCTTTATAGAAGAGGAAATGGTTTCAAATACACAAACTCGAGTCTATGTTAGAGATATAACAAGTAGTCTCACAGCGAAACGGTCATTACAATGACTTACTACCATGATTGCATGTTTCACAGCTTCGTGGTTTATGTGACGTCGACCGTATAGAATGAATAAGCTATGTGAAGCACTTCCAGGGCCCGCCTTGATAATTAAGAGACTTAACTTTGCTTCCCTTTTGAATGATCAGGAGATGGCGGGATACTTTCGCTATTAGAAAGGGAGATATCAGTCTTACATGATTTCATGAAACAGTGGCTATATTTGTGTTGCACGGGTAGGGTATTCGTGCTTATAGCTGGAGAACGTTGAATTGCTTTACCTGGTATTGAAATATTTATTTGCTCCTATTGTACGCGCAAGTACTGTACTATATTTCAGAGCTTTCACACGCTGGACTGGTGAGAAGTATGCGATATCTTTGTTATAATATGATTTAAATAAACGCCTCACATATTATATTCCGCGTTGATGGCAAAGAGGCATAGACCTGGCAACCGATTCTAAAAAAAAGATGACCGTCCTAAAATTCTCGAGCGTAAAAATACTGGTCTGCTTAACAGATGCAATTGTGGAATCTCCACCATATAGGTGTGGTAGTATGTGTTTCCTCGATCTTGTCCTTTACCAAAACGCCACCCGAATCTAGAGATTAGGTCCCCGAACCGGCTAAATGCACTCTTGCTTTTCTTTGCTTTCATATGGGTATCAACTGAGATTGTGATCGGAATCGGATATTTCGCGGATGCCGTGTCGCGATGTCGCGTCTCCAACTTGGTTGCATTTGCACGAGGAGTCACAGCATCGGTAATATACCCAATCGCTCGGAAAGATCATAGCATTCGAATGAGGGAGATGAGGGTATTTACCACTAGATGCACGTACTGATCCAGTCCAGCAGTGCCCATGGTATAGTTCGGATTGGTGATCGACAAACTTGGCCGGGCCTGGGAGGGAGCTGAACCGGTCAACTGATTGTCGATGTTGATCTACATAGCGATCTCGTAATAACCTCCACGATGAGAGTTATTCCTGGCTTGTGCCAGGCTGGGCGTTGGCCCATCTTGCCTGGGATCGACCTCCTCGTCTGACTGCTGCCAGCCTACACGGCTAAGGCCCTGAGCCAGATCCGAGAGTTTCCAACCGTAAAAATGAGGTTCATATTTACGGTTCATGGACTCTTGTTCTGGATGCTTTAGGAGCTTATACTCCCATCCATCCCAGCTATGATCGCGTTGGATCTGACGTGCGAACTCCGGGGAGTATGGAGGAGGGGGGTCTCGTCATAGGAATTGAACATACGACGGCTGCCCTCTGACAGTACTGCTCCGAGGAGTCCCAAGGTTCACTCTGGTGCGCTTGTCAGTGAGAGCCATCTTGGATATCGAAGCTATGTGCAGGATGTGGATGGAGTTATGAAGTTGATAGGTGGTAGCACTAACCTTAAAGTTATAGAGAGTTAAGTAAAAGGATCGGAACGCAAAGAGTAGAATAAAAGAGTTGATGCGTTTCGCCTTCGAATGTGTTGGAATTGAATAATAGTTGAGGTGGCTGTATTTTTGAAAGAGGTATGACAATAGTTGCAATAAGGGTTGAGTTACGGCAGGGTTAATATCAAAGAGACAATGCTGCAGTGGTATTATCTGTTAGTTGTTTATAGTGAGATGAAGACGGAAAGGAAGTCTAAATATAAGAGCGCCAGCATATGTGGAGATAAATACTGAGGTGTGTGTAGCAGTCGCGGTGCAAATGCCTGCCTTAAGGTTTAGGCCTCATGTAGGGCCGTTACTGGTTGTATGAGTTGTGGGAATTGGAAAGAAAAAAGAATTTAGGAACGGTGCGGGATGGCCAGATATTTATATTTCGCAGCAGGTGCAACTGGCTTTCCTGCAAGGCAGTTGCGTTGCTAAGGCAGATAGTTTTCGTTATCTTTAGAGGGAAGTACCTATCCTAGCAACAACGGCAGGCACATTGATGACATGTACTCTCCCTTACACTTGCCCCTTTGCCAGCAGTACACAACGTAAACGTCTAACACAATTTTAAACTATTTTAAAGTCTTTTCGTAACCTGCCATGTCAATATATGTGGAATAAACCTCTATGTTTTGTTGACAAGTGAGGAAAACGCTCCATTGCAAATGATAAATCTGAAGTGTCTAAATACCCAATGTACCAGGACTAAAGTGATGAATTGAAGCTATACCAACGCTTGGATGACTACGGCAGGCAATATAGAGAGGCGACTTTAACGCGACCATACCCTATTTTACGGATTTGTCGTTGTTCAAGCAAGTAGAACCGAAACTCAAACTCTTAAGTGAGTTGCGAACTTTACCACATTACCCTGAATCAACCAAAAAAAGGGGGAGAATGAGATGAATAAACCACACTTCTCCATTAACGTATCCTCACGACAATACTTCGATAGCGCTACTACAGCGGAGCGGCAAGCTGTGAACCTAAGTACAAAACACTACTTTTCCCATTCCCCATCCCCAAAGTACCTATCAGGCATATCGACATCCCACAACGGCCTCTCTACCAACGCCACCTCGAGAACCTTTCGCGGCTCTTCCCCTTCGACGGCTCCGTTCACGGGCAAGCTATCTCCCTCACCGAGGGGTACAATCCCTAGAATCGGCCTGTATTTATACGTATGCCAGAAGGCCAGACTGTTACTCGGTTGCGACCCCGACACCGATTTCCCACGAACGCCGCGTAGAAGCGCCAGCTCGCCCTGGTTATCGTCATCCGAATCCTCGCTCTCGGTTTCCTCCTCCCCGGGCTGGCTCACCTCATCTTCGTCCATGGGATCGAAGACGGGACCGTCGAGGGGAATTTCTTCAACCTCGTCCCCGACCCGGTGGACGATCTTAGTAGGCCCCGCCGCTCCGATTTCCGTTTTGCTACCGGCGCCGGTGTCGGGTCCCCTCTTCCGCTTCGTCCCTTGCCTCACGAGTTCCCCGTTAGACGATTCGCCCGATTGAATCGGTTCGGCTAGGTCACGAGATAGATCAAACATGAAAAGAAACGTGCTGCCGTAGAGCCATACCCTCTCGCCCGACCAGAGAGCGCCCTTCACGAGATCGCGAATATTTCGAAACTCGGTCGGAAAGCGCGCGATCGGGTTTCGTCTAGACCATGGCGTTAGCGAGCCGAGAGAGGGGTTGATTAGAAGAATCTGCGGCCTGGCGGTGATGGTAAGAAGCACGTAATCGTCGGGGGTATCGTTTTCGTCTGATGTGGGAGCGTTCGAAGCCGGAACGTGGTCGGAGAAAGATAAAACGGTAGGTGCAGCTTGTAGCTTGGGAATAAGAGATCCCTTGGGATTACGAGCCCATCGACGGCCTGCCGCGTCTATCGCGTCCTCTTCCTCACCTTCGCTATCGGAGGAGACTTCTTCGTCGCGAGTCCCGTTGACGCCGTTCTGGAGTTTCGGTTGCGCCGCATCTAGCACCCAGGTGTCTATATAACCGGCGAGATCCGCAACGGCCAGCATCTTGCTATCCGGGGAGAACGCGACGTGAGTAACCATTCTGTCGTATTGCCCTAAGCCGCCTAGGGACGCGTGCTTCTGTATCTTTCGCTCGATGCGTTGTAAGCGGATCGCTTTAGGGTGGAGCGACGGCTTGCTGTCTATCGCGGCGTCGTGTAAGATCGGCGAGACGAAAACCTTGTTACCGCCTTGGATAGAGCATAGCCACCGACCGTCCGGGGATATCTGTACTCGAGTTGCGCCTTGCTTAGAGAATTCTTCCTGCAGCTCGATCTTGATAATCTTGAGCTCGTCCTTCTTGGATTCGCTTCGGGGCTTCAGGTGGAATGCTTTGATATCGGACGTAGTGGAGACCACCAGCAGGGAACCGTCGGAACTAATTGCCGCGGAGGTAATATTTGCTTCACCCTTAATTAAGATGCGCGCTAGCAGCTTGCGATTCTTGTCGACGGCGGACTCCCCCTCCGGCGCGTCCACCAGATCTCGCAATGGTCTTCTTAGCCGCCATACGTGGACCTCTCTCTCCCACCAGCTGACTATTAACCGGCTCTTCGGCGCGCTCTGAAGCGGCGGACTTTGGGGTAGATGCGACAGCGTCCGGTGGTTCTCCATGCCGGCTTCTCGCAGGGGTAACACGATCGGGCTAGCATCCGGTCCTGAGAGGAATTAGTAAAATCGGTAGACTCAAATAGGAAAGCGTGTACAAACCTCCCGAAACTACGACGCTCATTCCGTTGCCTTCGAACGAAGCCATCGTTTTGACGTCGTGGCTGTGGTATCTCCTGTGCCAGACCCTGGTCCACCTCGCCGTCGCGCCCGAGGTCTTCCTATAGAGGACAGTTCGGCGATCCATACCGCCGCTGACGACCGTCGAACCGTCGGCGCTGATGGCCAGGGATAGGACGTCCTGGTTGTGGGTCTGCAGCCTCTGCGCCTGGGTGTACGTCTTTCCGTCCCATATGCAGACCTGGCCGGTGGAGTCGCCCGAGACGATGTCGCGCCCGTTGAGACATTTGACGGACCAGACGATGACCTCCTTGGCGCCACCGGAAAGGTCCGACCCCAGCGTCATCTTCCTCAGCACGTTACCGTTGCGCATGTCGTAGACTCGGATGGCGCTGTCGGAGCATCCCACCACCACGACGTTGCGGTTCTGAAAGGCGATGCTAACCATCTTGGTCTTCTTCGAGGACGACCTCACCAGTATCCTATCAAATCGAAGGTCGTCTTCGTCGATCGAGTAGAGGACTAGGCTGCCGTCCATGGTGCCGGCTACGAGCTTCTTCCCGCCCTGGACGACGACGCCGCCGGCGGACTTCTCGCCGTGCTTGGCAGGCGCTAGAAACGGTTGGGCGGCTAGGCACCATATATCTCCGTGCATGCCGCTCGCCTGCTTTCTCGGCTGTCCCTTCTCTAAATCCCACTCGGTGACGGTGCTCGTGTAGCCGATGCTGAACAGCCTCGACTTTCCGACGAGCTTGGTGCCATCCTGGAGGACGTGGTCGGGCTCGGTGACCCAGACGAGGCCGTCGATGCTCCTATCCTTTCCTCCGTGCAAGGTAGTCTCGTGATGCCACAGGCCGTTCAAGGGATTCCATATCTCGATATCGCCGTTCGCTCGACCGATCGCTAAGCGGACCGGGGCGCCTCTCTGGGATTTGGTGACCGTCGGGTAAGAGAACGCGACGGCGTTGATGGCGGAAGGGGGATAGGGCACGAAGCGGCAGCGGTGAATATCCATTGTCGCGATGCGTCGGTGCGTCGGTGCGAATTGACCGGTTATTTGGTCCAAACCACCAAGCGCGATGTGTGAAAGAGAAGGCCTTTAATGCGGTTAAGAGTTTAAGCCATTGAGATTTCTCAGCATTAACTTTTTTTTTTCTTATCGTTCTTATCGGTAGTAGCTAAATTATTTTAGCTCGTACCTAGTAGTGTGTACATGTACCTACCGGTACTTCGATCTGCCCCGCCAAAGGTACCTAAGTACCTAAGTATCTAGGTACCTACGGATCCGTAAAGGTAGGAGGTACGTACTATTCGAGCTCCCCCCTTTTTTCTCTTCTTTCATTCTTCTACGCTACGATCAAAAAACAATTTACTTCAATTCTTACCATTACCAAGGCAAATAGGAAATACACCACTGATAAATCTTAGTGCTATACAAAATTCGATACTTTATTTACGAGCCGGCTACCTACGTAGGAAGTATCTAAGTATATCGCCGGGATCTGCGAAACTCAAGACTAAAAGTAACCAAAAAAGTGCAAGAAACGTCTCGACCGGGAGAGATATTCTAACTGGTTCTGGCATTGAATATTATATCTTGCATGATTTCTTGTATGGTCCCATCGCTCTCCGGTAGGGCAAAATTACCTTCCCTTTGTTGATAATATTGATGGCTCCGCGTCCTGACGGCGTGGGTAGCTTGACGCTCGAGCGCTGCTAGAGGAGGTCGGACTGTCGCGTCGACCGCCGTGCAAGCCATCACCAATCCTAATAAGTCTTGGTCTACGTGGTCATAATCGACATCCGTGTTGTCGTCGCTTGGGCACATGAATCCCGGAGCGACCCTTATCGGTGGCAGGTCTGGTCGTAACTGGTAATCCCCTACCCCGTCACCCTCTCCCGACATTAAATCCATCGCTTCGGTACGGTCTAGCGTTATAAGTTCTACCATGAGCTATTATACGGTTAGATCATATCCTAGCTGATAGGCAGGTAGTAAGCGGGGGGGAAGGGAATGAAAGGAAAGGCAAGAACAGACGCGGGTAACTTACGACTCCCACCGAAAATACATTCTCCTTTTCTCCTCTATACACATTTTCACTAATCACCGGTTAGTAACTCCTTAACCTCGCCGGATATCTTGATTGACTTACGGGGTTTCTGGGAACTCCAACGCCTCTCCAAAGTCGATTAACTTCAGGACCGGGGTCAAATGATGTTCGACGTCGTTGCCAGACGAGAAAGCGCCAAACATAACTGAATAGATATACACGTCAGCAGCGAGAATATAGATAATGGGACTTCATAGGGTGATGCCTACCGTTCTGATCGTGCATGTCACCGTGCCTGACCCTCCTAGCACGGCGATTCAGCGGGACCGTTTCCGTCAGGTTGTATCCTTGCCCTCCAGGCGGATATGCCATGGCGATACACGACCGTATTACTACAACGATCCTCGTTAGTCCGTGCTTCTAATGCCAGATCACGTCGACGATTAAACTTACGGCAGAGGAAGAATCTCCATAAGATCCTGTTTGGGAGCGGCTCATCGTATCTTTCCGAGTAATTTGTTACGAAATCGCACAAGGTTCCGCTGGTGCGCGCGATGTCAAGTTAGCTACGCCTCTTCGATGGCAATCTTCGGGGGAATACCGTGGGACAACTTACTTTTCTAGATACTCGATGAAAAGCCACCCGGTGAGGCCGTGGGGATCGAGTTCTTCGATGTCCGCGTCGAGAGGGTCGTCCTCGGGCTCTACAAGGTTGACAATATGTTTCGCCTTCCGCATTATCTGCTATCGTGTTAGCTGCTACCCGGCGGCCGTCGACGTGGCTTTCTTGGAGTTGTATGTATCATTATAACGTACCTTGAGAGCATGTCTCTCGTTGACAAGGTGGCTAGTGCCCGCCTGCAGGGGCCCATTCATATCAACTGTTGTGGCTCGTCCATCCCATGATCCCCCAAAACCCTCCATCACTCCGGTCCTATCGATCTTCAGGATCAAACGCTTCGTCACAGGCGGGTCTACGTATTTGACCCTCCACGCTATCCCGTTAGCTCCGGCCCCGATCGCCTTTTCGAGGTGGAATCGCTCCTCGGCGTCGTACGAAAAATAGTCCCTCAGGATATTCGCCGCCGCGGTAACGTCACTGGGATCGACACTACATAAAAGTTAGCAGGCTATGCCACGCCATAGAATCTCTCGCGCGGCACGTAAAAGCAAAGGTTTGGTAAATCTGTTGGTGGGATAATACGTACTCATCGTCAGAGAAGTCCTTGTCTTCCGAACTGGCCGACATATTCGCTGTATTTTCGTTTTCCAGATATCTATCGACTAACGGTGAACCTGGTTTGGTGCGCTCGCTGGGATGGTAAGGTATGGGACTATTGGTTCCTCCTTATATACCTGACTTGCAAATAGGACTTTTGACAATGGCGATTGTGCTCAAGGTGCTCTCATAACCACGTTTTCGCAGACAAAGGGTCTATTGTATCTACGAGTTGCCAGGGATTGACTGCTTTAATAGTTCAGCCCCATCATACACTATTCCATTACTAAGAACCATTAATTTAAATATTCAAGGGAATGCGTAGGCCTTCATGGTGGCTTTAAAAAGAATTGAACTAGTAGTCTTTGCTAAGGTACTTCTCCTAACAATAGATTGTTCGAAGGCTTACAACATTTTCCTTGTCCCAACATAACGCATTATATCGCATCCTGATTACCTTAGGACCTTCTACGGCCGTGGAACTTCAAATAACTACCTCATGAAAGGCTTCGTAAGTTTTTTTGCGCAAGTTCAGAAATTATTCGGAGTAAAGGGGAAATTAGAAACGGAGAGAGAGTATAGTACAATGTTGCTTAGGAGTAGTTCTAGGAAGGATATAGGGACAGCTATGACTATCAAAAGCTGTTGTAAATATAATATAGCGACGATATTGTGGTTGAAAAGTGATTCGAAGTTGTGCTAAAATCAAATGATTGAATATAGATGACCAGAGGACCAACATATCATGTAGAAACCACACGACATTTGTGATGCTCTTACAAGAGTGCAATTCTCATACACGCGTCTTCGTGGGACCCTCATAGAAGCAAGGCATTTCTGAAAACTCGTCGTAGGCACATATGGTGCTTCTAGGTAATCCGAAATAGTCCTACGCTGCTCATTTTGCTCTGTTCGAATGGTCTTACGCAGAAGGAGCAATTCATTCATTCCCCCTTACCCCTTATACGCCATCTTAGTCCTACAATAAGTCAGCCATTACCTGCTCGCCCTTCTAGCAAAAAAAAAAAAAAAAAAAAAAAAAAAAACGGAGGCGAAGAAGAACGGCTTACCAGTCGTCATCCGTTACCGGGTTGAAACTCCCAATCATCTGACGGCCCGGGTTGTGCTTGATGAAAGATACTTTCTGCGGCAGCACTCCCTTGCCCTTCTTCCCGGAGCTTTTCTCCTGTCCGGTGACTTCGCGAATGGTGCCGAACATGTACGGTTCTTGAGAATGTTCCGTGACGTATTCGCGAACCCTAGTATTTTAAGACAAAATAGGTTAGTGAGCCGTAATATCGTCAAGAGAAGTTCGGTAGATTAAGGACCGCATAATGGGAATGGGTATAGCATTACCTCTGAGCAGTGAATCTTTCGCTGTACGGAATTTCGTGAGTGGCGTATCCGCTGGGCGTGGCCAGGAGCGGTTCCCCGCCGTCGTCGTACCGCTTCATAGATCGTCTCAGCTGATACGGGCGGGGGCCTCTCCGAAGGTCGTGCTCGGATAAGACGAGTCGAGCCAGACCGGTTATTTGCCCACGGCCCTCGTCGAGGTCGAAGAAATGCCGCTTGACTCGCGACCGGTCCAGGGCGTCCCAATATACCTCGAAGTTGTGGTTGCGATATTTGTACAGTCGGTTCTCGTAAGCTTGTTTTTTTTTGAAGTATTTAGTATTGGTAGGTTAAGGTACCTAACGCTTAAAATATCCTGGGGAGATCATACGCACATGGACTGCGACGCGTGAGGTCGATGGTATTAGTCTGCGTGGCGATGGCAGTGACTCCTCGTGGGTTCGTATATACTTGCGTTCCGTCGAAGGCGACACAGGCGCAATCGACATCGAATCCGGTTAGGATCTCGCTGATAGACCTGTAAAGCCTAAGTATGACCTAATTTATCGAGATTTAACAATCTTTCCGGTAGAGCATCAGGGGGGTGAATAGGGGTATTCCCTACCTGGACATGACGAAATGGGTACCTCGGTGAAATGAACGTAATAGCATTCTTTGAGCGCAATGCCAAACCCTGACCGGAAAATAGACGCTGGTTTCTGCGAACGACAGCTTCTATCTCGAGGATTCGTCTGATTGCCTCGTCTTCGCTATCCAATCCGTATAGAAATATATCGATATCGCTAAAGCCCGCGACGGTTCTAGAAATCAATCAGTATTGTTCTATACTTGATATTTGAGTTGACGAGGAGATATACTGATAGTATGTTTCGAGAGCATTCTCCATCGTGAGGTCATACTCGATCTTCACATCCTTGCGATAGGAAAGCATGGGGAGAAGCGCTGACGACCCGGCTATCACAATATTGGACCAATCTATCTCAAGGCCAATTACCTATCTTAGTCGAAGCTGCTTATGAACAATCAGGTATAGTTTTACCTAGACGTGCCAAGACACCTGTCATTATTGTCGTGGGTTAGTAGGACTTCAAAAAGGGAGTAAACAGCAAATCGACTACGCACCATGTGTAAATCCATCGAGATTGACGCGATACTCAGCCAACGATTGAGTAATCGCCAAGCTCCCATCCTTTTCCCGTTGCTCATCCTTCAATGGCAAGATATACTTGTCTTTGTCGGCTCCTTGGCGATCTATCGTCCGGATCTTGAACTTGTGCTCTTGGCCGTCGTAAATCGGTACAAGGTTCGCTAGATCGTCGACTTGGGAGTCTGGCTCCGCGAACAATTCCCGCAGCCGGGTTTCGTATTCCAAATACGGCTTCACGAGTTCGCGCGTAGGAGTTTTAGGGTGCTTATCAAGATGCGAGATGAAGTGGGAAGACGGTGTCGAAGGTGCGGCATTGCGCCCGGATGGTCTCAGTGGAAGGGCCATCGAGTTACACGGGCTTGCCGGCGTATCTTGAGAACCAGTAGATTATTGAGGTCGTAATATACGGGTGAATACTGAAAAGCAGCAAAAATGTAGCAGCAAATGTGTGTGTGTGTGTGTGTGTCTTAAAGTCACTATAGTTTCAATTACGACTTCAAAGCAACGCCCCCTTGAATGACCTTATATATAGAGCAGGACGCTATATGTCTAATATAATCTAACATGTGAGTATTTTTACTTCTCATTAATCTGTTTCGTTACACCTATAACAGGAAGGTTACTTTGAGTAAACACTAAAACCTCTTGGTGTGTAGGTCATTGGATGAGCGGAATTCTGACTAGTTGCGACGATTGGTGAAGAAACAAATATTGGTGAATCGACAAGCTAAAACAGGAACCGCTAGTGGGAAGATTGCCTGTCGACTTTTCTCTATTGGATTAGTAGGAAGCAGGCTCTGTTGTAAACGGGAGATTTTATTGGTCGCCTTGCACTTTCGGGTATACTGACATATCACCCCGGAACTCCTCAGGGAGTCTATACGAGCTTGTTCATATAAGCCGGGCGAATTGATAGTAAATTATATAGTGTTATTCTGCTCGATAAACTCGCGGTTTTCTCGGCTTGTGGTAAGTATTCGGGAAAATTCAGTGAGCGAGCCATGGTAGACTCCCGCTCGATATTGAAAATTCCAGGACGGCCCAGGAATCACCTGTGCAGCACTTGCGAGAAGCTGAACCTAGGATGGAGGTTCGCCAGCGAAACAAGTGAACAGTCCATCGGTAACCTTTCCCAGTACAGCGATCCCGGATGCCCTTTCTGCGTCATCATTTCCAAGGCCATTAAGAGCACATGGGGAACCGACTCAGCTCCCAATAAGATTTCGGGTCGGCTTTTTATTCAGAGTCGAAGTGCATTATCCGTCAAGGAAAACGGTCATATCCATCATCCACAGCCTAGGCTACTTCTCGCGATTGATAAGAAACCCGATGGTTTCAATATCAACAGAGTTCCGCTCAGGCAGATCGACAGGATAAAAAATCGATATATAATCGCCGAAATAGAACGGTTCCCAAGCGAATCGGAGCCGAACTATCTACCTCGACTGGAAGTCGGGACTAAGCTTAACATTCCGCTCCTACAAAGTTGGCTCGAGGAATGCCGAAAACATGAGCATTCGAAAATGGCTACGCGACGAGGGGGTCGTGGCCTATTCCAGCCTGAGCATCCCTTTCGCCTTATCGACGTGAATCAGGAGTGCCTAGTGCGGAAAGACACGGTATGCGACTACGTGGCGCTGTCTTACGTCTGGGGTCGACGTACTACTCTCCTATTCCCCGGCGAGGACGAGAAAGAAATACCTATTCTCCTAAGCCTGCGAGAGAATGTCAACGAGCTGAGCATTCCAAAGGGACTATCCAGTTCGAGGCCGGAGACACGGAAGATGGGAAGGATACCCTTGACAATTCGCGACGCTATAGAATTCACTCGACAGATAGGGATGCAATATTTATGGGTGGATACGTTGTGCATCGTACAAGACGACCCCGAAGATAAAGCTCAACTGATAGGGCGGATGGACGACGTTTATGATTGTGCTGCTGTAACCATTATTGCCGCAGCAGGTGGCGATGCGGATGCCGGGTTAAGGGGAGTTAGTCCACGCGCGGGTCATCCCCTCAACCCGACGAAGATCGCCGACAAATCAGACGAGAGCGTTCTCGAGATATCGCCTTGCTTGCGATCGCTATGCGAAGAAGTGCGAGGCGCGACTTGGAATACGCGAGGTTGGGTATTCCAGGAGCAGTCGCTGTCGCAGCGCTGTCTTTACTTCACAGCCGAGGAGGTCTTTTTCAATTGCAGCGAGGCGCAGCGGAGAGAAGGATACGACTACGCACCGAAAAAGCACGCGCATGTTGACGTCGGAATTAGGACTGGACCGCCGTGGTGGACGAGGAGTCTCAGGAAGGATCTTGACCCTACGCCGTATCATTATCTAGGGGATGTGGGTGGCAAATTAGACATACAGGCTTACCAGACGGCGGTTCAGGAGTACAGCCGAAAGAGCCTGACATTCCCGAGCGACATACTGAACGCGTTTGAAGGTGTTTTCAATAGGTTCAACGGCGGTAGGGACTCTTCGGGGCTAACTATTCGTCAAACGCAAGGGATACCTCCTCATCTGCTATACCAAGCGCTCCTCTGGTTTCCCTATGGCCAATCCGTGAAGCGCTTATGCCAATCCGAACAGGCGGGTGATCAGTTCTCAACGTGGTCATGGTACGTTATGCTCCGCTCCGACTTGTAAGCTAGGCGGTTCAGGTTCTTTACTACCTCTATGTAAGTCGTGAAGCTAATATGAATGGCCACAGGGTATACTGGACCGGTCCTATGGAATTCGCCTTCGCCGATAGTCTTTGGTTATCCAGAAACATTTCCCAAGCCCCCATTAAGCGAGTACCACTCTACACGCCAATTATATGCTGGTACTACGGGGGTTCCAAAAAGCAATTCTGGACCAGAGATATCTGGAAGACTACCTGTGAGATTCAGGACTATAGAACTAAAAAGACCACCGAAGAATTCAGACGCACTAAGTCCTTCATTGATGGCATTGGCATAAGCACCGAGATACTGCTCGATTGGTCACGAAATAAACAACCTCCCGACCTGAACTGCGGTGAGCTTGGATTTGTTGGGTCTTACTTAGACGCGGGGCAGTTCGAAATAAAAGCTAGAAAAGAGGAGCACGTCAAGATCTTGAAGGTGTCCTGTCACGAAGGCCAATTTAGGTTTGATAGCGACGTAAAGACAGTTGACGAACTTGTTGTCATCGTTACTGCCAACACTATTACCAAGCCACCCGATACGCAGTCGATTCTATTAGGCCTCACCACACGGGACGGTGTATCGAGGAGAGTTGGTATAGGATACATATACTACTCCCGGGACGAAGATATTGTCAGACCGGAGTGGAAATATAGGTTCTTTAGGATTCAGTGAGCGGTGCCATGCCGCTGTCTATAGCGTACTAACAGTAGCAATTGACAATAAGAACTAATACCCGTGCCAAGTGAAGCTGTAAGTCTTATGTTATTCATTTGTCCTATAGGAAAAGATATAATCATATGACTCTTGAATATTTGACCGTATCCTACGAGCGTAACATAGCGAATCAGGCGTTAGAATCGGTTTCCAATAGTCTATATTACTAAGGAAATCAGCATAGTATACACATGAGTTCAAGAAAGAATAGGCATAGTTGTTTACTTGGTATAGAATTGCATAATAAGCCCACGCGAGAATCCTCGAAAATTAATTCCAATGCGGGCGCTAACCTTCGGCAAGGCTTACTTACAGTGACTATATCCTTGTTGTGTCTTACGACGTCTGCATATTTACCGGTATATGACTCAAGTATTCGAGCTGACCGAGTGAGTAACTAGAGGTAGTTGGATAGTATTGCCTGCACATCTATCATTTTGGCATTAGCGGGATATCGACTTTGTATATATTGGCAATAGTTGCTGTACTCGAGATTGAATTGACTTACATCAAACTCGTAAACCTTAGTTTCACGCGAGCCTAGGTAGGCAGTGTTGTATTGCCAACGTGTCATAACACTTCACAATTCATCATTGCTATTGTACCTATCGCCCATCATGGACGTCTTCCACTCCGAAGCCTTTTCTTCCAAAATCAAGAAGCTGATGGAAGAAAACCACGTACCTGGGTTCTCCATCGCCATTGTTCACGGCGACAAAGTCGCTTCTGCCGGTTACGGATACGCCGATGTGGAATTGTCGAAGCCGTGTACGGCGGATACGCTTTTCGACATCGCATCCTCTTCGAAGTCACTAACTGCGGCGGCCGTCGCGCTGCTCACGGATGACGACGAGAAGTATCCCGAGGTGCGGTACGAGGCTATCGTGTCGCACCTGCTACCAGATGACTTCGTAATGCCCAAGCCCAAGTACACGGAGAGCGTTACTGTTGAGGATATCTTGAGCCACAGGTCTGGCATGCCTCGGTAAGATCTCCGCGTAGTGCAATTACCTACCTAGGTAGATAGGCATGCAACTTTGATTCGCAGTAGAAAATGTTAACGCGCAAATAGTCATGATCTTTCTTATTTCGGTCAGCAGGCATCCCGCCCTGATAATTTACGATCCGTCACCAGAAACTTGCGAAATTTGGCAGTGGCCGCCCCTTTGCGGGTGAAGTACATGTACTGTAACATGATGTATACGGTAGCGGCGCATCTGATAGAGGTGAAGGCTCAGCAGAGCTTCTCTAGTTTCTTAGAAGAGCGCTTCTTCCAGCCCTTGGGTATGGAGTCAACTAGCGTCCAGCCGTCGAGAGCTCGGGCAAAGGGATTCGGAGAGCGCATGGCTAAGGGGCACTACTGGGACAAGGAGAAGTCGACCAATTGTGGATTCGAGGCTCCGGAGTGTCCAGAAGGTGAAGGGGCAGGTTCGATTAGCACCAGCGCAAATGACTTCATCAAATGGGCCAAAGCATTGCTCCGCAACGAGGGACCTATAAGCAAAGAGGTGTATGAAGGTCTAGTGCGGTTGCGTACCATAACGAATCCCGATGCCAAAGGACTAGAACCGTTTGAATCCCCAGTATTCTATACTGCTGGGCTGGAGGTATACTATTATCGAGGACACACGGTAGTGGGACATGACGGGATGATAACCGGATTTCAAAGCCTTTTCTTCTTCCTACCCGAGCTGGACTTGGGAGTGGTAATGTTTTCGAACTCGGCAGACGCGGATCCTATACATAGCTTCGTACGTCGGGAATTGATTGACGCAGTACTGAGGGAAAGGGGTGAATTTCCTGCTGAGAGTTTGTCCCTGAATGAGAAGGAGAAGGACAAGAAAAGCGAAGAGCCCGAGAAAAAGAAAGACGAAGAGCCACAGCCCCAGGTAACGCCGTTGAATGCGTACGTAGGAACGTACTGGAACCCAGGTTATCACTCTTTTACGGTCCAACTTAAAGACGAGAAGCTTTTCATCGACGCCGGCGACCGCTCTTTTGGTAGCACGCTTACATTTGAACATAAATCGGACCAGACGAAGTATATCGCCCACCTGAGGGATAATTATGAAGGTGAAGACGAAGAGCTCAGGGCCGAATTCGTTTTCGAAGGCGACCGAGCTATGAAATTGGGGATACTCATTGAACCAGAATTAAAGGATGAGTTGATATGGTTTAGTAGATCTGAGGGAGATGCCTAACGGATTTTATTAATCTACATTTCACCGAGTATTCATCCTGTGTGGTTACTTTGAAGTGTTCAACTTGACGTTACAGGATTTCTGGTATTTTAAGGCAGCATTCTAAGGCGGTAAGGTATAGCTCTTTGTGCCTTACGCATCTGCCTGAATTTTTTTTTCTGCCTGTTCCATTAAATAAATTCTTGGATATTTTCAATTTTCAAACAATCAACTGCCTGCCCAACCAACACACAACACTTCTTCCAGAGAATTACACATACACAGTACATTGAACCAATCGCATTTCATTCTTTTTCATTACGTTTTCCTTTCGTATTTCCTATTACTGATCAGTACGATATCGTATTGATTAACATAACCTTGTCAATCCAACACCCTCCTCCTCTATTTAATTGGAAGTCAATCAAAATGCGACAAAATAAAACGCGTTACCCATATTCTAAACGACTACCGCAATACACTGTCTTCGAGGAATGCATATTGACTGCGGGTGACGGCCTGCGTCCTCCGTGTACTCACATCTTGAAAACATTATTATTGATCGATTAACTTGGACGGAATCGAGCACTGATGCCTTGGAGTTTATCCTGACTATCGTCTATACACCTGATCCAAATGATGGAGCAGAATGTGAACGACAACTTTCGCATATCATCGATCCGCCATATTGAGATGATCAGCCCTTGCGAACTATTGGAAACGTATCGTCGTAGTTTGGGAAGCGACCACAATATTTGTCGCGAGCGCTCTTCACGCAAATATGACGACTTCAACTCTCTTCCGTAAACTACTCACCAATCATCAGTCCGTACGCTCAACCGACATATTTCTCAAAAAGGACTTTCATGGAACTCAAACGGATACGTACCGTATCTTACAAATAAAGAACAGCCAGGTCCAGGTCCGAAACTGGCTACATAAATCGACCTCACCCCATTATATACCTCCAAGGTGGCCTACATATATCAACCCCCCAAGCGATATGCTTATTCTTTATTATTTTCAGAATTATGGGTACATGAAACTGAACTGCACGACATGCTGCCGCCCGATGATGCGTCGATTCAGAAGCATTCCAAAGTTCGGTTCGAAAGGCAACTGAATTTTGAACTGCAACGGAATCCGAGAATCAATACAGATATTCAAAACAACAAACACCTCTACCTCGTCAGGAAATACAAGCAACAAATCCCTTCAGACGGCGATCTAAATATAACTCTGAGAACGCATCTAAGCTGGCTATTGGATCTTTTCACTACACCAACTTCATAGGAAACCCTTCCTACACTCTCCGAACTGCGCAGGCCGCTCACTCAAACCCCGTTCTCAACGCCGTACAGCAACAAAAAGCTTCCCAAAGCTGATGAAAAAGAAAAAGGTCCAAAAGCGTGCCAAGGCATTGGCAGCAGACGCTGCGGGGCAGAGCTCGCGTTGTTGGTAAAAGCCGGAAACGAAAATATCAACACAAAACTCGAAGCACTGACTGCTCGTATTTCGGAAACGCAAGCGCGGCGGAAAAAAGAAAAAAAAAAAAAAAAGCTTCAAATGATTGTGAGACGTATGGATTGAATAACGAGGACGTTGTCTTTTTTACGGAGGGGGGTATTGTAAGGAAGCAAAGGAGATAAGGCAAAAGAGTTATTATTCTAAAAACTTATCATAACATATTTGTGTTCGAAACAATTCTTAGCTAGAAAGTCTTAACCTAAAACAATACAGCAACGAGATAAACCAAGCACAAGAGAGTCCCAACACGCAGGTTAGGCTAGTCGGGCGTCTTGACTTACGTCGATAGTCTCTTGTGAGTGGTAATACCACTCATGGTCAGATAGACTGTAATAGCAACTGTGCTATTAAGAAATACACTTTTGGCTCAGCGGTGTATCTGTCATCTCTTGTGCTGTGCTCAAGACCCCCTTACCTATCTACATCGATTAGATATCGAGACGGCGATTACTACCAAAGGGCAGTATCAATCAATCGCCGTCTCCAAGTGACTGGTTTCTATTGATTGACACTCAGGGTACTGACGACAAATCTGCCCGAAAGGCATCCCATTAAACTTTAGTTAATAATAACATCTTATTTAGTACCAACCAACAGCTTCGTCTTATAACTCTTTGCTGCGTAGCATCCTATGTGTAAAAATATGTGCAATACCAAAGTAATAGCTACCTCTCTATTTTTAACCGTTTTACACTACTTCTAATAAGTGTCGACTAATTACCAGGTATTGTACATACTAATTAATTACCTTACGCTTAGAATGTCATCAATCACTATACCTAGTAACCTTTAACTACAACCTAAATCTTGTGACGTGGCCGATTTAGCCTAAGCACACATACACAAAGAAAACGAAACAAAGCTCGCCAAGTCCCAATCTTAATAGATCTAACCGGACTAAAGTCTTTGTACGCTTACGACCTTACGTAGGAGGTGCGCAAAGTTACGCGCCTCCCGTGCTACTTAACTCCTCGGCACAGGCTTGGCGATGGAACCACGAAATCTACTGGTGTCAAAGACACACCAAAAGTGTATTTCCTAATAGCACAATTGCTATTACAGTCTATCTGACCTGAGTGGTATTACCACCCACAGAAATCTTAGCTATTACTACCTAAGGTACCTAGGTACCTAAGATATAATTCAAAAATCACCATCACGACAAAGTTAAAAAATATAGTAGACAGCATATTTAATTTTGAAAAAAGTGCACACAACGCTGGACTCTCTTCTGAACTAACATATTGCTGGTGATCATGATGGTAGATGCTTGAAACATCACCACATGCAATGTTACGGTACGGCCCCGTAGACCTCTCAGGGGGCCACAGCCGTATATATAAAGCAGCAAGACGAGGGACGTCTTGCCACTTCTCTCTTTGTGTAACAACAATTATCTCCACCGGACCTTGACATGTAGGCTGCGGCCTGACTACTTGGTTGACGAAACCGTAGTCAAGGGAACCGAACCATCTTGTCACGGTACCGTCTGTGGGGCAATCCTGGTAGGTGCAGATAGCAACGTCAACCCTTCGAGTTGACATCGTTCTGCCCTTTGGTAGTGTAGCGGTTTGATAGCTATCACCCAAACTCTTATACATCCCCGCTGGGTTTTCATCTGCGCGTCCTTTTGCCAGGTCCCGCAGATCCCCTTTTCATAGGACATATGATTTCAACGCCTCCCCCGAATCCGGGCGTGGCCAATATCGTTCGTCAACCCGTTTCCATCCAGCCAATTCATGCAAGTTATATTAACCTGAACGCCGGGTCGAGGAGAATCCCGTATTCTCCTCATCCTTGTGCCCCTAGATGAAAAAAAGATCAAAGCCGAGAAGGTGTATAATGCTGCCCAACCCAATATAGATCCATTGCGCCGGTGATTTTGTTCCACAATGCTTATGGCGATGCGAGCCACAAATGAGAACGACACGTTCTGGTGTCGCTATAGTGCAGGATGCGATGTTAGGTACAGACCGCAAGCGAAAGCTAGGTGAGCTGCATTGCTGATAATAGGTACAGACCAAAGCGAAAGCTAGGTAAGCCGCATTGAGGATGATAGGTACAGATCGCAAGCGAAAGCTGCGTAAGCTGCACTAATCATGATAGGCACATCCCAAAGCGAAAGCCGGGTAAGCTGCTCTACTGCATTAGAGGTGATATTAGACATGTGAGAGCTGATAATACGCCGGCCATCATGTTCTAGGAGGCCGAAGCCGGGTGAGTTTTAACCGGCTTCGGTGCTGGATGCGAGGAGTATATATCTCGGTTCCTCTAATTATTAAGCGGCGCGTGTGCGTGCGACGTTAATTAACAGTAGCAGGATAGAGGTAGTTATCCGTATCTCGTGAAGCGCGTTCCATTATCTTCGGGACGGGTCTCTCGTGTCCTGGAAATGTTGGTTTCGCCGGCCATTCTCTCCGCGGGCGGCGACCCATTCGGCATTGCCGCTCTGACGACCGGGTTGTTCGGCAGGAAGCTTTTGATCCTCGTTAGCAGACGGGGCGGGAGGTCGATTGGCAGCGGGAGCTGATGAGCTTGGTGAGCCGGGAACCATGCGCGTAACTGCTTGCGTGATCGAAGCGACTACGTAGCCTCTGAGCTCGCGATCCTCCCTCGAGTCTTCCTTCTCCAGTCGGAATCGCTCTTCCTTGCTCAAATTGGCGCGTCGGATCTTCTTGATTTCTTGCATGATGTAAAGCATTACCTCTTCGGGACACTTGTTCCTCTCTAGGGCGTGTTCGCTCTTGCGCACGTATCTACGGGTGACATCGGTTGCACCGTCAGCGCTGAACGCGATGCAGTACGACATCCGCTTGCCCCAGCCTTCCGTGTAGAGGCGCGGGTTATCCCAGGCTTCTTCGCAAGCGTCCACGTGGATCCATCGCTGCTTATGTTCCGAATAAATCTCGGTCCAGACGTGGTCCTCGGCGTTCCATACCCAGCGCACGCGACCGCCGACGGCCCGGCACAACATGCTGAAGCAGTTGGCCCACTCGCCGCATCTGCCTCGTCTCGTCTGCAACAGCTGCCAGACGTCGCTATACCGCGGGAATCGCTCGTAGGCTCGGCACGCCTGGTTAGCGCATTCGTACAATTCGACCCGCAGCGCTCCGCAGGCCCTCTCCTCCGGTGTCGGTTGCGTCATGCCCTTTGCGACCGTGGGCGAGAAACATACGGGGCACGGCGGGTTGTTGACCCACGTGAAGAATGATCGCTTAAACCATCTGCAATTGGAAGGGGTTAGAATCAATTGTAGGGTTGCAGGTAGGCAGAATTGAGAGGGGTCAAGTTAGTTAGAAGATCGTCGAAGATCGGCTCACCTTAATAGCGCCCGAATTACGCAATCTTGGTATCCCCATTCCGGCTTGCGACCGTCGCCCATGCTTTCGGCCTGGGCCTGTAACACTTGACATTCTTCCTCGGCTTGGGCGTATATCCGATCCAGCGGGATGGTCTGGAGCGCTTCGTCAAGCAAACCCGGATTTTCGTATTTCGTCGGCGTCTGCGATAGCGATAGCATGAGGCTACGGAACTTCTGCGAGTCCCTGTCGTGCGGGGAAGGCGGAGTTGGAATCTTGGGTAAATTACGTAGGGAAGCGTATGAAGGCGGTAACGCGGGAGACATGCCGCTACGGTTTGGACCGTAGGAGGAGGATGGTCTACTATTACTACTACTAGGAGGTGCGGGTGACGCTCGGACGTTTGACGACGATACTCCTTCTCGGGGAATTGTTGAAGGTTCGAGATGTGATCTATGCCCTCGTGACTGTTCGATTTCGCTTAATCGCTTCGTCCTTAGTAGCTGCTCGAATTGAATTCGTAAATCCCGAGCCCAATCCTCTCCGTACTCATCCGGGACGCTGCCATGCTCCCTGCTAGAGCCTTTCCTCATGTTAAGTAGAAATACCAAGGTATCTCTTATCTCTTACACCACGCGAGAGTGGGATGAGCTAACGTACCCACTACTAATCGATTAGAGAAGGACGGGTTGCTAGATATATTAATCTAGAGTGCGGAAGGAGATCAGCCCTAGATTACGCGGTGCAAGACGATTAGGCTTCGTCAGCTGCAAGGTTGCCGACGATGTGAACCCGGCCACTCCCTGCAACAAGTCGAATCACCACCGGCTAGTTAGCAAGGGGTCCTGTTTCGTCGAGAAAGACAAATCAGTCGTGGATAAGTAAATTAATCCCCCATAATCATCGATCTCTGCATCCGTGTGTCGTTGCGCCTTCTGGGTCGCACCGTAGCGTATACTCGTCTCGACTATTTCTTATTTAGGTAATCCTACAAAGATATGTGTTCCCCTGATGTCGCGGAGTAAAAAGAAACGATCGGACGACTGAATCGGTCAAGGTTCGGTGCCTGGAAGTCTAGACGGACGACGAAACTCTGTCAGGGGGTGGTGGGTTGGCTTGGAGAGGCGTAATTTGGTAATAGGCAACAACAATGAGTAATGCAGAATATGAGAATAAACAATAAGGTTGGAAGACTAAAAAGTCTTATAAATGAGCTGAAGTAAACCCAAATAGCGCCGCAGCCGATGTAGCGATGTAATGGTGTTCGTGTGTGCGTGTGTGTGCGTATGCGTAGGTGTGTAGGTGTGTAGGTTGGTTATGTGTATGTAGATGGGTATGTGTTAGGGGGGGGGGGGCCTGAAGGATGAATATACCAAAGCGTAACTTTGTAAAGTTAGGAGGAAGTATTTAAAGTGGTCCAATGGTGGCGGGGGGTGTGTGGGTGTGTGTATTTTATGGGTGTTCTCTCACGGGTTTCATGGGTATTTCGTCTGATTCGTAGGAAAAAGTCGACGACGCAACGGATGAAAAACTCCTCATAAAAATAATCGTGACAATGAGATGAAAATAAATAAAAAAAGATACTATAGAAGATAAAAAAATAATAATAAAAAGCTATCAGGCTTGGAAAAACAAGTTGGGTCGCAAATATCAAATGCTAAATGTAAATGCAAATGCATGCGTTATCTCATGCGTACTATACACGTACTATACGTAACTTGGATGCGCAATTCATAGTCCGGATAGGGATGGTTTAGGACACATGTGGTAAGAAATGAGCTAGAAATAAGCTTGAAATGGGCTTGGAGCTTTAGGCTTTTACTTTTTGGATGGCAAGGTGGGATGAAAAACGGGTATGAGAAAAAAGAAGGGAAGAATAAAAAAAAAAGCGATAGGCAGGGTTTGCGTAGGCTTCGTAGGCCTTCTCCGCCTGCTGTTGTCTAGGACTCGCGTAATTGGCCGGTACTCGCACTAATTACAGTGCACCACTCTAGACTGGGCTACATCGGTACTGTACTTTCGCGGCAGAAAGCGCACTAGGACACAGAAGAGAAAGTGTGAACGCGCGTCTCTTACAAACTTCTAACCAATCATCTAATACGCATTCGGCTTTTAAGGATCATAGAAAGTGGGGTCACGACGATTACACATTAATATGGTGCTTCCATCTTTCTCTTGATTTACTCCCATCGAAACCCCTTCATTTCTTATTTTATTGTTGTTTTTGGGGGGAGTTGCTACTACGCATGCATACCTAGGTACCTAAGGTACTTTTACGGATCATTATTGTCATTCCAGCATGTACAATAGTTGTTGTTAATAGATCTTCATATATAAGTATTTGACGTATAAGTTATAAGCATGAGGTAACAATTACTTGACCAGGTACAATACGTACCTAACCTAGCCTAGGTATGTATTTCTGCATTTTTAGGTACATCGATGATCATGCATCCCTGTAACCAAAAGCTTGGACCGAACTCAATCATTGGATTAAATTAGCTTATAGTTCCGTTCCGCATCCGAACCTTTTGTACCTTTTTTTTTTTTGTGGAGGCGATGACGAGGCGTGGCTTCTTAGAATAGTGGCTGAAAATGTCTAATGAGGGTCTGTCACAGGCATTTCTCTCCTTCTTTTCCTTCCTCGCCTTCGTCCGAGCCGCCGTGCCACTTTAGGCTTTTTGAAAGGTACACTTCATTGTTCTAGTTTGTCACAAGGAAAACCCCTGTCAGTTTTTTCACAGCTGGCAAGCTCTTGGCAATAACTCTTCATTGACGGCCTCGAATAAGTATGTCAAAAACAAGCCTGTTTACCTGTTTAGGTCTCTTTACTTGCACAGCAACCCAGCCGATTATAAGTCTAAATAAACAAACTTACAGGGGTCTTCCCGTAATTTTGAATTGTTACAGTTTAAGCTAGCTCTCTCTAACTCTTCACCTTTCTATTGCCGAAGTCGCTAGTACGATTTTCGCTCTTGGTCCTGTTACCGGACGCAGCTGCAAACCGATCCCCCCAATTATCATAGCCGGGTGGAATATATGCATGTTGGTAGGTAATGATAATGTATGTTCGAGATCAGGTTGCATTTGGACGAATGGCGTGGAGAAGCCAACGTCAATGTGATAACCGGAGTCTTAGGATTATTCCCACTTCTCTTTCAGCCTCATCCTCAAGCGAGGTCCTTTCATACTCACGGCTGATACCTAGCACCTGGTACTTATCACCTAACACCTAACACGCACACAAAAACATATACTACTACTACTACTAGGTAAGAAACTACCTAACATAACCAAAACCCGACCGAGGTTGCGGTAACCCGGGAAGATCCAGCTCCACGGCACCACAGATAAACTTGTCGGTCAGCACGGCGGTAAGCTTAAGTCTGCCCTTCTATCACTCGACAATTCTCCGGCCCGATTGTACAAATGAGTTGTACGTGGTCAGCAAAATCCCACGTGTCGTACCGTATGCAGTTCAACCGCGCGGTGCGTCACCTAAAACCCTTCTCCAGGTCCAGCAGGTCCGGTCTTAACACACTGACCATCAGCTAATAAGTATTAAAGCCTCAAAGTGACTGATCAGTTTGGTTCCCGTTCGGGGTTTACGTTATGTACCTCTAGGTAAACTAGAGGGATACTAAAAGTTGGCATCCTAACTAACTAACATCACTTACATCACTTACATCACCTACAGCTCATATATGTATCCCATCAAAAGTTGCTATGGATCACGTGCAGATTTTTCCGGCTCTCGTGGCGTGTTGCTACTAGTTAAGGCAACTCATTTCTAGTGTCGAGGCTGCTTGCGCGTCCTCCTCCCTTTCAGGACACTTGCGTGTTTCTGGCCAATAGCAGCACTGCCACCGTTTTTGAGATGTCAAATCCCACCGCTTCTGTCTGGTGATTTGCTAAGCTAGCCTGCTCTTATTCTGGGTCATGCTACGTTACTTGCTTCGGCTCATTACATATCCTCTAAATTCTGAGTCTTGGCAGTCCTTCTAATTCTAAAAAATCTGCGGCTGACTGCTACTGACTGCCCATGGACTTGCCACGAATACCGCATCTACTGGTGTATATCATGTAATATTATCGATCAAATCGATTCTACTCCTCACTCCTCACCGTCGACCACATCCACTTTCTTCGCTGCTAATACCCAAAACATACGGGGGTCGGGAACTCCTTCGCGTTAAAATCGGATGAAAACCGTGTCATGAGGAATACTGTGCTCCTAACGTGTAAAGAGCAATGACAAATTACCCCAGGTATTGTGGGATCTTTTTTTTTTTTTCGGCTTGATCCGACTCCAAGATGCGTATTCCCCCCTCCCAACGGGGGCTGTCATCTGCGTGGGTTTTATTCGGATAGACCAAAGTTCCGAGGACCTGACGCCGCCTCTTCGGATTCCCTCTCAAAGAACCCCTCTAAACAGGATTAGGGATCGACCTATCGTGGTTTTAAAATTGCCGTCGCGAAATTCGCATTTCATCACCCCAGCACGGTCACTCTTGTTCTCCAGTAATATTTCTTCGTAGACTAGCGTATTGCCGACCTCGCCGTCGTAATATGAGTGAGCACACAGCAGATCACTTACTCTGGTACAAATCGATATCTGGCAAGACAGGCTTCCAGGGTCTGCGTTTGTATTCCCCAGGACGCGCGTCTCCGTCTTCACACGGACTTTGTCTAGTGGAGAAATTCGCCCTAGGCCGCACAGAGGAAATCCCTGTCGATCTCCAAATGACGGCATTGAGATCGTACAACCCCTGTTCGATATCAAGTAGCGGGTTGCTACCCAATGACCTACAATGAGACAGGTCGCAGGTCACATCCTAAGGGTCACTATCTACGTGAATGTGATACGACTCCCTTTTTGACTTGAAAATAGCTATCCGGAGACGCGCTGCGAGAACCCTTTGAATCCATATCCCAAATAACCGGGCGCGCCGGCACTTATTTTCCATATAACTAGGTAGACATACCTCAGAGTCACCAGCTACGGACGCCGAGACCTCTTTGAAACCCCCATCGTTTTTCTTATCGTGTTAACCAGGTTTTTGCCCCAAATTTAGCGGCAAACGATATCTCGCCAAGCTTTTAATATATTATATTATCAAGCGAGCCGCAGTCGATCCAGTATGGCCATCCTAGAAACTAGGTAAGGTACCTCAGGAGGTAGGTATATATGATAAGGGCGCTCGCACCAGGAAACCCCCAAGAAAAGCCCCCCCATCCTGTCAACCCGCGTTACTCTGTCTCGAGATATTGATCTCGCGGTGAAACCAGTCCGGCTCGCTTATTTAGGAAGCCGTCACGATCTTCCATATATATATATATCCAGTACCTAGAGCTTATCTATATGCTGTGCTGTGGTTAAAAGGGGAGGAGCCCATGTGTTAACGCCGAAACTCGCCTTATCGTGGACAATTAGCCGCAGGCGATGGGAATATTTCAGGTGGTTTTCCGGATCGAGTCACCGATCAACAGCCGAGCGTGGTGGTCTAGAGCTGAAACTTAGCTATGCTTCCACTCAGGCTGACCATACTAATATTACATTCTAGAAAGTATTCCTATCTCCTCAACCGTAAGAAAAGTCTTTTGATCGAGGTCGTGTGATCATTTAGATTAGATAGCTCCGTATATCTAATGTGCCTCTATTAATAGGGATAGGAGGGTAATCACATGGCATTCTGTAGGCTTCGGGTTGTGATCCCAAGGAACATGCTTGACGCGTGGCCGTCAAGAATGGCCTAACCTACCTGGTAATATGTCAAAGTAGGATAGTCGTGATGACAAGTTGGTAAGCAGGGCTCGTTCGATTCCACTAGGTACTAACCAGTATACACGCATGAGCAACGCGTGTCGATGAGGAATCGGCATTTGGAAGCCCAGTTGCCAAGTCATATCTACCACCTACCTCCTACTTACCTACCTACCTTAGGTACCTACCTACCTATTCACACACGTACGACGATGGGAACTTGACCAAATAATACACCGACTTGGGGGGGCTCCCCGGTGCGGGAGTTGACGCACCAGAAAAACTCCGCAATAACTTCAAATGAGTTCTCCCACCTAGGTAGCCTCCATCGGTCCAATACACTGTTGTCAAAGCATAAGCGCGGAGCGGGGGATTCAGCGATTATGCAGTTGTGCTGTATCTCTTCTCTTTAGGCACTCTAGGTACCCGATTTTGTTGAGGTCTGTAGAGATCCCAAGTTGAAGTACTCAACGAGTAGAGAAGGGGGCTCTTTAGGTGCTGATAAATCCCTCGAAGTTATGCAGCTATTTACAACTAGTTAGGCAGGTGGTTCTTTGCATATTATGTTATGTATGTACCTGGAATAAGGGGACTAAGGATATCCAATATGCCTAAGTCGAGATCGGAGGTTTTCTTTTTCCCTTTTACTCTCCCTTTCCCCTTGGATTGTTGACAGTACGATACTTTGATGTGGGTTTATTATGCCAACTCAGTTGGCTCCTATTGTTCAGAGCAAAGTAGGGGTGGCTGGGTTAATATATTATAATATAAAAATGTCTTGTATCAAGCGTCTATTCCATGATTCTTATCTTCTCACTTAGCCGCTGGCTCTTATCTTTGACGAATGTCTTCGAAGATGCCCCTGAAGCTACGGTCGTCAGTGAGGTGGGAGTGGCATGTGATGTACCAGATAACGTCGTAGTTGATATCGGTCTTTATTCGAGAGTTTGGCCTGGGTAGCATCGAATATTTATTAAGGCACCTGTTATGATTATTGTGAGTTATAGTCGCCCCTTCTGTCCGGCCATTTCAGAGGATTTGTTACCTAGAGTATGCGTCGAAATCATTGTTGGGTTTAGGAGGATATTATCGTCCATCGTGAGGTGACGTCGATTTTAAATGGGACAGTTCTAGACCAGAGGCTAGAGTAGTTAATATACAGCTGTAGACCCCCACGAAGTAGAATCCAACTCTTAGCGAGACAGTGTACCTACTACTTGTTCGATGTGCTGATCTGCTATACGCGGTCAATGGGGGAGATTGTTATGGGATCTTTTGACTCTGTATGGAGACATTCGGGAAGTAGAAAATCTAGAGGACTTGTCATTAGATAGGTAGTTTAATATCCCATTGTGAGCGATTAGCCGAGGCCTCTAGGCCCGTGTAATTGCTTCCTTTCTGATATGCCGAAGAAAATAACTACGTCGTTATTTTTAGCTGTTCTGCCTTTGCTAACTATGCATTTTCCCGGTGGCGAGAGGGGATTGCAATGCCCCCTTTATGATAGTTGAGCATCCTACCGAAGTGACCTCGCCAATATCAATCCCGAACCGCTTCCAGTATTGCTGTCGTCCGATTATCATTAAACCTGTTGTATTTAATGGCTCAGTTGATATCAATCACATTATATCACAGTTCTGCTTATTTATACCAATTTGCAAAACCTTTTTTCTCGTATTTCGTTGTTTGTTATTAGTTGTTGCGACCCAAACTATCAAACACCTACCAACATGTCAGGTCTTTCCCTCTATCTTAGATTATTCGTTTAATTTTAAGTAGCCGTCTGAGTATCGTTACTGAGGGTTATCAAATATGACAAGAACTGTCCGTTTACGTAGCACCAATATATTCTAAGGTATCTAAGTATAATTACCTAGGTAACCTAAGGTATAAGCAACAACAGGTAGACTTCACAGTTTCCTAACATACCAACAGGATTCATCGAACGTAGAAGAAATATTGACTCATGTTGAAGAGAGTTTAGAATTGAGTTTTACAAAAGTCTTGGTGAATGTGTTAGGGTAGAAAGACACTGGAGAAACTTGTAGACGTAGATATATAACAGGTACAATATATTACCTATACTAATTGATCTCGTACCGATAGCCATTTGATGATTTATTCTGATATACTGAAGTCTTCAGATCGAAAATCGAGTATTTAGTCCTATTCCAATTTGCTATCGCCAAGTATCATACAAGTTGATAATTCGTGACGCATAATTCCTCGTACGGCTTCAACCAATACAGGGTTATGAAACATCTGACATATTGTATTACACAGTTGTCATTGCTGGCGTAGTCAGAATTAGCCCAAATCTATTAGTCTAAATGATGTACCTCCATTGACTCAGGAATGCGCTGCTAGTCTCTTCTACAACTACAAAGCAAACTTCCCACTCGCTGAGCCATATATAAATGAACTTCTGGGCATCGAGTAGTTTCCTAAAGAATCGAGCTTAACTTACACAGCAGTCTGTACATCTACTGGTAAACAAATTCATCATCACCAGCGTCGTACTACTAACCATCATGGCCGACGGTAAACGAACCCTTGAGAAAACCCTCGCCCCACGCAGGATAACCGCGCGTATGGATCCTTCTCGACAAAAAGAAGAGCAGAGATTGCTCTTTATGGAAGATGTCGAAAACTCCCAGAAGCTCCTTGGCGAAATTAAAGCAGAGATCAGGTGCATACGAGAACGGGTCGTTGGGATGGAAAAGCTGCTAGTACAGCTTCGACAGATCCTCAACACCGATACTGGGGAAATGACTGACTAGCATGGATGGTTCTCGAAGGGGAAATGAGAAAGATAGTGGTGGTTCATAGACTTCTTAGGAAGTAAGAAAACTTGCAGCAGTTGAATCTTATGGTCGACCATTGGGAAGATAGAATTGTGCGATGTTAGGGTTGGAGTCTCTATTATCAGCGTGGAATCGCCCATTATAAAGCCTTAATATTTGATATATTATAATTTCGCCTTGATGGGGTCTTCTAATGAGCACAGCCCATCCCTCATAGCAACCATCTGCTTCCTCAAAATCTTGCCCGTCGCATTTTTCGGCAGCGCCTTGATCTCCCAGACCCCTCCCCTAAGCTTCTTGTACCCGCTTACCTGACTGTCCACCGCCTCGTGCACCTCCTTCAGAGCCCGCCTCTTCTCCTGCGCGGTCTCGAACTTATCTTTCAGTATGACCCACGCCGTCGGGAGCTCCGTCAGTTGGCTTTCGTCCCAGAGCGCGCCGACCCCGCCTTCCACCACGTTGGGATGCACGTTGAGGTAGCTCTCCAGCTCGGCGGGCGAGACCTGGAAGCCCTTGTACTTGATCAGGTCCTTCGTCCTGCCTACGATGCTTACCCGTCCCTGCGCGTCGATCGTGCACACGTCTCCCGTGTTGTACCATCCTTTCATCGTAAACGCCTTCTCGTTCGCCTCCTCGTTGAACGCGTACCCGCGCGTCAGGTTCGGTCCTCGGAGCCAGAGCTCGCCCGGTTGGCCTTCCGGCGCGTCCTCCGTGCTGCCCTCTTTCTTCAGACACGCCTCGATGTTCGGCAGCAGTTGGCCTGTCACCCCGTCCGGCTGCGGCTCTTCGCCGGCCTTCTGGAATGCGACGTACCCGGCGGCCTCGGTCATTCCGTATGCCTGCATAGGTCTCCAAGGCGCCTTGCTGAACAGACGGTCTTTAAGGTCCTTCTTCAGCGGGCCGCCGACGAATATGTATTTCGCGTGGCTGAAATCGAACCGGCTCGTCACGTCGGAATTAGCCATCTGGAGGACCACGCTCGGGACCCCTTGGAAGATCGTAGCCTGGTTTGATCCGACCAGCTTGGCAAAATCTTCAAGGTTGTAGCTCGGCATGGCGTGGTGCATCATTCCGGCGTAAGGGCCCAGGAAGAGCGGCAGTGTGGTGTTGGCGATGTGAGTCCATGGCGTGAAGGCTACTACCCGACCGTTCGGGTTAAAAATCTTTCGGTCGTGCGCGACGAGCTGGTAACAATTTGAGACGAAATTGTAATGCGTCAGCTCGACTCCTTTCGGGCTTCCTGTAGTTCCGGACGATAGGTGGATCGATGCGAGGCGACTCGTCGTGTCAGGCCAATGCGGAATTGGTAGACGCTGCGACGAGATGTAGTCGTCCGGTAAGTGAGAAAACCCCTCCACTCGGCTGATAATTGTTATGATCTTCGGTTGATCCCAGCTTACTCCTTGGTCGGCGAGTTCTTTTTGGGCGAGTTGTAAAGCTTCCTTAACCACGGGAATAGTGTTCCCGTAGGAGACCACGAAATGCGGTCTTGAGACGACGAGTCCATGGCCGATCTCTGCAGCTTTCAAGCCGTGATTGATAGGACAACCGACGCCACCCGTCCAGAGGATCGCGTGGAAAATCTCGAGAAAGTCGACACTATTTGGTAGGATAATGGCCCATCTCGCTTGGTCGACCGGGTTGAGCTTTGTTTTAAGACCTTTGGCGATTTTCCCAGCTCGATCGCGCAGCTGCCCGATCGTGATGCTTCGGTTCGTCAGACTGTCCTTGGCGATTAAATGAGACTCTGGGATTTCTGGATAGGCAGATCTGTGAAGGAGTTCTGTTAAATTTAGATCCTTGGGGATATCTATTGTTCCCGGGCGATATATCCTCATGGTGGCTTTCGCTGAAAAGTGTAAGGTTCTGCGACTATTATAAATTTAGAAGCTGGCTGACTGACGTTTGAGATCTGAATCCGGGTACTAGTAGAAGATCGACAGATGAGCTGCTAAAAGTTGATACTATCACACATAGTGTTTGAGCAAAACGTTTTTTTTTTTTTCGTCGCGGATCTTTCTTCGTACGAGTAACCTTATTCTTACTATTGATTTACTAACCTCTTTTTTCTCTCGCCAAGACCAACGCTTGCTCCTACGAGTTGCGTCAATGTGAAGTATTACCGAGATGATGCTATCCACACAGGGTAACGAATGAGGTAGTCTACTCGTGCGCATCCCCAAATCGTACATGATTATCACTCATATGCCTATGTGGGTAATCGCTAGGCTCGACTATCTGGACTACGTAAATGTAACGATCACACGTGGGATGGGAGTGGGTTCTACTATGTAGGAGGTAGGTAATTAATCCTTGCTTCAGGGGTAATAACACGACCCGGCAACTTGACATTCCTTGAGTGCTAAGATCAGCCGGAGTTTTTCTTCGATGTCTTCGTTCTAAATACTGCCTAGGTACATAAACTAAACTAGAAATATGTCATTAGATATTTGTCTAGTCAGGTACATAGTGCCTAGTAGTGTGATATGAGAACCACTTTAGGTGTTTTAGTTGGCGCTGTTCGTCTTGGTCAATGTCAAACCGGGGCAACTCAAAGACGGCGTCGTTCGTCTAAGAGTTTAGGAATTCTATAGGTTCATATTGTGTTATTGCCAGCGAATATGGCATCAGTCTAATAGCATTGTATTCGTATTCCAGTATACGCTACTAGTTTAATAGCTAATAGTTCCTAACCGGTTCGTAGCTAGAGTTATATTTCTGGAAATGATGCCCATACGCTAAATACCTACGCTGAATTTTGCTCTTCCATCTTAATGCTACATAACAGCGGTGGTGGCGATGGCACGAATGAAAAGAACCCAGATCGACCGAGCTTAATAATTCCCCGGCGAAAAGTCTATTTCACTCGTCGCCGGATACCAAATCGACATCTAATCTGAGTGCCAATTGCGAAATCTGTTTCAAACTCCATGGGGGGGACATTGCATATGGTTCTGACAACTGGGCGAGCAACGTTCGTCCCGAGGTCAGAGCGGTTGCATATGTGCCTACTCACCTAGTGGGCATGGGAGTGGATTTAGTGGCCCCCAGTCAGCTTGGGCGAACTCCCGAATATGCTTAAGCAATCCTGAAAACGCCGGTTTCTCTGGTACCCTACCACCTAACACTACATAGTTGAGGAATATCGCGATATCTATTCAAGAAAAGAAGTTCTTTACTGCAGGTGTGAATAGCACGTTTTTAATCTACTAATACTTACCTGTTACTATTTCTAAAACATTAATCATACGGTCGGTCTACAATTAATTCGAAAATCCAATCACAATCATGGCGCCTACGGAAACAGACCCCCCCGCAACGCCTACTTTCCTAAAACTGTCGTATCCGGCGCCGCGGGTGCTCCTGGTACGAATGGACCGCCCCAAGGCCCTGAACGCCATGTCCACGGCGGCCCAGTGGGAGATGGACTCCGTGTGGAAGTGGTTCGACCTCGAGCCGCGTCTCAGCGTGGCGGTCATCACGGGGACCGGCCGGGCCTTCTCGGCGGGGGCGGACCTGAAGGAGTGGAACAGCTCCATGTCCGACGACGCCGACCCGAAGAACCGCGTGGGCAACGCGCCGGCCTTCAAGCCGCTCAGCCGGAGGCTCGGCAAGAAGCCCGTCGTCGCGGCCGTGAACGGGCTGGCGATGGGCGCCGGGTGCGAGTTCGTGATCAACTGTGATGTTGTTGTCGCGGCCGAGGACGCCATCTTCGCGCTCCCGGAAGTGAAGAGGGGGGTAGCTGCGATCGGGGGCGCGCTGCCGCGCCTTATCCGGACGATAGGGCTGCAGCGAGCGTCGGAATTCGCACTTACGGGGCGGAACGCCACTGCTCAGGAGATGTTCGAATGGGGCGTCGTCAACAAGGTGGTATCGAAGGAGCACGTGGTGGATGAGGCTGTCAAGTACGCCGAGATGATTGCGAAGAACAGCCCGGACGCTATCGTATGCACGCGTGCCGGGCTGAGGCAAGGGTGGGAGACGGCCAGCGTGGAGCGGGCTGTGGAATGGACGCTCGAAAAGGAATTTGCCGAGCTGCAGAGAGGCGAGAACATTATTGAAGGTCTGAAAGCGTTCGCCGAGAAGAGGGAGCCGCAGTGGAAGGGGAGCAAGCTTTAAGGGAAACCCTGCGGGCATGTACGAAGTATGTATCGCCTGGATTGGGATGTACCTTCAAACGGAGTTCAGAGGGGTTGAGTTACGAGTCAGGTAGATAGGGAATGTCTGGAATCGATCTGCACGAGGATGCAGAGATAATCTGGAAGCAGAGTATGCGAAGATCAGTGGGAAAACGATTGGTTGCGAATGCTACGTTCGGAATCACCTCGGATTCTGCCCACATTGAAGCAGCACTATTAACGCATGTCATATCAAGATTGTATCTAACGATTGTTAGTACGCCCCCAAGTGCCAACCTAGGGTAGACACGGTGGAGTAAACTTGAAATCTGATTGGATATATCAATACTTCAATAAATTCGCATTGGGCAGATCTTGATAAGCTGCTACTCCACCGTGTCTAGTTGGCACTTGAAGACATATCATCACTCAGATATGAGTTCTACTACAATTCTCATGACCTAATATTCAAATATACGCAGAATAATAGGTACCTAGGTAGCCATCACTCATAGACACCTTGGCGAAATTTTGAAGCCCTCGAAACGTTGCTTTTCACCCATCGTAACCATCGTGGAGATCAATATAGTGTACAATATAGTGCACACTATTCCTTCAGGGGTCATATAAAAGTACTGCTTGGCATATGCAACTAGAAGGATGTTAGATACCATAAACTAAATTGACGACAGACCAGGGTTCTTAATGTCTTGCAGTTCTTGGTAACCCGTCAGCTGAATTGCAAATCCTCACCCTCGGAGCTACGAACAAGAAGCACAGACCCTAACCTAGCAATTTTTTTTTCCTTATTCTCTTTTCAACCGAGCTAGTCACCCACTCGAGTTGATCTTCCTCCAACTTCGTGGCGGGCGTTGCAAAGGGTCGTCCACATTAGGTCAAGCGAGGTATCATCGACTTTCCAGGGTTACATACAGGTAGATAGGTAGTGTAGGAGGTATTGTAGGTATTGTACGAAGTAGTGTACAATATATCCCACAAAGCCAGACCGAAGGCACGGGCTCCCGCGTTCCTTAAGCGTACCGAAGGTATTATTTTCCCGACGATCAGCTCGGAGCTTACAGCTCCTTAGCATGGTAAGGGTAAGAATATTACAGCCCCATGGCTAGCCAGATAGTCAAATCAAACTACACCTTTTATACCTTAGGTGTGTATACTAGTGTATACTAAGATCCCGACGATTTCCAGAAAGAATAGGTACGTAAAAAGAGGGCTTCCCGCTTACATAGAAGTACTTTTTTATCCTTCCTATTGTCGATCACTTTCTTTTTTTCACCGGCCGCATACCCCTCGATAGAGCCCGGCTTGCTTTCTTTTCCCCCATTGCATTGCCCCGTGCGTCTCGACTCTGTCCGGATTCTCTCGTTGCACGAGCGCCTCGAACAAATAATGGACATCGATAAAAATTCTATGGGACCCCTTGAGCCGGTTGAGAAGTATGTGGATGATGATGCGTCGTCGATTAGGTCGGCGGCGCGAGGAGATGATCTGCCGAAGGGATATTTTTACTCTATAGGGTTTCTCGGAGCTATGGCTGTGAGTAATAATTATAGCAATAGGCTGTATGATTCAGTTATTTCCTCGGAGGCTAACGATAACCAGGGATTTTGCTTGTCGGCTATATCTGCCTTCATCTTCTTACTGCTACCGACTAATGTGTTAACGTACATCAACGCGGATATAGGTAAGAACCGAAGAGACGCGAAGGATTAAAGAGAGCTCTATTAGATTGACGACGAATTAGGTCCAAGCCCCTATATATCGTGGGTGAATATCGCTAGGACTCTAGCGCTGTCCTTCACTTATACGATCCTTGGTCGATTGTCGGATCTCTTTGGACGACGATGGTTCTTCATCGGTGGAAACATTGTCGCGCTTGTCGGCATTATCGTGTGCTCAGTCGCCCAAAATGTCGACAGTTTAATCGTTGGCAGTGCGATATACGGATTGGGCGAGACGGTTCAGTTGAGCTTCAACGTCGCTGTGGGCGAACTGGTTCCTAACAAGCATCGTCCGATGGTCCTTTCGTTGATTTTTGCGACGAACGCGCCAATTGCCGGTATTGGTCCTATGATTGGTAAGTTAGGTGATGTGCTTGCGATAGAATGAATATTGAGATTGACTCTGGAACTAGCTCGAGCCGTGTTGCAGCACCCTAACATGGGATGGCGATGGTGCTATTATCTTAACATCATCGTGGTCGCCGTATCGATTGTCCTACTCTTCTTCTTTTACCACCCGCCAACTTTTGACCTTTTGCACGAGCGAAAGACTAAGACCCAATTGCTCAAGCAACTTGATTGTAAGGTTTATCGCATTTTGAATTTTATTTCTTTTACTTACGATAATTAGACGTTGGAATCTTCATGTGGACTGCTGGTCTCACTCTTCTCCTTATGGGTGTTAGCTGGGGTGGCACTATTTACCCCTGGAAATCAGCTGCGACCATCTCTTCGATCGTAATCGGAGCAGTTCTCCTGATCGCGCTCTTCGTTTATGAAGCCTATGCCAAGCTCGAGTATCCTGCTATCCCCGTCCAGTTCTTTGCGAATCGGGGTTTCATCAGTCTTGTCGCTTGCGCTACGGTTGCGACGATGTCTTATTACTCTGCAGTCCTGCTTTGGCCTCAACAAGTCAGAGCTCTCTACACTTCTGATATTACTTACGGTGGATGGATCTCGGTAAGGATTTACATGCGAAGAAATAAAATAAAATCACTATTTAGCAACTAACAAGACGTATAGTGTACCGTAGCCAGCGCCACAGCTTTGGGTCAAGCGTTGGGTGGTTTCTTCATTAAATGGGGAGGAAATGTTCGATACTGGATCATCTTTTCGACCTTCTGCATGGTTGCTTTCGTTGGAGCCTGCGCATCGCTTACTCCCGAGACTTTGAACGCCGGGATTGCATTCACGATGATCGGTCCTTTCTTCGTCGGTGTTATCGAAGTTTGCGCCCTCGCACTCGCACCCCTTTTCTGCAAGCCTGTGGATATCGGTCTTGCGTCCGGTCTGTTAGCTTCGATCCGATCAGCCGGTGGTTCCATTGCCGTGGCTGTTTACAGTACCATCTTATCGAACCGCCTCGCCACGACCGTACCTGCGAATGTTGGACCGGCCGCCATCGCTGCTGGTCTTCCAGCGGACCAAGTTCCCGCTCTTGTTACGGCAGTTCTCGGAAGCAAGCTCGCCACTTTCCAAGGGCTAAGCGACGCCGGAAAAGCTGCGGTATCTGCGGTGATACCAATTGCGTACTCGCAAGCGTTCAAGACTGTATATCTAGCCAGTCTTGGATTCGGAGGCATTGCTATCGTCGGCTGTCTTTTCTCTAAGGATGCTCAGAAACACCTTACTGATAAGGTAGAGCGCAAGATGCACGGAAAGACAACTAGGTAGGATAGCCCGGAATCGGCATCGACAGCGTAAGGGGAGGATTAGTTGTATCGAAAAGCGTTGCATTTGTCTTTATCGCTAACGAGAGGATGACTTCTGGTAACGCAGGATTCCCTTGAAATGACTTGGAGGTATCGTATCTGATCCATGCTTATGTTCTTCCCGTTCAATGATACCAGTTTGTGTAATAAGTAGCAATATCCTAGCGAGGGGTGGAATTTTGATTTCGCATCGACATAATTATAACATGTAGTATATAGCCTATCGCCTATAGCCAATCTAATACCACTATCTCTAAATAATGTAAAGAAAGTATCATGATAAGATTTCCGAATTAAATAAGTGACTTGATATCACGAATGAGTTGCTTAGAATGGGATATGGAGTAACTTGGTTATGCTTAAGTTCAAGCTTAAGTGGTGTGGTTGGGCGGCGTGGAGCTACAAATGCTTACAGTTTGAGGAGTTTCCTTTTACGGAAATACAGAGTTAATCTGATTGGCGGATTTGAGAAAGCCACTGACGATAGTGCTGCTGACGAGCCCTATAGAAATTGCTCTGCGGGGAATTCTAGCGCTGAAGGATTGACTTACTGGAGCTCTATTATATGGTATTCGGGGCAGTAGTTAGCGAACCGGTCTGTTATAGAATTTACCTGTCTTTTTGCAAGTGTCTTTAAACTATTTTTGTTGACTATAACATTCGCGTTTTGCCCGTCATGTACCTACCGGTATATTAAATATTTCAAAAACATCAAATACTTTTAAATGAAGTAACTAATAGAAATAAATACAACGATTCCCAACCACCTATTTATCAATATTATTTGCCCCGGGAGCTACCCCGCAGTCTCCTCACGAACCCCGGATCTACTATGCAAATGCTGGCACGCGATGGAGACTATTCCACAATACGACGAACGATTCGACCTGGGTTACCCCAGTATCTTCTATAAGTTGTTCATCCTTCTTGCATGAGTGGATTTCACTTCGCGAATAAGATTCCGCGCCTCGTCTATAGGAACCTGCTAAGACGGAGCTCACTGCAGACCGCTCGCAAACGACCCCGGCAAGAGCTGAGGAATATCGTTCCACGGCATCAGATCCGCATGAGACGATAGGTAGGAAGAACGGGCTATATAAGATGGGATACTTTCGGAGGGAGTGCGTTCCTCGTAGGAATCCTCCTCTCTTTCCTCTTGTCGGTCTAAGCATCCCATCGGTAAAACTTAGCTGCTCTCCCCAGTCAGTTACATCAATATGAAGGTTATTTTATTCCCTCGGCTTATAACCTTTGCTTCTTGCTTGGGCATAGGCACTGTCACAGCTCAAGTCTTCGACCCGAACAAGGGCAGCTCGTCAGGATGGGATCCAGCTGTGGTCGGAACGAATAAGACCACTAATGCAACATTCTCAAACCCAGTCATGACGCTTAACGTTGGCGACCCCTTTATGACCAAGTACACTGCCGACGGTGAGGAGTGGTATCTGTTTACGTACACGACAAACTCCAATATCACGTTGAAGCGTTCAAGATATCTCACCGACAATTGGGACAATGCCGAGAGTCGCGTCGTCTTCAATCCGGATCCCACCAGCGGAGAACCGTGGTCGACGAGTCTTTGGGCTCCTGAGATTCATAACATATCCGGTTCTTGGTATATCATCTTCACTGCGACATCAGATGGTGACAACCCACCTCCGCTCTTGGATGCAATGTGCCCGATTAACTGTCCTGTAAGTCTTTCTCTTTACTTACTACTTGTTACAATATGCAATAAGAGGTACCTAGGCACATATATGAAGGAATATATTTCTCAATGGTAACTTAGACATTGACATAAAATACCATAGGCGATTAACCATCGAATGTTCGTTCTGGCAGGCGATGGACCTCATCCTTGGACAGCCAAATTCGAGATGAAACCCATGTTGGATACTTACGATATGTTCGCCATTGACGGCACATACTTCCACTTCGAGGATAAGCTGTACCACATCTACTCCTGCTGGGAGCAGAAGTACTCTTCGTGGCCAGCCAATCTGTGCATCACGCGCATGTCCGACCCGTGGACGGTAAACTCGACGCTTTCCGAGCGCCGCATAATCAGCATACCGAACGAGCCCTGGGAGCAAGTCCCGTACGGCCGTCCGATCCGACTCGCGACGAACGAAGGGCCCCAGCAGCTCACGAACCCGAAGACGGGCCAGAACTTCGTCATCTACTCGGCGGCGCGCGTCAACACGCCGTTCTACTGCCTGGGCATGCTCGAGCTCGTCGGCAACGACCCGATGGAGTACCAGTCGTGGAGGAAGCACACGGCCGGGTGCGTCTTCCACCAGAACACGGCGGCGGGGGTCTACGGCACGGGCCACGCAAGCTTCGTCTCGTCCCCCGACGGCTCCGAGGACTACATCGTGTACCACGCGCAGACGACGGCGAACCCGGCCTCGGACTTGTATCGCACGGCGCGCATACAGAAGTTCACGTGGAACGAAGACGGCACGCCTAAGTTCCCGCTCGCGGAGAATGGGCCTTTCCCCGTTCCCGCTGGGCAGCAAGCTCTTACGCAGTTATAGATTTAAGAGGTATGCGATAGAGTATATACCAGGTATATATATTTTTGTAATAGATAATAAAGGGTATTCTTTTTTCCTGAATTCATCTCCGCTGATATGCTAAAACTCCATGCTATTTACCTTTTGCTTCAGGTGCCAGGTACCTATATTAACACCATATCTAATGCAGCATGCTTCCCAAATTCAACGTCCGCTATATGCAAAACCCGTCCAATAATCGTACAATAATATGTATTCGTATCCCTTTTTGCCACCATTGCTAAATCCCAAATACCCCTGATTATACATGTCAGCAAATCAATCCAACCCCACAATCGCCATTTTTTCTTCTTCTTGTCTTTGGTAGGTATACTTGCATCCCAAGTATAAACAAACGCCATCATCACACCAACCCCCACCACGCAACCACCGCCGCGCCCACCACCACAACCCATTCTCCCTTCCCCTTCCCCTTTTGTCCCCCCCTCCCTCCCCCCGCCGCAGCAGCACCGCTCTCCCTCCGCACCTCCTCCCTAAACGCGCCGACCACGTTCCCCCTCGGCCAGTACTCGCACGCGAGGTACCAGCCGTAGTTCCCCGGGCACAGCCTCGCCCCGCACCCGACGTCCGTCGTGCCCCTCCACACCAGCTGCGTGAAGTGCCCCGTCTCCTCCGCGAACCCCGGGTAGTCGAAGTCGTACCGCCCCGACTCCCGCGCCCACAGGTCCACGCAGGCCCCCGCGTCCGCGCACCCGAGCGCGAGGTTCTCGCCGTAGGGGCCGCCGGAGTGTTTCATGACGCAGGTCTCTTTCCCATTGTCTTCTTCCTTTTTAGTTTCTGTTTCTTTTTGCGAGGAAGGGGAAGGGGAAGAGTGCAGGGACAGGTAATCCGTCGCAAAGTCCGCCAGGGTGGCGTTCCACCGGACGGCGGAGGCGTTGTGCGCGGCGCGGTGGAAGTTCGTGCTGTTGAGGATGGCGTAGGTGAACGCGACGTGGTCGGTGAAGGAGGGCGCGTCGCTGGGGATCGGGGGAGGGACGGTTACGGTGACCGTGCGGACGACGGTTTGCGTGGTGCTGCTGCTGCTGCTGCTAGCGAGGGGGGCGAAGAGGAAGAGAGAAGATAGGAGGGTGGCGGGGAGGGATAGGAGTGATATTGAGAGATGAGGATATATGAACATGATTGAAGTTATTGATCGTAAGGTTGTAAATATTATAATACTCGATATAACGGGTTAGAAGTTGTAAATATGTAACAAGTCTACAGTTATTCGACTAAGTTTATCGAGAAGCAATAGCCAGGTTGCTGAATTATTTTCCGCCTGCGAAAGTGAAAAGAGGAAATAATGGGTAGATAGTAATTACAAGTGTACGAGAGATGAATCTGTATAAAACAAGAAAAAATAACAATGTCGCTCGACTCAATACGATGAATGGATGAATAATATAGTTAGTAACTTACAAAGGCTTTTTCTTTCGTCATGGTGCCTTTAATAAAGGACGAACAAAAAGAAACCCAATTCGACTTTCCCAGCGCGGGCGGCTAAGAAACCCAGCTCGTGGCGCGAATTTAGGTCTTCGAAGCGCGAATGCGTGGAGTTGTTGAGTATCAAGACTTCGAGGGCTGTAGCCGCTGGGGAAATCGCCATTGGCGCTTCTCAGCCTATCATGAGTTGGTGGCACCGCCGACGGGAAACATTTGAGGATAGCCTCCTTGGCAAGGGGAGTCTCTCCGTTTATGACTATGACTTTCGAACTGGTAAATTATCATGATGGAAGGATTGTTTATGAAAGGTACCTACCTCTTAACCTAAAATAGGAAGAAGGTATAAATTACCTTAGGTATTTATGTGAGGAGCTCTTACAAAACACAATCAGGATCATAATTATATTTCATGAATAAAATATAGGAATTTCAGTCTTACCAACCCAACCCAACCCACTCTATCTCCAAAGCCAACACTTTTTACATTCAACAACTTTTCCACTATAACCCCCCCTTCCCCTCCCCTCCCCTATGTTCCTAGAGTAGCTCTCTCTCTTCTATCACAACGCCTACTTCAATGCACCAACTACTTTGCCCAATCTCACGGGATCAACACGTTCCTAAACCTCGCCTTATTCGCCGCGCACGTCTCCATCGCCTTCGCCGCCTCCGCAAGCGGGTACTTCTCGACCCAGCACCTGACGCCGTGGTCGACCGAGAACTGGATCGCCTCCTCCGAATCCAGCGCGTGCCCGTTGGACCACCCGTGCACGGACAGGCTCTTCATGTTCATCAGCAGGGTGTCGAAGGCGACGGGGTCGTGCGGCGGGCCCAGCACCAGCAGCTTCCCGCCCGCCTGCAGCCCGCCGACCAGCGGGCTGATGGCCGCGGCGTTGGGCGCCGTCGACACGATCATCGCCGCGCCGCCCAGCGCCTGCAGCGCCTTGACCGGGTCCTCGCGGCTCGCGTCGATGTACTGGTGGGCGCCGAGCTGCTCCGCGAACGCCCGCTTCTCGTCCCCCGAGCTGATCGCCACCACGTTGTACCCCATCTTGTTCGCGTACTGCACCGCCAGGTGGCCTAATCCCCCGACCCCCTGGACCGCCACCATGTTGCCCTGCTCCACGTGCATCTTGCGCATCGAGTTGAACACCGTCACGCCCGCGCAGAGCAGCGGCGCCGTCTCCGCCGGGTCCACATTCGACGGCACCCGCACCACCGCCTCTTCCCGGAGGTAAGTGTACTCTGCGTATCCGCCATCTCGGCTGACACCATTGACTTCCTGGTTATCGCACATTTGGAACTGGCCGCGGGCGCACTGGCGGCACGTCCAATCGTGGCCTGTGGGTTATTAGCATTTCCTATTTCTCCCCATCTTGGAAAAATGTCCTTGTTTTCTTTTTCTTTTTCTTTTTCTTCTTTTCAAAAAAAAAAAAAAAAAAAAAAAAAAAAAGGAACAAAAGCAGAAAAGCAGAAAAGCAGAAAAGAAATCAAACTAACCTCCATGCCACGGCCCGCCCACTCTCTCGCCACCCTTAAATCTCGTCACGCCGCTACCGATGGCAACGACCTCGCCGACGAGCTCGTGCCCCGGGACGCGGGGATACACGTCGTCGCCATATTCCCCGCGTTGCGCGTTCACGTCCGAGAAGCACACGCCGCAGGCGAGCACTTTGACCAGGACCTGGCCGGCACCAGGGAGCTTCAGTTCCCTCTCGTGGAATTCGATGGGCTTCTTTTTCCCCGTCAAGACGCCCGCCTTGTACGTCTTTGGTAGTTCGACCATTTTCCCGTGTTGTTTTAAATTTCTTTTGTTGGCTTTGGACGTGGTGAAGTTCTCGGGTTAAATACACCTTGCGACTCGTTCCAGCAGCGAAATACCCTCTCTCTTTTCCTTTAAACAAAGAAACGAATATGTGAGTGCATAAACAGTTTCCAAGGCTAGAAAGCTGGAGTTGAGCCAGAAGATAGACTCAAAATACGAGGCTCAGATCATGGTTTAAATAAAATGTAGACGAGCCTTAAAGAATAACCCGACGCCGAGCCCGATCATCGCCGCAACGGCAATGCAAGAAAGAGGACCACAAATACATGATGAAGTGAGTGCATAATGCATAATCTTAGGTACCCAAAATATACGCAACGATCCACCCGAGCTCATCACGGCGACGTGACAATAGAACAACTCCGAGACCTACATGCAGATGTGATGTGGGTGAAGGTGATGTCAATGCTTGCATAGCCTGTAGATATCGCAACGCAGATCGGGTAAATTACCCAGATGGTAATGGAAATAGTGGAAATATTACTCGGAGTGCCGGAGTGCCGGAGTTGGTTGGCCATCTTACCATGTCTCTTAGATAACCAACAGGTAGTTTACCGCCTCAGCCTGCTTCTTTTGTCTTCTTCGGACATAGGATTTAGTAGAAAACTGGGTAATGCTGCATTCCTTTTCTTTAGGTATCTTCACGAAAATATCTCTTCCGGAATAGGTCCTCTTTACCACCGTTATCTGTTCCGCTCGTGATTTATTAGCCAGGTATTCTTAGAAAAAACGGAGTCAGTCTTTACGGAGGTCTGGTGTAAATATACAAAAAGGAAGCCGGCATAGCTAAGCCAAGCCAAGAACAACAACACAAAATGATAAAACTTCATCAATTCCCTATTAGGTTCCACTCGCAATAATATGTTAACTCCAAAATTTATAGGGTACTAAGTAGGTACCTAAGGTATCAATCGCTATACAAATTCATCATAAACTACCTTGCTCCTAAAGTAGCCAGCGCTGCTTGGAGCTCCCTTACGGCCGTCGGTACGTCCTCGAAGTTGAGAGCTGAAATTGCCCATTTGGCGTGCTTTTGCGCTTGGACAATTGCCATGTCGTCTATATTCAGGCCATTAGATGACTCACCGTTACCACCGTACTGCTGAGGAGGTGCTACCGGATGAGAAGGCTGAGAAGGCTGAGAGTAGTAGTTTCGACTGGCCGGGGGTGCTTGAGGAGGAACATGTCTCTGTGGCGGCGGTGCGACTGGCGGTGTAGGTGTAGGGCGATAAAAGTCTTGAGGCACCGGAGCTGTATTAGATGCGGAAAAGGAAGCAGGAGGTAATCCGGCTGGATCATGAGAGCTAGGACTAGGTATTGTGGGCGAAGGGGCTGTGTGATCAAAGGTAGCCTGACCTGGAAGAGGCATATCTGTCGTAGATGGTAGATTTAAGGCATCCGGTACGCTGGGTGCATCGGGTGCATTGGGGAAATAGTTTTCCGGATCTGATGTGGGCGGACCGGAGGGTACTATGGGAGATACTTGCTCGGGTCCTAATGCTGACGGAGGTGGAGGTGAAGTCGGTGCAGATACGGGCCCAGGGAAAGGTTGATAAGAATTAGTCGATGCCGGGTGTAGTCTACCATCTTCATCTGGTATATCCTCTACGCTCACTGGTTTAGGATATCCACCTCCAAGCATCTGCACTTCCGGGTCGTTCGGGTCTAGCACCGGTGGCGCTTCTTCGTGGTGAACCTCTTCCTGTTTCGGGTTTGACTCGTTGGGATCTTTACCCTCTTTGATGGCTTTTAGTATGCGGGCGGCATTCCATTTTGCATACTTGATCTTCTCTTGCGTCTCGGGATCTGGTTGTGACCAGATTTGGACTAATTGGAAGAATGTGGCGGCAGCTTCGAATGTACTCGCCGTTTGCCTACATTATTCGTCAATATCCGCGCCTGTGGGAAGCATATTTACTTTTAAAAGAACGGCGTACTGTGTAACTTTATTCGCTTTGAGCGGTCGTAGCGCTCTCTCGAAAGTCTCTTGCGCAAACTGTTCCACGTATGCTTGACCCGCCTCGTCGTCATGAATCGCGTCGTTACCTTCCTGGCCTTCTTTGATCTATAAGATGGTAGAATGTGGTTGGTTAGCGCATTGTGGCTTGCAGAAGGTGATATATATATCTCATTATCGTACACTTTCGAGTTTCTCCATAAGATTCGTAGTATAAACATGACATTCCTCGTCGGCGGAGTGAAGGTTTTTAGAGAGGATCTGATTCACAGCCCAGTAGAAACCTTTCGGAAGCGTTAATGTTAACAATCAGAGCTCGTGCCGAGGCAGCTGAGGCAGCTGAGGTAGCTGAGGTAGTTCGACTTACACCAATAAGCTATAACAGGCTTCGCGGTCTCGAGTTGTGTGGCGCGTACGATGAAGGGCGTGATGCCCGCCTGTTTTAGCTTCTGGGGTATATTGGCCGCCATCGCGGAGGTGTAGGATTATTCCTAAAGGTATAGTCGAGATTTAGCCGAGTCGAAGATTATAAATTAAGTAGATTATCGCCTTTAATATCCTGGACGGTGGAGTGAAAAATACAATTGGTGAAAAGCTAGAGAGTCCAGCCACGGAACAATGTGTTTTGTAAATGCGATGTAAATGCGCAACTTCCAAGAAATCAGGCACGACATTTCCAAAACTCCAACCCCGCTGAAGTCACTAACCCAGCTCCCTAAAAGAAAGAGTTCCCCACTCTTGCGGGCAGCTTCGATGCACTACCTCATGTGTATCCAAAGATAAACTGATAAGAAGACAGCTCGCGCCACATATTACCTTTTATTTTCCTTCATCTCTTTCCTTAGCCACAATTTACCCCGGATTCTTCCCTCTCCCAACCAATCACCAATCAACCGCCCGTCGGACAGGTGGGGCTTTGTTTGCATCATTAGCGGGTTCGTTTTGCAGGTGCCCAGGTGGTTCTTCAGCGAATTGGATCGAATTTCCACGGTGGCCTTTTTGCTCGATTCAGTACGGGTTTAAGAAGACAGCAATTCATTTACTTACGCCTTAGGTACTATTCGTTCATACATAAATTATTAAAAAGTGCTTTACCTCTGTCATGTCCATCATCTCTTCTCGATCGTAAACCTTATATGAACATACATACATTCCGACGAAGGGAGCCATTTTACGGTTTGACGTAACTCTTTTCTCTTCTTTCCCCTCGCCCATCCCAATTCCTGCTCTGTGATTTTTTTCTTTTAAAAAAAAGGTGCTCACTCAAGTATTATTATACTTATTTCCTATTCGATATCAAGATCTCTTTTGACTAGAAGCAAGGCCATGCATGCCTTCAATGTCAACCCCACCGCGGCAGCAGTCGCTGCGGTGGCCTTGCTCTCCGCCCTGCCGACTGCCCACGCCGGCTTATACCTGAAGAGCTCACCTGTAGTTCAGGTCGACGCCAAGAACTACGACAGGATAATCAACAAATCAAACCACACTTCCGTAAGTATTACTTACCTAACATTAGTTATTTTAGATAGTAAACTATATATAACCAACAAGAAGCAATGTTAACTAACTCTTTATTGCAAAGATCGTCGAGTTCTACGCGCCATGGTGCGGCCACTGCCAGAACCTCAAGCCGGCCTACGAGAAGGCGGCCCGGAACCTCGAGGGTCTGGCCAGGGTCGCCGCCGTGAACTGCGACGAGGACGAGAACAAGCAGCTGTGCGGCGTGATGGGCGTCAAGGGCTTCCCGACCCTCAAGACGGTGCGTCCCGGCAAGAAGAAGGGGAAGCCCATCGTGGAGGACTACAACGGTCCCCGCACGGCCAAGGGCATCGTCGACGCCGTCGTCGACAAGATCAACAACCACGTCAAGCGCGTCACGGACAAGGACCTCGATGACTTCCTGTCTACCAAGAATGACACGGCTAAAGCCATACTGTTCACGGAGAAGGGTACTACTAGCGCTTTGCTAAAGAGTATCGCGATCGACTTCCTCGACGTTATCATTGTTGCGCAGATTCGGGACAAGGAGACTAAGGCTAACGAATTATTCGGCATCAAGTACTATCCTACTTTCGTGTTACTACCCGGAGGCGACAAGGAGAGCATAGTATACGACGGAGAATTGAAGAAGGATGATATGGTCAAGTTCTTGTCGCAAGCCGGTCAACCAAACCCGGACCTATCAACCGTCAAACCAAATGGGGAGAAGAAATCCGAGAAGAAGGACAAGAAGGACAAGAAGGACAAGAAGGCAGCCCCTAAATCTGCCGAGTCCGGCTCCGAAACTACCTCAGCTAAATCGGAAGAATCTACCGATGCTTCTTCTCCCGCTCAAAAGATCGTCGAGTTTGCACCCCCTATCCCAGCCATCACCGATGCGGGCAGGTTAACTGAAGAATGCTTGAACCCCAAGGCTCATACCTGCGTCCTTGCCTTTGTACCTTCCGCCCACGGAGAGCCCGCAGAAAAGGCTTTGCTTGGTTTGGCCGAGCTTGCATTCAAATACGCACGCGCTCAACGCTACTTATTCCCCATCTTCGAGGTGCACCATGACAACAAGGCCTCCGAATCGGTTTTCAAGAGCCTAGGACTCTTGGGCGAGATTGAGATCGCCGCGATCAACGGCAAGAGAGGATGGTGGCGTCACTACGAGGGAGATTTTACCCCCGAGAGTGTCGAGGCCTGGATTGATTCCATTCGTTTAGACGAGGGCACCAAGAACAAGCTACCGGAGGGTTTGATTGGCGAGGTCGCTGAAAAGCCGGCCGAATCAGATACGCCTACTAAGGGTGCTGAGCCGACCCCTGAGGCTACACCCGCGGCAGAATCGAAGGTACCCAAGCATGAGGAGCTATAAACAGGAACGTGTTAGCTAGTATAGTACTAAGTTAGTTTCGACTGGGTGTATAGTAATGAGACCAAAAGAAAACAAAATTTGCATATTATATTTTCCGAAAAAGTGTCGACTTACCCGTGAGCAAATGAGTCTTTTGGGGCCCGAATAACCTAGGTACGTTAGGTACTCAACACTAGCTATGCCACCAACCAACCGTAACTCCTTCGCGATAACCTAAACATCAATATCCATAGTAGCACCCTTCTCCACCGCGCCCTCAGCCACCATCCTGTGCCCCTTCTCCCTCACGACCGAATCGAGGTACGAGCGGATGTTCGCGCAGCCGTCGGCGGCGGCGACCATCATCCCCTCCAGCCTGCTGACCTGGACCCTGCTCTCGCAGACGAGCACGACGACCTTGTCGGAGGCGCCCAGAGTACCGACAGTCAGGAACGGCAGCTCCTGCTCCTCCTGGTTGTTCAGGTCGATGAGCGGGTCGGCGCGCTCGTCGCCCGCCGCGTGCGACGACGTGCTGCCCGCGCTGCACGCCACGAGGTAGTCCGTCATGGGGACGCCGGCGTCGACGAGCGCGAGCGTCGCCGCGTTGATCAGGCACGCTAGCAGGCTGCCGTCTTGGGAGAGGATGTGCAGCGATAGCGATATGGTCGAGCGCGGGAATAGGTGCGTGTGTAAGACCGCGGCGAGAGATTTGGCGAGGGTGGCTTGGAGTTCTTGAATGCGCCTGTTTGGGGGAGTTGTTAGTGTTTGGTTTTATTTCGTCTTCTTTTTTTCCTTTTTTTTTTTAAAAAAAAAAAAAAAGCCTTGGCAGTTTTCTCGGGTGTCTGTTAAGAAAAATGTGACGACATACTTATCGCTTCTCGCCCTCTTCTTCCTATCCACGGTGCTAAACCCGCCCACGACGACGCTAACGAGGATATCCGCGCCGTTGGTCGCGGACGCGGACGTCGAGGAGGCGGAAGACGCGCCTTGGTTGCGTCGCTTGCCTTCCTCACTTGGGCCGGTGACCACGCACATGATCTTGGTGTTTCCCATCTCTAGGTACGAGGAGCCATCAGCGGCGGCTTGCGTCCGGATCTGGCCGCGTAATTGGCGCAGCTCGTTCCATCGGCGGCCGTCGATGCGCAGGAGAGCGAGGTTGTAGGTTGACGTATCGAGGGGCATTTTTCCTGCCTTTTTTTTTTTCCTTTCTTCTTCTCTCTCCTCCCTTTTTTATGTTTCCTTATCGGTATCCTTATGAGATCATACAAATCTAGTTTAGGTACCTAAAGAATGTGATTTGACGACCGTTTGTGTTTTATTCTTGCTGGGTTTGAAATTGTTTGTTGTTAGCTGAAAACATTTAAAAGCTTCTCTATATCCGTTAGAAATTTTTGGTGGGGTTCTGTGCTACCTTCCCCAGACCAACTTTGCAGCTACTATGTACGTCCCTCTCCAACTTACCCGAAAAAGATATACTCTAGACGAAGACGTATTAGTTCTAGACATAATTACACGTATAATTCGTATACTACGTAGAAATCAAATCTCGTCAATAATATCTAAATCTTAATACTTTAGATACCTACCCTAGGTCCCTAGGTAATTATTCTGTTTAACTATCAAAAATTACGACATATCACATACCCACTCAACACATATAAGAGGTACCTAAATTAGGTAGGCACACGATAATTAATAATAGAGGTGTGTAAAAGATGATACATGAATTTTAATTGAGTTGCTATCAATGCTGCCTAACGCCGCTATAATACCCAATCGAGGGGTGAATTTCGTGATACAAGCTATCGTAATCATCGCCAAAGTAAACAATAACTACCTAGGACCTAGGTACCTAGGTAGCTAAGGTAGTAAAGAACCGTCATACTTTCGATACGTAATCTGCTATCTTGGTCTTACGCTGCGACCATGATACCCGCATTGCCTTGTTGATTCTGGATCAGAGGAGCATTGAGGTCCAACACCGGAGGTGGTTCCACCTCGTCCGCATCGGTCCATCCTCTCTCCTTACCCCAGATAATCTTCAGTCCTCGGGATTGCACAAGGTCGATTAGCCCGCGCATAAGAGCACCTGACTTCTTCACGTTGAGCCATGCTTCAAACTCGATGCGTTCGACCCACGGCATCTCGTTGAGAACATTGGTCAACAGATTTTTCGAGAATCGTTCATAGAAGTTGTCCGGTTGACGGAACCCCTGGAAGAAGTCGTTTCCTGGATCGCACTCGATGTAAACTGTGATCTTGGTAGTATTTACGCAGTCCGATAATCCCAACGCCTCATTTACCGCCCAGCCCTTAGGAGGGTTACTCCAACCCGGCCCCAAGCGTAGCTCGAGAGAGGTTAGGCTGGCTCGTTGACATGGCTTCATACGGGCCAAGAGCGGTTTCTTGGTTTTGAAGTAACGTCCAGGGTGCGTCGGAAAGATTCGCACAGGGTGTGTGCTGTAGAAAAAGTAGGATGCTTCCTGGTATATAGTACTACAGGTTCGCAGGATGGCTAGTTTTTGATGGATCCTCTTATGGTTGTCCGGATCAAGGTCGAGGACGCCGCCGGTATTAACGAAATGGTACTCGTACACCTTTAGGCGCAATTCCGTTGGTAGTTCGAGGAATCGAAAAGGTCGCGGCTTCTCCCGTTTCGGTTTGCGCAGGGTCGATACCGAAGCACCCAGAGTAAGAGCGCCAATCGGTAAATTCGATACCTCGTCTAAAATGTCGTGCTCGGCTTCGGAAACGTTGGCCGAAGGGTAGGCCGAACTAAGCGGAGTGGTAAGGACGGAAGAGATAGGAGTCGGGCCCGAGGTTGGCGCCGCAACCCGCGAGCCCTTTGATTTGCTAGGTTTATGGCGCATTGTTTGTTTGTTGTGTATATAATTCCGTATGTAGCGAGTTACCTATCGTAAGACTGTAGAAGAGATACGATGTGGCGATAGGAGCAGGGCGAAAGGATTGTCACGCGACCAGTCAATGTAAGACTTATTAGGAGTGAGGCGATGTTTGACGATAAAAAAAATAAAAAAGGTCTAGGTCAGAATCGATTTTCTAAAGGTTCGCCCCTACTTAAATTAGGGCAATTGGTGATTAAATCGAGGTACAAGGTGGCATTCCGAGGGTGGTGCCATCGCGATACTTCAACGACTGCAACCACCCTCTAGAACGCAGCGCTCTTGGCAGACATGTTGGACGAAGGAAGTCGGTGGTATGCGGTGTAATTCATAAGAGAAGTGGTTGATTGAGTAGTCCTGACAAACTGACAAATAGGCTAAGAAGTCGGCAGCCAGAATAAATAGGAGTTTTCAATTGCCTTTCGAAAAAGAGGGAGGGGAAAGTGACCGGCAGAAGAGAACCGGAACGAGCGATGATTAAGTAGTGGAAGTTAAAATACTAAAGTATTGGTACTCGTGCCTTGTGGTAGGGAAGTTAGAGAAGGAGGTTCGTTGATTCAATCCGATATTGGTCAGACAACTTACTCGATCGATTTAGTACTTGTACAATACTATGTACCTAGGTACTGCTCATTGATGACATTAGACAATCGGCTAAGTGGGGTTCAAAGTCAAGTGATTCGGGGAAGACGGGTGGCGGGGTGTGCCGGTATACCTGTACCTGTACCTACCTAAATTAGGTGTAGTTGATAAGGGTGTTTAAGAGGTTGCGCCAGAGAGTCTAGGTGTATAATACATGTCTAGTACCTAACCTAGGTATATATAATTTGATAACTGAACTTTCAGTTCATTGTAATTTCTGCTTCCATATTACTATTTCATTCAAGTCGCTATAAGCTATAAACTTGTGCGTGAAAAGTCACTCTGTACCTATATAATCCGAGCCATGGAAATGGAATCCTCAATGACGTGATGTGGGACTATACGTAACGGAGAAAACTGATACCGATGCACGGAGTCTTCGAGAATTAAGGTACCATACCAGCATCTAACGATCCCAGTAAACCGTGTTATGACCGTTGCATTACAGTACGAAAAAAATAAACGCTTAAAAATTCCTGAATAGCTGATCGAGCGTTCAAAAATATAAATATTTAAAGGCGTTTTAACATTTTTTAAAAAAAAAAATAAACGCATACATATATAAACGTTTACATTTTCAAACGTTTGAGAATTTTTTAAACGCTTAAATCATATGACGTTTAGGTAATATAAACCATTAGGTTGCGGTTTAGCTGCAGTAAGGTAATAGTAATAGGTAGCAGTAGCAGTAACAGTAACTAAGTTAAATTGAAAAAAAAAAAAAAAAGATTTATTTGCTTAGCCTTAAATTCGAACTATTACCTTGTATGGTGGTTTACTTGTACGTTTACATGTTTACTTGCATGTACATGGTTTACTTCTACGTGGTTTACTTCTAAGCATGGATCTACTACCTTGACCATAATGGCTATTACGAATTACGTTACACGCGCGTACGAGAAGCTACCTTATTTTAATATATCAAGGTAGGTAAAGAGGTATTGTAGCTTCCTCTTGGAAAGGCTCTTACCTCTTAGAAGAGCTCTTACATAATAAGACCTTAGGAAACTCTAAGATATTCAAACGCTTACAAAAAATAAACGCTTTCATATTTTCTAAATATTTAGATACGATTAAATATCAAAGGACCTGTAGACGTTGAGAAACATCAACGTCTAGTATTTGAAATATTTTAACAAATTTAATTGTATTATATCGGTTAAAAATTTCAAACCGTATATACACGGTTTACTGGTTCCCGCGGATCCCCGTAAGGTACCTATCCCGGTACATACACTATGATAGAGCCTAGGGCCTAGAGGTCTAGGTACATAGTGCCCTAGACTAATGCTGCTAAAGTTTATCTCTCTTACCATGGTGGTACGAAACTTACGTCGTGCGGCAGAACTTCGGTAACAGAAAAAAAAATTGGAATTCGGGTTTGCAACCTTTTATCGCCTTTATCTTTTTTTTTTAATCGTGCTGCGGGCTGCGGGCTGCGGGCTGTAAATCGAGTAGGGTCAAGCATCTAGGGTGTACTCTCAAGTTTTCCACCAGCCGTTATTCAATCTTTCTCCCGTTTAGTTGAAAGGAAAGTCTTTTCAACGGTTAAGTCTCTGGTTTTAAGCCGCACCTCATCGCATCGCGTTGTGCAGAATTTGGAATCTGTGAATACGCATTGACGGCGATAACTAAGGTGATCTATTATAGTAGACCCTAAAGTTGCCTGCTTGAACTCGCGCAACAAGGTCTGTGATCCTATCCGTGACCCTACGTCATGTTATCTAGAGCCTTCGCGCGCTCTGCGCGATTACCGGCGCTCTCAAGATCAGCCATAGCAACTCCGACGTTTTCTAGAGTTTCCAGCCGAGCAATTCCAATCAGTAGGACAGCTCCGATATGGGTGCGAGGTATGGCCGATGATAAATCTCAAAAAGTGCCGCCAAATACGACGAGTTCGAATCCGAATCCGAATCCGAAATCTCCTCCTGATCAACCCCCGCCTAACGCCGGCGCTGCTCAGTCTCAGCCCGCACAGTCTTCGAAAAGCGCCGAACCCGAATCCGCTGCCTCGAAACCTGACTTAAGCTCTCTTCCCGATCTAACACAAGGTATCCCTTCAACACTCGAGTATGAGACCAGCGGCGCTACCGACAAGGCGGCGCTTTCAGCGATTGAGGAGTCGCCCGAACCTCAGGCTGGTGGTCGCGGTCGTGGAGAACTCCCTGCCTCGGCGTATGTAAGCTCGAGAGACAAGCAAAGAGACAAGTTGGCCAATCGCTTATACCTTGTCTCACTCGGTCTGGGCATTGTCGTCTTGGCTTATCTCGGACGGAACTGGGATGAGGAGGAAGCTAAAGTGCATACCGATATTCCTAACGGCTGGTCGCTTGGGTTGTGGTGGAAGAGAATGACGGCCCGATTTGGAGACGTTAAGAGTTATTACAGTGAACCGGCATTCGAGAAGCTGCTGCCCGACCCCGATCCCATGTTTGAGCGACCTTATACGCTCTGCATCAGTCTCGAGGATCTGCTAGTACACAGCGAGTGGACGAGGGAGCACGGTTGGCGAATCGCGAAGCGTCCTGGCGTCGATTACTTCTTACATTACCTCAGCCAGTACTACGAGCTGGTCTTGTTTACAAGCGTTCCTTACGCTATTGGAGAACCCATAGTCCGAAAGTTGGATCCGTTCCGATTCATCATGTGGCCCTTATTTAGAGAAGCTACTAAATATAAAGACGGCGAGATTGTCAAGGTTAGTTCCAATCTCTTTCTTCCTATCTCTTTCCCGCGTCCGCTTTTTTGTCCAATGTCGCTAAATCGCAATATCAATATCATAGGATTTATCGTATTTAAACCGTGACCTCTCCAAAGTCATTATAATCGATACGAAACCCGAGCATGTCCGGAATCAACCCGAAAACGCCATCATACTTAATAAGTGGACCGGCGACCCGAAGGACAAGGAACTTGTTGCGTTGGTTCCTTTCCTCGAGTATATTCACACCATGCAGTATAAGGATGTGCGCGACGTGCTCAAGTCTTTCGAAGGCAAGCATATCCCGACCGAGTTTGCACGCCGAGAAGCCATAACGCGTGCCGAGTTCCAGAAGCGGTACGAAAGCGAGAAGAGGAAACGAAAGAGCGGAATAGGCGCTCTGGGAAATATGCTAGGATTGAAGCCGAGCAACATGAGCATGATGGTCCCCGTAGATGGCGATATCAGCCCGAGCGAAGCTTTTGCGCAAGGCAAGATGCTGCAGGATATCGCTCGAGAAAGGGGTCGGCGCAACTACGAGATGATGGAACAACAGATCCGCGAGAACGGCGAGAAGTGGCTGAAGGAAGAGCAGATGGCGACAGAGAAGATGCAAGCCGAGGCTATGAGCAGCATGAAGTCGTCCTTCACGAGCTGGTTCCTACCCACGAAACAGTCAGAAAATTCCACCGAGCCTAAAAAGGAGGCGTAAGGGAGAAGGGGGGTTTAAATGTATGTAATCTACGGAAAATGTATGATATGGGGAACGTCTTATCGGGAGGCGTCTAATTGGTCGCATCACGGTTGTATAAGAGGGAACTATAAGAACAGTCACCTGCTGCTGCTGCTGCCACCATCACTACCACCATTACCACATTACCCCCGGAACGAAACTCTACTCTTGAAGCAGTGGCATTATTTTTTTTTCTTGCATGGGAAGGATTATATTATAAAAAGTTCAGGGGAGGCACTATTACTACTACGCGGCTGAAGATAAACGTGCTCATATCATATATCTGAAGGTTGTCCCTGTAAAGGAAAAAGGGATGGAGGGAAGTAACCTCGGGGAAAGGAGAGAAAGGAGAGAAAGACGGAGGGATACACGTCGAGATAAAAAAGAAAAAAGCCTAATCTCTGTATTATTGTAGTATAAGTGAGCGACTCGAGGCCTTTGCCTGCGCGGGCCTCGGGATTCGCGTTGTATAGGAATCCATCCGGCAGCAACAGCTTCGAATAAATCTGGTGCAAAAGGAGATGTTGTAGTAGTGATGTGATGTTGATTCTTTTTTTCTTGTGTCGTATTATTTGCGGTTATAGTTACTCCCCTCTCCCCTTTTTGGTGCCCCCTTGATACCAAAAAATAACAGCCAAAAGATGAAAACTTGACCTCGGGGTTTTAAGGAAATCATAAAAAGTACCTAAATAACACAGGAAAATAAAGTAAAGGAAAAAAAAATCCCATCGTTCGTTTAACGTCATCATCCAAACTTTCCAACTTATTTTTTTTTTCGCTCATCTAGTAAGCAGTATACCCTCCTCCTTATTACTACCTCGAACGCAAATAGACAGAAAAAATAAAAAAGTAGATGGTATTGTATTTTCCCACGTCATCTAGGCCTTCGCCGACGACGTCGGGTTCTGGTCGCCCCAGGCGTTGTGGTCGCGGCACCACTCGCAATTCGGGTTGGTCTCGCATTGGAAGTCGCTATACGGGTAGATTAATTAGGTGTGCCTTAGGATAATATCAAAGCACTTTTATTTATGTACCTCGTACGGCTTCAGGGGGGGAGTAGGAGGATTAGGGGAAAAGGGGGAAAGGGGAAAGGGGAAAGGGGAAAAGGGGTAAATCATACTCGTCCTTGCACTTGCAGTACTCCTCGATCGTAGTGCAGTCCGGCGAGTCGGAAGGCGCCCACGCTGCGGCGACGGGGGTCGCCGGGCCCGCGATCGTGCTGGACGGGACGGCTAGGGCGACTACACCGCCGCAGATGGCGAGGGCGAGGGCGAAGGAGCTTGAGGAATGCATCTTTTTGCTTTTTGTTGATGTATATCGTCTCATATAAGTCGAGATGTTGGGGAGAGACCGTTGCTGTATCTAGCAAGTCCTTTACTTCAGTGATGACCTGCAAAGAAGAGATATATATGGAGAGAGAGAGAACTGCCTCCCATATCAAATATAGCTTCGCGACCAAGATCTAAGATGATTTCGTATGAAGTTTAGGCGAGGGTATCACAATCTCTCCCCCCCTCCCCCCTTAGTCAGAAACGGTTTTTGTATACCGGTTCGTTTGGTTGATAGACAGTTTTTGTACTCGCCGACGTCCACTTTTGACTCAAATCCTGATCCGTTTCGTGGGACGGAAGCGTTATGGAATAGTTACAGCACGAAAATAGCATAGCAATACTGCTCCATCCCATGATTTTTCTGTGGCCATGCTTCTTTCACCGCTACTCACCTCATCATGCCGTAATGGTAGCCATGGTAACCTCGCAAGAGCTTCTTATTTTCTTCGGGTATTCCTCTTCCAACGCTAAAGCAACGAATTCAAAGCATCTCGTGTAAGCCATCCCGTTGCGAGTATGATCCAGCCTCGTGTGGGCGGTGAGCTTCCCCTCGTGCTCGTAGTGGTCGTTGTGAAGCGGCACGAGAGAAGCGAATCCACGGGTAAGGATCTCTTGTGAGAGCAGCCAAAACAATAATGATTTTGAAACAGAATGTAGGGTGAGCCGACCGAGAGCTTAGGTGTGGGTAAGAACTCAGAGCCGTTGTCGTAGCCGACTATACGAATACAAAACATTTCGTGTAACTCGTTTGCCTTTTTTTCTTTCGGTAGTACCGGCCATCTGAAGTCGACTGAGACCGGAATTCATTGGCTAGATAGCCGCAAGATAGAGACGTAAGTCGATAGGGTAGGGGTTTTACATCCCATAATATAATTATTTCGAAGTTCAATCGTGAGTCCTCATGTTAATAAGGCAAACTGTAAGGAAGTAGATTTCATAAGCATAAATATTTTACACAGTAATATTCTATCAGATCGCAAAGCAGTCGTAATAGACGCTTTTCCGATTAATAAAAGTGTGACTTATTCTGAATATGAAGTCTAGGTAGATAATTGTATCTGTCAAGTAGAGATTGGAGCTTGAACTGACATTAACATCATACACGGCGATAATTCCCACAGATGCTCAAGCTATAACAAATAGATATCCCCTCTATGCTGGATTCATCTTTCAGACCTAGCTGCTGAGCCAAAAAGGAGACAACGGGAAGTAAAAAGCAGCAGCGAGGACAGACCCATAAGACAGAGGCAGCTTCATCCAATCAGAAACTAATGCAACAACCGTCGAAAATAACCGGCAAAGAAAAACATCACAGAAAAAGATAAGCTTTCAAGAAGTCCATTCTGTTCCAGCTCCGGATCACCCAACCCTCCGAAGTCTAGAACCATCCAAAGAGATACACCCCCAATCCATCGCGCCAGGGTGACTGACCACCATCCGACAGTAACACAACGAGACGAGACACACATCCCCAGTTCGCTTCGCGACGCCCTTCCCAAGCACAAGTGTCACTTTAACTGAACTCCCCCCTCCCACCCGATCTTCGCGATACACAGAGCAGCCTGTCCCTTCTACGTTCTAACCGTTCAATACCCTCCCCCTCCCAAACACACTACGATCTTTCTGCTCAGGAACGAACGGGCAGACGAGAGGTAAGTAAGTGGCTTGCCGCGACACAGCTCGGTACCTACACCTAAGGTATGCAAGGCGCCGCACGTACGCCATCCAGATATACCGAACAGAAAAAAAAAAAAAAAAAAAAAAAAAAAAAAAAAAAAGAAAGGATGCATGCACCCGGTGTCGGTGTCGCCAAGCCAGGAGAAGGAGAAGAAGGGGCAGCCAGCAGCGGTCCTCCGCATCGATCATGTAGCATCCCGACACCGCCACCCGGCCGGCCAACTTTGCCGGATCTACTCTGCGTCTGCTGCTTTCTTTCTTTGCATGCATGCATGAGGGGCTTGGCAAGGGGATTCGTCGTCGTCGTTGTATGTATGATCCGGATTAGCTTTTCTTAGAAAGAAGCGATCGCGATCGCGATCGGAACGTAGGTAGTCTTCTTCTTTTCTTTTCCTTTTTTCTTCTCCTTCCAAAATAGGGGGTATTAACGCAACAATACATACCTCTTATAGAGACGTTGTCAATCTGGTGTAGTCGAGCAATTGGCATCTTGGTAGTACCTTATAATATATTCAATTCCGATTTTAAATATCAAGGGGCTTCCTGCCTTCATTCCCGTTCGCCGTCTCGTCTGCAGTCTCCAGACCGCGAAGACTACCCTCTCCCCCTTAAAAGTTTTTATGTACAAGGTCTAGATATACAAACAACACTTGGCCACCATTCATAAAAGCCCCTTCCTACCTACCTAGGCAGGCTTTGTCGTATAAGTACACGTGAGCTTCGTCAACAAGTAAACCCTTCTCGGATGACTTAACGCCCCCCCATTCCCCCCTAAACTCCGTTTTTGGAAAAAACAAACCAAATATCCACAAATTCCCCTGGACAAAGGTTTCAAGCTGTTCGTAAAAATAGACGATATCCTCCCACCAACTCCACCCCTTAAAAGACAAATGCGCGCTCGTGAGAGATGGTAAAAAAAATTCATCTAGACGCCTGCCTCACCCGTAATTATAAACACTCTAGATCGCTTGCAAAGTCGGCTAAGAAAATTTGGTATAAAATGACCCCGATTGTTAAGTACCGCCAACCCCGTCCGAAAATAGAAGCAACGGCCATTGCATGGTGGCTGTGGTGGTGGTCGTAGGGGTTCCGTTCATAGGTACCGCCATACCCAACCCGTTGGCTCCGGTGCCGTCGACGTGTGCGCCGGGTCTCGGATCGGAACTACCTAGGGACATCAAAGCGGTAGCGCTATATCTTTCCTGATTCTCCACGATAGCGGCTGTCCAGTCTTGCCAGGTGTTTCCTCCAGAAGCCTGCTGCCGCCACATTATGTGTGCTGGTTGCGTCATCTGCGTCGTCTGTGTAGCAAATGTTGTTAGTGGATTATGATCCGCCGCTTGGACTTGAGCTTGAGCCTGAGCTTGTGCCTGTGCCTGTGCCTGTGCCTGTGCCTGTGCTTGTGCTTGTGCCTGGGCCTGAGCATGCGCGTGAGCATGAGCTACGGCAACCTGTCCGGCTGTTTGCGCATATAGGAAAGGGTTATTTGGATCGTAGGCGATAGCATTGGTTGGATGGGTAGTCGAATCAGCGTATGAAAGCGAGGGATATGTTCCTGGCTCGGAACCAGACTCTGTGTAGTAATTACTGCGCTGTGGTGGGATGACGTGGCTTGCTGAGCCATTCAGAGGTTCCGTCTCATTATGGCCGGGATTAGAATTTGGTGCTGTGGGTAGATTAACGTAGGCTGGCGAGTGAGGGGACTGTTTAATTAGGTCTTGTGATAGAGGTGGTTGTTGAGGAGGGTCGTTGGTCTTTTGAACTTGGGCATGCTCTATCCAAGTGACGGTGCGGTCTATGATGGAGGATACTGCATCACGAAGGCCCATGCCGCAGTCTATAATTGTTAGATACGTTATTGATGACTTATAGGCTCGAAAGCGAATTGTAAAACTTACCCATCATATTGCCAATTTCGGCGAGGAGAGTTAACCATAGCTTCATATCTTCGCGGAGGGCTTGAATCTCAGCCGCGTTGGTCTCATGCCGCCTCTCCCAGTGCGCAACCAAGGTCGAAAATATTGCTGTGACATATATAGCAAGACAATACCACGTAGTGTCCAGAGATTTTAATTTGTACAGTATATGTAGGATTCCAAGTAAATCTTTTGCCGTCTCTTCGCATATCTTTGTATTTTCAGCTATTATTTTTGGATCGTTGGTTATACAAGCGGCCGGGTGTCTTAATGTGATCCCTTATGAACACCTGGTTAGTAACTGATAAAGATAGAACCCTGACGGGGAAGAAATTCCAAGGGTATATAGTCATATAGTTATTCATAACTAGCTCATCGAGAATCAGGGTGGGCTTACTAAATTCCAAGGCCATATATTCAGCGTATAGAGCAAACATAGATTGGTCATGTTCGGATTGTCCCATGCCTCGATACTTCAACCCAGGAGGCAGGTTTTCCCTCCAAGCTTCGAGTTGCTCCTCGAGCGCCTCAATTACCGGAACGTACCGATTTGGGTCTTTCCTTGCGCAGTATATATTCGCGTACATCTCAAGAAACAGTGCTGATATTCTGAAGGCGGCGATACCAATCTCGTAGCGGCACGTAGCTGTTCTCGTCGTATCGACCCCATCTTCAGTCAGAAGCTCATCCGCTATCGTCTGCGGAAATTCGGTATCGATATCTTCTAGCCGAATAGGCATCGGCCGTCCCATTCGACCGTTCAGCGTAACAGCTGTCGAAACAATAGCCCACCATACCCGCTTTCTGAGCTCATTTTCGAGGTTAGTTTCCTCGCCCGGACCCTTCCAGGCGCGGTGCAAGTTTAATTCGACAGCCATTGCCAGGGTGTAGTTGCTCAGCATATTACTAGTATTAGATTTGGGAAACCGCATCGTGTGTACGCAGAGCATGGCTAACGCTTGGACGTCATAGAGCGTTTTGGATGTAGAGAGGTCGAAGAACTTGCTCAAGGCATAGTGATAATGTTTATTAGATAGGTCGTTCAAGCGAGCTCTTTGTTCTGGTTGTTCCCTGTTCCTGATTCCGTATTGGAGGTATATCGAGGCAAATACTAGATGAATCATAGTGGTTTCGGCTACGGTAGGTTTAAAATTGGGTTCGTCATAAAGGCGTGATAACTGAGGCCATCATTTAACATAAGTTTCCAACAAGATTTCAACGTAGTAGTATGTTAGGTATACTTACGAGTGTCATGAAAGTAGGTTTATGCAGGATTGGATGGAAGGGGTAAATCATAAGGAAATACCATTCGGCATAGGTAAAAGCATCATCTCGAGGAGGATAGTCGACATGAAGCGGAGGGTTGATATTCGTAACAGACTGCAACATAGCCTGAGCAGATTTATTATAGACTGGAGTGCGAGCCGGGGCGTCAGGGGAAAGCTCGTCCATGTCAGGTGCATCGAACGACCCGATATCTATGGTACTCCCGAGAATAGATAGAGTCATGCCTTTGATAGAGCTTAGAGGAGCCTGGTCCGCGCCAACTCCTATATGAGCATCTGTCGGTCTTGGGTCGACGGCGAAACGTAATGTACTTGCGTAGGGTGTATTCGAGAGTCGATTTCGGTCCTTCATCCAAGCAGTAGTCGATCCGGGTTGAGTCCATTGAGTCTTTCCCATAGAATCCTGCATTTGACCGCTCATATTATCAACGCCCGCATCGATAGAATTGTTGGCCTCCGAAAATGATCGAGTGGGTTTAATTTCAACGCCATTTTGATAAAGCAACTTTTCCAATTCTCGAATATGATTTAACATGTCCGTCTTCTCACGCTCTAGCTGTTGCATATATCCTCTTCGCTCCGTTCGACCCGTAACTCGATCCGTCACGTAACATTCGAGATTTTGATTAATACAATGCGAGCAGCCTTCTGGTAGGGCATCGCAGCGGATTTTGCGAACCTGGCATGATCTACGTTAGATCTCGGCTGGCTGGTATTGGACAAAGGGGGGGTTGTGAAGGAGCACGGCATGGCTAAGCTCGACGAACGGTTGTCGTAGGGGGGGGGGGGATTCGGTGCAACGGTTGTCTCTCGTTCCTCCAATCTTTCTCTTCTCCTTTTCTTTTTTTTCTTCTTTTTTCTTTTTACCGTAGCTAGGCGATCGGATTTGAAAACATACCTTACACCGGTCGCATGCTTGTCCAGTTCTCGTGTAGGATTGAAGCTTGCTCTTTACGACGCTCGAGAAATCGCTAGGAGCGGCACGGTCGCGGTCCAAACGAGGCAGCTTGCATTTGGCGGCGCCATCGGAAGGGTCGAGATCGGTAACGTCACCAGGCCGTTTCGGCGGACGGCCTGGAGGCATGGCGACACGAAGCTTTGGAGGCCCGCGACTAAGAAAAAAAAAAGGTTACGGACCTGCAGAGCTGCGGTTTTCTTTGGCGCACAATGGTTGGAGCTTGTTTCGCGACAAATCGAAAATGGAGTTTCCCGAAACTCTAAGACCGTACGACTTTTTTGGGGGGGAGGGCCTTACCTAATAAGAGCTAGCAGAATTAGCAGAATAGAAGGCAGTAGCAAGTAGCAGGAAGGCCAAAAGGCAATATTAGCAGAAGGTTGGAAGTAGCGTACTTCTTAGGTAGGAGGTGGTTCAGCACGGTAGGTCGCTTAGAAGGTAGGTACATACACGCAATGCAGACGCGCATGTGTTGTACCTATTGCATGTACTATGTGATGTGTGTCTAAGTAGGTAAGGTACCTTAGGAGATATATTAGCGTGTATAATTGCACATCTTTTCCAGATCAGGGCGCGTATAGTACATGCATTATATTGTACCTAACATACCTATATCCACGTAAAGTATCGTAAGTACCTAAGGTTAGGTACCTAGGAGGTAGGTAACCTATAATGTGGAGGATTGTAATGGTGTATGGCTTCCCGTACACGGACTTTTTAAAAGTCGATGTCAAATCTGAACTCAGCTTCTAATTTCTAATTTCTACAAGAGCTTAATTCAAAATTCAAATTAGCTCTATGCGCACAGCCTCCCCTTTTCAAGTTTATTATTTAGTAATCATTATCTATCATTTAAGGTATGTTTACAAGGTCGAAAATGTCAACAGGGAAAGCGGAATAATCCGCCGACTCGTCCTTGATTCCCAAAACCGTCACGAATTATCCAGATCGAACCGGGTCCTCAACCAACGATACGGAGATGACGGGACCACGGGCATTTCTTTTCCTTACTTGTTGGTGACAGAAGCGCAGGGTGCAGTCAGGGTGCCATCGGGGCTTCTGCTTGTCTTATTCGTCATTCCCTACCCACCGTTCAAAGCCCTTCCCGCCTAAGAAAGAAGGACATGTCCGTTACTGCATAGCTCACGCCAGCCAGGACGCAAGGAGCCGACCAAACTCGGGGTTTTGTCCGAAATCAAGAATCCGATCAAATATTTCGAAGAGTAACCTTGCCCTCTGAAAATGCTTGCGAGTGCGAATCCGAAAATCATCAGCAGATATGCAAAGTTTCGAACGTCTCGATCGAACCATGTTGCAATTCAAGGGAAGCATCTGAAGCGTCTATTGGGCAGGTGGTGATCGGAATTGAATTTCAACCACTGCCGACTATGACAGACTTTTAACTAGGAGCTCTGTTAAAGAGTGATTTCCTAGGTAATCTTATCACGGTACGTATATTTATCACATAGTACATTACCTAGGTAGTAGAAGATGAAAGTCAGATGATTAAAAGTAGCCGCATTGATTACCATCGTGGTATATTATTATACATACCCAAAATATTAATTAACCTTGGAATATACTATGTAATGTATACTGTACATTTACTCTAAGTAGGTCACGTACCTATTACAGAAAAGGATAATTCCCGTTAGTTATACAAACGAGGTCTTCATTAAGCCTCCGACGATGATGTCTTGGCTTGAAACATACCTTAGGTACATAGTAGACGCAGGTTAAACGCAGGTTAAACAGGGCTGTCAATGATACATAACCTGTAACCCCCAGTCACGATGGAGTTTCTAGAAGCATGGGTAACGCCATATGACGGAGCCGCCACAATTACCGTAAAAAATAAGCACCTAAAATAAATTTGTCGTGGGGGGGGGGGGGGGGGGGGGTGAAATATTATGGGTTGTAGAAAGAAACAAAAAACAGACGTAAAAATGTTTGATATTTTGTGTTGTTTGGGGTATAAAAATATAAAAAAATAAGGTA